GCGCTGGGTATCATAGCCTTCCAGGAGCAGGCCCTTGAAGTAGATGTTCTTGTGCTTGATAGGCTTGTCCTTGGCGATAGTCAGCGAACCAAGCCATGCACCCAGGTTCTTGAGGTGACCACGGTCAGTGGATGAGTTCAAGGTGCCCTCGGAGTTGATCAGCTTGGCGACGCTAACATAGGTCTCCCGCAGTACTTCAGCCCAAAGGATCTTGTCACCGATGCGACCAAGAAGGTCAAGGTAAAGCTGCTGGAAGTTAGGTTGCAACTTGGCACGCTCCTCCACCAAGTACGCAGCGAACCACTGGTGGTGTTGGTCGCGCAACACTTCTCGCAGATCCTGAAGCTTCTCGTCAATGTTCTGCTCTGACACATTGTTCAGAACAAACAGAATCTTGTCCTGGATATCTTCATCCGGGTTCTGGTAGAGCTCAGAACGAAGAGGAGGATCAAGTTGAATGGAACGGAACTTGCGCACAGAACCATCGGCAGTTGGGGAGTCGTCGACATTGCCATTGGTCAAAGGCGCAGCAGCAAGGCCCTCAAAGGCATTGGGGCTGGATTCACCAATCCCGTTTCCTTGCTCCCGTAGCACTTCCTCCGCCTTTTGATAGATGGGGGTTCCCTGTAGGGATGGAATTTGGAAGAGTAGGTGGCAGAAGCCCGCCCATTCGGGAAGGCGGTTGATCAACTGCTCGATGGCCTCAACACCGAACTTGTACATCGGGTCGTGCGGTTCGTGCTCTCGAACAGCTTCCAGGATCATGCCGAGACCAACCTTTAGCGTGATGCCGTCAACGAGGCGGAAGTTGATGATACCGCCGAACATGACTGCAGTCTTGGTCAAAGCCTCGAGGGGGTACTCGTGATAGCAGTGGTATTCATCAATTAGACCATGGACCATGCAGGCAAAGAGATCTTGCTCGATGGGGTCACGGGAAGACTTGTACTTGCGCATCAACTCCAACATCTCTCGGAGTGACAGTTCCTCGTGGTACATCTTGCCGAACAGCTCTTGCATTTGCTTGTCAATCGACTCGGGCAACGTGTTTCCGTTCTCGCCGTTGATGTCGATAATGTCATCGAAGCCTTCGCCATAGTTGATCAGACGGGGGTAAGTCTGAATGCAAATGCGCTGAACGGGGGTGAGATTCTCGCGGTCTCCAACGTATTCCTCCAACACCGACAAAAGTGTGTAAACGGTCTTGACAGCCAGGCTGACCATTTGGTGGGCAGACTGTTCCTTCCGTTGCACATGCAGTTCATCCTCGGCTTTGATTCTCAGGAATTTGGACAGCAGGCCACCCATATCAATGGGGCCTTTCTCGGCGGCGTTCCGAACCCACTGCTCGAGATCAAATGAGCTCTTTCGGTGAGAGTAGCAAGCAAGATCGAGGGCAAGACCGTTGGTGAATCCAAGGAGATATTCCAGCCATCCGTATGCGGTAGCGTGCTCATAAATGACTGCAGTCGATGTTGGATCCTGGGTGAAAGTGGTGAAAAGCTGCTCCGAGACCCACTGTCGGTCTTGTCGCCAGGCGCCATGGAGAGCAAGCTGGTAACCATCTTCTTGCTTTGAGATGAACACGATGAATGTTCGCAACACGAAACTCTGCTGGACGCTAGACCACGGCTGTGGAAGAGCGAGAGCAGAACAAAGGAAGACAGGCAGGTCGAACTGGACAACGGCTTTGATAAGCAGCTGGCTTTCGGCCGCAGCCCACGAAGCCTGGGAGAACAAGGCGAGGTCGAAGATGGCCTTCATAGCATCCATGGATCGCAGTGGGGACTTTGCCGCACGTTCGCCTTGTAGTTTGACGATATCCGGGGCATCCTCGAAAAAGTCGGTCGGGAAAGTTGCGCGAAGATTGATTATTTGGGATGGGTCGATGCGAGAGGCGACAAAGGCTGTCAAAAACGACATCTGCGTGTCGCGGTGGTCCCAGTCTCCACCCCAGAGTTTCTGGATATCCAAAGACGAGTCATCAGCCGATATAGCTGAGAGTACACTGTACAGTTTGGAGAATTGCTTGGGGTCCACACGAAGACCCTCCCGGTCAAAGTTGCGGAACACAACAGGCCAATTGATCTGCTTGTCGGCATATGCAGATAAGAATGTCTCCAGCGAGAACTGTTCCCAATATTGCGACAAGATCATGAAGAGAAGAGCGCTAGCCAGATGCTCCTCGCCCCAGTTCTTTGGGTCTGCGTTGATCACATCGCTTATCGTTTCGGTATTCGCCGTAGCTCGGGGCCCCTTGGAATGTAGCTGTCGCACAAGGACATACTGCGGGTTGACGAAATTGAACATTTGGAGAGCAGAGGAAACTTCGAAAGGCATATCCAAGCCTAGTTTCTGATATCGCAGGTTTGCTGCATAAACTAGCTTCGCCTTGACGTCGTCGGTGAAATTGCGGGGAGGGTATAGGATGAATCGTTCAATCGTCATGCCGAGGAAAGAGTTATGGTAGTCCTTTGTAACTTCGGATGGGCTGGCCAAGCTCTGGAGGAAGGGGGCGACGGAGTTTGAGATGATGGCATCGGCTAGAATAAACGATTAATTGATGGATCAGGCGCAATTGAAGGGCGTACATACCTTTGGCACGAAGATCCGACTTGCTAGTGAGCTTAAAGGCCAGGGCAAGTGCAACCTTCACGACGGGGTCAAGTCGGAAGTGATCCAGAAAAGTAGAAAGGTCGAAGTCACGGAAGATGTCTCCTTCTGAAGTATCGACTGTCTCCGCGATTTTCTGAGCTTGCTCCATGTCCGCAGACACTTTCTGCATCTCCTGGACGAGGAGGGGGTAGTTGCCCGCATTTTCGACAGACTTGTTAACACCCGGAAAGATTTGCGGCGCGTTGCCCGTTAGGAGGCGGCGAAAGTATTTAGAAAAGACCTCCATTCCGTTGGATGTCACGAGCTGTGGGGAAAACATTGTTAGAATAGAGTTTGCGCAAAAGAAGGGGTAAGTCATGTCCTACCTTGTGTATCTGTGCGGCTTTTGTCTCCCACTTCTCTTTGCCTTCTTTCTCTGTGATTGAATCTAACAAGAGGAACACTTGCGCGATCGAGATTTTGGTGAGCGACGATTGGCTCGAGTGGGCGGCTGCAGAGGTTGCAGATCCCGGCTTGTCTGAGGCAAAGCCTGTAGGGGAATTCACGGTTGTTCCAGAGGATAGAGGCGAGAAGACGCCTCTGGATGATCCAGGCCCACCACCACCTCCCCCAGTACCTCCTCCACCCGGGGCGGAGCCTGTAGCAGATGCCAAATGGGACCCTATGGAAGGGGTGTGAGCGCGGAACTTAGGAGACGAGAGGGTCGTGGCGTGTTGCTGCGAGCCAGATTGCAATGAGGTGAACGGCGAAGATGTGGGTTTAGGACTCCCACCGGAGAGACCCCTGGCAGAGCTCAAGACGGCAGAAAAAGAGGACTGCGTAGAAGTCCCCGGGCCTGCGTCCAAGCCCCGGGATGTCGAGGGGGGAGCGGCGGAGGATAGGTTGGTCGCGAGTGGAGTCAACCCACGACGTGCGCCGGACTGCGACACGGACCGACCCCAGGCACCAATATCAGTCCTGGTCGAAGAAGATTTATCGGTGCCAGAAGCAATCGACGATTGGGCGGAAGGGTGAGGGGGAGGGAAGGTCATCTAGGAGACGCGATCATTTGATCTGGGGGGTCCAAGGACAGATTTTTAAGTCACAGTCGCAGTACACGGATGAAATCGATGATGCAGATCAATAAAATGTAGACGAGATCGTGCGAGATCGTAGGTGGGAGGGTGTGGGGAGAAGAAAATGTGATTGTGGGAGAGGAATGGATGAGGGTCGATGAGATGGAGAGGTTGCAGGAGGAATGGGGTGCAAGGTGCGAGGTGTCGGATGTGGAGAGCCTGAGGTGTCAAGCGGGAGCTCTCAGTCGGGCACCAAGCCTCTATGCTCCTCGACTTGATTGCAAGAACGACGAAAGCTCATAGTCAGTCTAGTCTTCATGGCTGGATGTTCTATATGTTCTCTGATAATCTTAAACTGGCATGTTTTCTGATCTGAAATTTTCGCGCGCCGAATATCTACTTCTTTATATCACGTGGTGTCTGTTATATCACGTGCTGTTGATGCTGGTTCCCGTCCTGCCTTGAGCTGGGGTTATCTGCGCTCCCGATGTGTCTCGTTTACAATGATAGGTCTTTAGTAATTGCCAGTCCAGTGGACTTGATTAGCCAGAGGATTGTGTAGATAGTGATAGTGATCATGCTTGTGGTAGGGTTGAAATATTTACAGTTATAAATTTTAAAACAGAACATGCTGGTATTCTCCGCATCCAGGTATAAATAACATTATATCTCAGGGTGCGTATAAAGGTGCCCATGTTATATATAGCCTGCTAGCATGTCAGCACAATTGTCATGTTTTACAACACTTTCCCCAAAGACATTTTTCACGTCTTTGCACAAGCAAACCCTTACACTATCTGTACCTGGGGCGGATCTAACGAAAGAAATCGTCTACCTTCTACAACCGAGACAGAACTTGACAGAACAGGAGCCCTATCAAGTGCTAAGATAGGACAAAGATTCCAATCCAGATTCCTAAGACAAGAGTAGATGAGAACAGTATAATCAGACCCGGCATATCGCAGTACCTGAGCCATTCCAATCCAATGAACGCCGAATTCCAAGCCGGAAAACAGAATGAGACAGACCGAATATAACCCACAGATGAAAAGGAAAAATAACACACGCACAGTAATAAGAATCATGTCATACCGCAATGGCAACCAGGAAAGAAAAAAGGAACGCATAGTCACGGATAATGCGAGGAATATAACCACAAGGCAAGTAGCTTGTAGAAAGAGGATCAAGATAAAATCACACAGCCAAGAAGACGATCATGTGCACATGAGTTGAGGCGCCTTGGCCAATCCAACACCAACGCCTGGTTCTGCACCAGCAGGAACCCAAAGGGATAAAAGGAAACTTTGCAGTGGATGAGACGTAGACCAATCAATCGGTCAAAGATATACAGTAGCATGGGCTAACGTATGATGCCTGAGCCGTGTATGTCTGGACAGTGCCACCATTGTAACTAGTGTAGGTTGTCGTCGGCGTAGGCTCGTTCTCCTTGATATTGACAATCATCCCTGAGAGAAGAGCCAGGCCACCATCACTGCGAATCTGCATCTGCTGACAATAGGGATTTTCACGTGCTGGGTCATCTCGGCGTTCTTCCATTTTGATCCTCCGGGGGTAGTCAGAAAGAGTAGAATCGCGTTTCGACCCCTGCTGCGCGCCCGCCGTGCTTGCGGCCATGTTGCTATCGGTTGAAGCAGTTGTGGTGCTCGATGCTGAGTCTGCAATCGATTGATTGACATACATAAAGAATTCCATCCTCGTGTTGTTCCACCAGCAGAACCACGGTTTGTCTCCAACCTGGGCAGTCTTCTTGAGGTTCTTGTAGGCCTCTGCCTGTGCCCAACCATCATCGACCCACGTTCGCTTGTTAATAGAACTGAGAGAGAATGTATCCTCTGGAGCAATTACCAATTTGTCGAACGAAGACACGAAAAAGAGAGCCGGGCCCATGCCAATATCAGTGGTATCAACAGCCATGCTCAATGCTTGTGTGGGGGAGGAAGACCAATAGGGTGCTTGAGCACCGTAGGTGAAAGTCGTAGTCGGGGCGCCGTAGTCGAACACAATGGAGTGGTGGCCCTTGGATTCACCGACGAAAACTTCAAATTCATTCGGCGATTGCAGACATTTCCAAGCTTTGCCGTAATGATTCTCATCCACACACATCCCTGAACCGTTCTGGAAGCCTGACGGGACCATAAAGTGGCCGGTAGGGACACTCTTGATGTTGGTTGGAGTAGAAATCATGGATGCATCCATCTGAGGAGTCGCAGTGACTGTAACGATGGGTGGACCATGGGACTTCTGAGATTCTTCATCGGCTTTGCTGGCTTCCGCGGCTCTCTTGGTTCCCAGAACTCCACCAATGACACCCCCAATGCATCCTCCGATCAGCAGCACCGTCGCGATGAGGACCAAGGTCCATACAGGAAGACCACAGCATGCTGTCTGCTTCCCTTTGCGTTTCAACTTTTCCTCGAAGGCCATGATACCGGTAGTCCCCGCGGCTCTTTCTCCTCCGTTGCGACCGTTGTTACCATCCCCGGACTGTTCTGGTACCAAGGCCCTTGATGACGTTTCCGAAACTGGTGGCTCTCTCGCCGCTTCATTACTGTGAAGGGCTCCATTGTTGAGACGATGTTCTTCCGGCGGAGTGTTGAGGTCGGCCATCGTCTCAGCCCCTGGGGGCTTGGGAACGACACCCGTTGGGTAGCGTGAATAGGGCGGCAGTGGCTCGGTGTGTCCGTCCGGTCCAATAATATCACCTACATCATCATCCTGTCGACCAGCGGGCGGCTGATATGGTGGGTTGTGACCTGGGAATCCAACCGGAATGGGCGAATCATCAATTCCTTCCTCGACCACATTCTGTGAGTACATCGCGTATGGGTGTTGAGGACCGGTAGACTGTTCAATCGGCCGTTCGACCGGGCGTATAGTCGATGTACTGCCGGCACTGGGCGACCGACTGACACCGACCTGAGGATACATCCCATAAGGATGGCTAGGTCCGGTAGCTCCGCTGTAGGGGCTGAGGGCACGGGGGATCGAGAAGCGAGAAGAAACACTCTGGTTTCGTTGGATCATGGAGGGTGTCGTGTTTATAGAGGCGGTAGAGTTACGGTTGTTGGAGAATCCCCACCCCTTTTGGGGCAGGCTTGACCGATGAGGTTCATCAAAGGACAGCCGAGCGTCATCCCCGAATGGGTTCTCATTCTCGGTTGTGGCCGTGCTGACAGTCTTTGGCGGTTGATTATTCTCGCGTAGAGTGGCAGACGAGGCGATGGAAGAGGGGCTGTGAGGGCGTTCGATGCGATCCGCATCAATCGGTTCTAACGAGTATTCGTCGGCGAAAACATTAGGATTGGAGACTTGGGAGTTGCGACCGAAGGAGTGGCGAGACATCGAGTCGCCTTGGGATAGACGGGGGGTCTGAGAGGATCGTGAAGCAGAGCGGGAATGCTCTGATGATATATGACCAGACATTTCCTTTCGGTCTGGCAGCCCTGTCGGGCCACCTCGTTATTCGATCAATCCGTTCGATGACCCAGTCGAGGAGGGCAAGGGCAAAATAGAGTCGCGAGAGCAATTAGGCGAGGTCCTTCTCAAAGATCGAAAGAGAAGAAGGGAGTTGGATGAAATCGGGATGGAAATGGAGATGTGGTGAGATGGGGGGAGAAGGGGAAGTTGAGAGGGCCAAGTTTGAGAGTAGTGTGACAAGCCTATTATTGGCAGAGGCGCCGAGAGTTCAACCACGCAAAAACTCGGACCATACGATATTTTTTGACTTGGGCTTATATTCCTGTTTATCTTCTTTTTCTCTAATGTATTTTTCTCTTTCTTCCTCAAGGGGTCCTTTTTGGGCTCTCTGGGATCGACTTGGACTCCATCAGCGCTACTGCGACTAGGCCAACTAGTGAAGCCCTCCCGTGGATACTTCGCCACCATTCTATTTTTCGGCTTTGCTTTCAGGATCTAGAATTGTTATGTGTTTGAAGCCTGCAAGATTGAAATGCTCCAAGAACCGAGACCCTCCAAGGGCAGAGTTCCCGCAAACTGGAGACTGATTTGCGCGACCCTGCAGAACCATCCAAAGACTAGAATTCCTGGAATTCTCACGGATATCTCGGTTCCGGACTAATGGTTTACCGGAAAATGCACAGTTCAACATACAGGCTATAGTTATTGCATTTGATGGAGCTTTCCAAGGACATGGAAAACTCTGCTGGCTTCTTCAAAACGCCTATTCCTTCATCCGCGTTCTCTCTTCGTTCTCGGCTCGCTGCGAAATCTGACATCCAATCCATGGAAACCGTCCTTCCTCCTCCTGCCCAGAACGGTTAAGATATGCGCTCTCTGAACAATCGGGGTTACTCTGGATTTTGGATCCTAACGGTCTTGACCAGACAGCGTTTCAGCCCCTATAACCCCCGTGACGCGGGGTTGGAACAATTTGTGCGTAACGGACCCATATCCAGGGCACGCCGGGCTCCATATTGCTCCATCCGATACCAGAGCGGTCTCGATTTCCGCTGTCGATATCGTAAGAACCCTTGGAAGAGCTGACCCAGTTTATTCTAGACTCTTGTTTACCCACCTTGGTCAACTGGTTTACTTTGGGTTCACACTGACTCTGAGCATTATGGAAATATGGAATGCCTGATTTGGCTCCAGATTCAGCACACAATACGGTGATTTCAATCGACTATCCATCCAAGATTCTTTTCACTGAGCATAATAGTGGAGGCTGATAGTCCACGGGTGTGTCCGTCGCACTAAAAGCTAGCGGGAATAACGTAGGCGTCAGAAATTTTCAAATCATGCCAAACCAGAGGACGCGGCTGTTTCAAATTGAGTATCGAAAACTCCAATTAGAGTCAAGTCAGTGCCGAGAAATACTGCAGATGGATCTAGTACGAACAACGTGTGATATCACTCGGGAAACCCGCATCACGTGACTGAATGCATCGTTTCAAAATCGATTGCTAGTTCCCAGGATCCAGTTCCTCGCAATTCTCATATCTCCATGCAAAATGCACCTGACGTTCAAGCTGGTCCACCAGTGGCCCTGATTTGTGGAGAAAAACCGATGATCCGATGTAGATCCAATTTTATCGTGCAACATATCAGCATCAACTATCAAGAAGGCTTCGTGTTTTGATACTGAGAGTCCCCAGCTTAGCCATTCCAGCCATTCAATCCAATTGTTCGTCAAGTTTCACTGCGCATTTCTATGGTGCTGCCACCTCGGTCACGGTTCAGGACACGGCTGGATTCATAGCAAGAAGCCACAACCAGCCGAATATTTCAACCCCAGGACATCCAATCCGAGAACGGAGAAGCCTTTTCTAGCTCAATATCACAGTGCCGACTCGGTTCATCGGTATAAAGAGGACCGCTCAAGATCTGAGAGCGATACTACTAGCGGGCTAACAAGTGAAGGGATCGTCGCCTGCCATATTGGACAGGATGTGCACCTCCCAGTCAGCCCGATTGAGGGCACACATTCATGAAAAACTGTTTGTGGGTCAAAACTAGTTTGCAACTTGGTTTTTAAGGGGCTTGATTAGAATGAGCACAGGCAGCTACAAGTCTAGCAAATCTATACGCACCTTAGCAACGGCGAAGAGGGGATCCGAGACACTGTAGTCCTCATTTCATTTAACCAAAGAGAATCTGTTAGGAAGGCTCGGCAAAGATATTAGCTTCTCGGGTCACATAGTATCCATCTAGTACCCCGGCTTCTCCGCAATCACTGCACGTATTCGTATACTGTGTCCAATAAGGAAGACGGACCAACGCCTCCTCTTTCTCAGAATCCGGGGCCGAACAGCAGATGATTCGAAAAGATGTTTCTGGCCTCGCCATATATTATCCCGGTACCGAAATCTGCGTCGCTCAATATGCGGTGTTGTGGGGAGTCTGTGGTTTGTTTATAAGAGACCGGGGTTGTGGATGATGGACCCGTTTCTACTGTATTGCTTTTCATCCATTGAGTGTCTATATCGAACGATAGTAACCATGGGTATCTATAAGCGCAAGATCACGGTTGAGGACAATGCTATCACTTCGGCTGTTCATCTAACCTTGCGGCAGTCTTTGCTTCCAAACGCATTGGGTATGTTTGGATTAGGGCTTGTGATGGCCAAGTTCTAACGCTTTCTCAGTTATGATTCTTTTCTTCTTATGGGGCTTTGCATACGGATTACTGGATGTGCTGAACTCGCATTTCCAAACTACCCTCAATATTACAGCTAGCAAGTCTAGTGGCTTGCAGGCTTCATACTTTGGCGCCTACTTTATCTGTCCGTTGACCATTTCCGGCTGGATTGCCCGCAAGTATGGATTCAGGGTCACCTTCATGACAGGTAAGTCAGTTTACATTGCCTTGCATATCCGCTAGACTGATGAATGAATCAGGTCTCGCAGTGCTTGCCGTTGGATGTCTTCTCTTCTGGCCCAGCGGCGTAAAAAAGTCATTTGGTGGATTCTGTGGTAGCATGTTTGTACGTGATATACAACACTCCTCCAGTATACTTCTCTAACCCGATGAATAGGTCGTCGGAGCCGGTTTGTCTACGCTAGAAACCGCAGCCGATCCCTTCCTTTCGATCTGCGGACCTCCGAAATACAGCGAGATCCGTCTGAACTTGGGACAAGCTGTTCAGGGCGTGGGAACTTTTGTCGCACCTCTACTCGCCTCTCGGGTTTTCTTTGCCAACACTGTGGACGACAACGCCGGACTGAAGAATGTCCAATGGACATATCTTGGAGTTGCCTGCTTCGTTTCTCTGTTGATCATCCTCTTTTGGCTGGCGCCCTTCCCTGAGATCACGGATGCTGACCAGGAAGCATTGGAGGGACAAATATCCGAGCATGGCGAGAACACTGGCCCATTCAAGAAACAGTACAACCTGTTCTTTGGTGTGTGGAGTCAGTTCTGCTATGTCGGAGCCCAGGTAGCCGTCGCTGGTTATTTTATCAACTTCTGTAAAGAGGCTGGCAAGTCATCTGCAGAATCGTGTAAGTTCTCAGAGAAAAATTGACTGGATCGCGATCTGACCATGCTGTCCTAGCCGACTTGCTTGCCATTGCTCAGGGTCTCTATGCCTTCAACCGTTTTGTGGCCACTGGCTTGATGATGATGAAAAGTTTCAAGCCAAGATACATGCTGACGGTATATATGGCTCTTTGTGTTGTTTTCTCAATTGCTGCTATGACTACAAAGGGTTATTCATCAGTGGCAATGATCATTCTTGTTCTGTGCTTCGAGTCTGTGAGTATTAACATACGCCGAAAGAGAAATCAATTTCACAGCTGACACATTCTTTCCTTCACAGTGCTGCTTTGCTACAATCTTTTCTCTTGCCCTCCGTGGTCTTGGGCGTCACACCAAGCGTGGTGGTTCTCTGCTTGTCGCTGCCATCTCTGGCGGCATGGTGTTCCCTCCCATGATGGGAGCTATTGTGGTTCGTCTTCACATCTTGTTTCCGACTTCCCACCTGCTTGTACACTGCTGACAAGATATCCTACAGACAAACAAAAACGCTCATATTGCTATGGCAATCCCCATGATGGGTTATATTCTCGCTATGATCTTCCCAATCTATGTCAACATCTACAAGAAGGATGTCATGGATAGTCATCGGAACACCGAGCTCAATGTGACGATCCCAGTTGGTAAGGATGTAGAGCTCGAGGCGCAGAAGAAGCCTACTGCCGCAACAATTGAGGCGGTTGAAGATGAGACTTGACCAAATGCTTGATGAAATGGGAGCATCTAAGCCAATTATGGGTAATCATAATTTAAGAGAAACACAAAGCTTTCCAGACTAATGACTTTTTATGTTCAAATTCCTCTCCGTAGAGCGAGAATGTCAGATAACTTCACCTGTCCCTTCTCGCCCCAGCCTTGTACTCCACTCTGAACATCGGGCCGCACGCGAATGTACCAAGACCAAGCACGTCTGTCCAGCTCCGCTTGATCCAACTTCGGAACCCATGATTGGCAGACCATATCAATGGCAGATAAAATACGGCCAAGGCATTCTTCTTTCTCGTCTTCAATACTTGCAACCGACTTCTTCTTTGGGGCTGTTTTCCCTTCTTCGGCTGGCTTTGAAAATGCTCGATAAAGATACGAGCGTGCAGATTCGGGCCTGAATATGGACAGTGTGTTGTCGGTGGTTTGATGCCGACCAGTGTTGTGATTGGAATCTTTGCCTCTGAGCGCTTCCAAATCCACACCCCATAGTGGAGGCATTTGGTTTTGTTTGTCCTGCGTGTTCTCACTTTGATCTTCTGTCTTGGTCTCAATTGGTGGCTTCCCTTCGTTTGGATCATAGTCCCATCGTTTTAACACCCGTATGTCTCTACCAAGAACTTTGACAATGGGGTGACCCTCTCCCCAGCCTTCTTGCTCAGCAGAGTTGCCTTCTTCAAGTCCCAGACTCGCAGCTTTGGTGCGACTGTTGGCTGAAACCACGGCCTGGGCCAGACTGAGTCTACTGGAAAGTGGCTGTTCTGGCATTGTGTACTTCAAAACGCACACCGCGAAGGCAAGTACAAGAGGTGCTCGGTTTGTGACGACCACAGTACCGCTCAGTTCATCTTCGTTGACAGCAGTGCTGGGCAAACTGAGTGAAGATTCAATCTCAAATGGAGTAGAGTCTTTTTTCAATGGTTTGGAGCTTTTGTTGCGTTTCTGGGGTGATGATTTGGTATCATCCGAAGCTCCTCGCTTCTTGGATATCCGTTTGGCGGCATTGAGAACTTGCTTCGCAATCTTCTTATCATTGAAAATGCCTTCCAATATTTCCAGGTTTGCTTTCGAGATTTGTTCTATCCTGAGACAATGTTAGACTCGAGATATGTTATGAGCGGAGACCCCACGTTATCAGATTAGCTTTCTGCAGCTCTAATGTTTTGCCCATTGCCGTAGCCAAAGGAACCTTGACATCTTGCGACAAGAATCTCAAGAGAGTTTGGATCTGTGCTGAAGCCATGATAGTAGAAAGCAAGATGGCAGACGTTCTCCAGTGCTGGTTAGATAGCTTCGTCATCGGCAGAATAATGCCGGCGATAACAAGGAAGCCCCCTCACCGGCGGCCCGACCGCCCGCGTCGGGTCTCAGGGAGTGTTTGGTGATCAGCTTTGACAACGAACCCTCCTTCAAATTATCTTTATTATCTGCCTGTAGCTTGGACCTTGCTGCCGTAGCTGCAGTTGCAGCTTCCGTGCAACATGTCCGACGAACCGAAGGGGAAGAGCTTCCCCGACGTCTCAGCCAAACTCTCCGCACTGCCCAAGAAATCGCTTTTCGAGCGCCAAAAGGCTGAGGCGGAAGCCAAGCGTGCCCGTGAAAAAGCCGAAACGGCTGCAGTCTACGAAGACTTTGTCAAATCCTTTGAGGATGATGCCCCGACTGGACCAAAGTCTTCCGATGGACGACTAAACACATTCGGAAGTAGGGGTGGTGGGCTGGGTGGACCTTCAAAACGACATTTCACAGCATCTGCATCCCGAAATAGTGGTCCAGGAACATTAGGACCCCCGCCTCCCTCACTTTCTCGCAAACGTACCCACGAGGGTTTTGCTCCCTCCCACCGAGACCAACCCAGATTCGAGAATGCGCATAGTGGCCCATCTGGACCGGCCTCGGCATTTGGTACTTCTGAAGCCGACAGAGCGGCTGAAGAGGCGGAGAGGGCAGCTTCGAAGCCTACATTACATCTTGCGTCACTTCCTCCTGGAACATCTCCGTCAGTCATCAAGGCATTGATCCCCTCTATTCTCACTGTGGACAATGTGAAGATCCTACGCCCACCCGGTCAATCTCCAACCGAACGAAGATCTTCCGCTGCGATTGTCACCCTTACAAGCGATGCAGCCGCCTCGGATATCGACACCACCGTGAGCACCCTCCAGAATAAGTACCTTGGCTGGGGGTATTACCTAACTCTCTCCCGACATCTTTCCTCTGCCGCAATTGGTTCAAATGTGCCTATTCCTGTTGGCATTTCATCAACTGCTTCTCTTCCCTTCGGTGCGAAAAATATTCAACCAACTTTAGTGGGAAGCTTGAGTCGAGCTCCACCACCAGGGTCACATCGCGGGGGATTCGCACCTCCTAGTTCGTATGGATCACCTGCTGGGAGAAACGGACCTTCCACCCAGGTGGAAGTGAAGGCACCGTCAGATATCAAACAGCTGAGACTCATACATAAGACCCTCGAAAATCTACTGAACCTCGGTCCAGAGTTTGAGGCACTTTTGATGAGTCGACCTGAGGTCCAGCGAGAAGAGAAATGGGCGTGGCTGTGGGATGCAAGGTCGGTTGGTGGTGTATACTACCGCTGGAAATTATGGCAGGTAGTCACGAACCCTCGAGCCCGAAAGGCCCAAACACATAAACCGACAACTGTTTTTGAGGGCGGACCAGATTGGGCCCCCCCGAAGGGCGATCTGAAATTTGAATACACCACCCGTTTGGATGAATTTGTCTCAGACGAGGACTACAACTCTTCCGACGAAGAGCATTCGGATGGCGAAGATGAGAGACGCAACCTGAGCGGAGCACCTCCTGATGGAACAAATGCGCACAGCGATGGCCTCGGCTACATGAATCCCATGCGAAAGGCTAAGCTCACACACCTTCTCGCACGACTTCCGACAGGTCATGCAAGGCTACGGCGAGGTGATGTTGCCCGAGTCACAGCATTTGCCATCGAACATGCGGGAGCGGGAGCGGATGAGGTTGTCGACATGATTGTTCTGAACGTTCTCCACCCCCTAGCTTACACAGGGGCCAACCCCGACCGTGAATCCGAAAAGAGCACTGCAAGATCCGAGAGTGCGGACAAGGAGAACCCTACCACAGCGAAAGGGACATTGGATGTATCCGCCTCAAAGCTAGTTGGACTCTACATAATCTCTGATATTCTCTCATCATCAGCCACCAGTGGCGTGCGCCATGCATGGCGATACCGACAGTTATTCGAATCTGCTCTCCGATCACACAAAGTCTTTGAGCACCTAGGTAGGCTTGACAAGGACCTTAACTGGGGTCGCCTCAAAGCAGAGAAGTGGAAGCGCAGTGTTGGTACTCTTCTCCATCTGTGGGAAGGGTGGTGTGTGTTTGCCCAATCAAGCCAAGAGCACTTCGTTCAGGTATTTGAAAAGCCACCACTTACTGAGAATGAACTACAAAAAGATAAAGAAAAGGCCGAGGCGGAGCGAGCTGCCGCTGCCTTTGCCAAGAGCAAGAGCCGGTGGAAGACAGTCGATGACGACGAATCAGCTGGCAAATTCGATCCTACACGACCTGCACCAGAAGAGAGCCAGTCTACTGTTGGTCCCGCAGAGGACGAATCAATGAGTGACATCGATGGTGTACCAATGGAAGACAGTGATCTGGAGGAGCTTGATAGCGACCTAATGAACAAGGAGCTTCCACGCGACACTGACGGCACCCAAGACCAGCCACCTCAGCAACCACCACAAGCATTTCAGCCTTCTGAGCAGCCTAAACAACCAACCGGGCAGCAGGAACCAGAGGGAAGGCAACGAAAGCCACGACCCAAAGCTGAAGACATGTTTGCTTCAGATTCAGAGTGAGCTTGTGCGCGATTGTAATTGTACGTTATGCAAAAGGATAATGAATTGCTATGAATCAACGTAAATTTCTCTTTAGATTGTATACAGTAGGTACAAATGCAACGGAAGCGTCTGACATTTGAGCCATTTGCTTTAGTGCTCACCTCTAGCGGCCTCTTGGACCCTTGTATCTGATACTGTACGGATTGAATGCACCGTACTGGAAGTTGACGGGTTACCCTAGGGCAGAGAACAGCAACTACATACGAGCTTAGACTGTGGAGAGTATAGCTCCGGCATCTGCCCTTCCCCGCACTCCTCACCACATCATTGAACGTGTTCGGTTTGCAAACTGCCAACATCGAAGTGTCTTGACAATTATTCATTGACATAAATCTTCAATATAAATAGAGAATTGCCCCCGGAGACCAGGTTGCTGACTTGAGCGGCATTCTAACCTACCCTCAATTTATCAGTCATCACGAATAACCCCCACTGCCATCACGATGTCCAAACCAAACACCATCACAGTCAACCTTCCTCAGCTGGCGAAAATGATCGACCACTCCCTTCTCCACCCAACAATGACCGACGAAGACATCCTCGCGGGTCTCAAAATTGCCAAGAACTACAACGTCGCGACGGCATGCGTGAAGCCCTACCTAATTCCACTGGCCAAACAAGAACTCGATGGCACAGACGTCAAGGTATGCCCAGTAATCGGGTTCCCTCACGGAAACAGCACCACAGAAATCAAAGTGTTAGAAGCTACAGCGGCAGCCCAAGCTGGCGGGCAAGAAATCGACATGGTCGTCAATATTGGCAAGGTCCTTGGTGAAGACTGGGAATACGTGACTCGGGAAATCGAACAGATCAACACAGCAGTCGTAAAGTATGGGGCTATCCTCAAAGTTATCTTTGAGAATGATTACCTTCAACCTGAACATATTATACGGCTGTGTACCATCTGCACCAAAGCGAGGGTAGCATTTGTCAAGACCTCGACTGGTTATGGATTTGTCAAGCAGGCTGATGGATCTTACAACTACAAGGGTGCGACTATCCCGCATCTCAAGCTGATGCGACAGCATTCTGGTCCAGAGGTTCAGATCAAGGCTGCCGGTGGTGTGAGAACTCTTGACGATTTGCTCCATGTTATGAGTCTCGGCGTGACGAGAATTGGAGCCACTGCTACTATTGCTATTATTGAAGATGCGAAGAGACGGGGTATCGGCATGGATCCCATTCAAATTGAGTTCAAGCCGATGAAGGAGGAAGGGCAGGTTGGCGGTTACTAAATTCCGTCGAAGATATGACACTTTGTTATTCAGCGGCACAGAGGCCTTTTTCCTTTTTCTGTTTTCCAGTTGGCTTCTCTCGCTCACTTGACATGCCTGATAAAGTATTTCAAATATTCTCTCCGTCGTACAGTGAGTCAGCCTGGTCCACTGCGTACCTAGGTACACTGCAGTTTACATAAAAAGGTGAATTCCATGAGCCCTAAACGAGAAGCGCTCTCCTATAATCTCCTCGGAAATCCCGGTCTCTATTTCAAACAATGCTCATTCTTACTCGTTCTTACCTGGCATGAATCCCAATCGATAGCGACTCTCAATTATCGGGGGAGTCTTCTCATTCACAGGAAGAGGGTCAAGGCTTTGTACATCGTGAGCTGGGCACGAAAGAATAAAGGCGAACTATCATCTAGGCAAAGGGCCCCGGGTCTCAAACATAGTCTATAAAAATAGGGCTGGTGACAACTTTTTCGCCACTCCACTCCCGGCCAACGAAATATATCGAGCGTAATCCGGTGTCTTGACCACTGAATGATGCTCTTCCCTGTGTCCGCTGTGGTAGGTCCACTCTTGGGATTGCTTCAACGCGAACAAACAGCTCTGCGCCACCGAGAATTTCTACCATTGTTCCATCTGGACGGCTGGCCTCCTCCCAGGATGTCTCGAGCTGGAAATTCGGCTGGGCTTTGTGGGGGTTTCCGGCCAAGGCGTCACCAACCTTGACATACCCACCAAGTGAGCCTGCAATAAATATTTTTGGCGGAGGGCTGTTGTCTTGAAGAGCAATGTTGACGCCATCGATGTCACCGCTTGTTTTGCTTGAGAACTCAACGGTATGATTCCCACTTAGCCGAGAATAATCTTCTGTGTTGTCCTCAAGACCCCCGAATGGCACCACATTCTGCACGGCGCCTTCCTCTGAGAGTGTGATAGTTCCATTCCAAACGGCTTCACGATACCGGTCATACAATCTGGCTCCACCCCAAGTAACTCGCAAGATTGTAGCAGGCGCTTCAGACTCAGACCAAAAGTGTCTACGCCAGATCAAGCCTGATGCATCAAAAGCCTCGATTGAAGAGAATCCTTTCTCCCCGAAGAACTGGTAATCTAGTTCTAGTGTCTCCTGACTTCGGAGCTGAATCTCATCGCCCTGTATAGCAGATCGATCGGCTGTCTGCACCAGTCCCACCAATCGCTGGCCAGTAGTTGCGAAAGTATGGCGGGCACGTAAAGCATCAGCTACGTCTTGGCGCTCTAGTCTTGGGGCCACAATCCCAGTTAGACCACCTCGGGTGCCGAAAACTGCTGTTCCGGGGACACCACCACCACATCGACCGCGATGCTCATCGGAATTGGCGGAGACTCCAAGTTTCCAACCTCTGCGGACAGCATCACGCAGAAGCCACTCAAACTGGCCCCACGCACTGCCAATTTCAACTAGGCGCTCTAGCTTAGGATGATGCCATGCAAGATTGCAGCGACGTCCACCGACATGGGGGATAAGCAAATGTGTGTCTGCATCATTGGCATACGTGCAATATACCTCATCTAATGGCCAAGCTCCAGGGACGAGATCCTTAGGGCCATGCTCGGACCATTCAAATGAGCGGGCAACATTCCCATGACGATCGAGGGGGAATTCGGGCGGATGTGTCGCTGGATCGGCCAGGAAGACAACGTTGTGGTCTCCTCCTGCCGCGGAGTTCCCGCACCACTCGGTACCGGGAAAGAGAACAAACTCGCCGGGCTTGTTGAGTGATTTTATCAATTCAGTCGTAGCATCCCAACGTTCCTTTGTAATTTGGAAGTCATTGGCAGTGTATCCAAGAACATCTAGCGCGGAAATCTCTCGACCATAAGTAAAGTTGTAGATGGATGACTCTGTTCCCACAGTGTCGTCAGAGTGCACATGCAGGTCACCAAACAAGGCCTTTGGGACTGAAAGACCGGAGGAGACTGTGATTTGAGTGATTTGGGATGCAATGATTGTTTGATCCTTAGCTTTCACGGATACGTCAATCGTATAATCTCCATCATCTTTTATGCATAGGTCGGAAAATATAGCATTGGTCCAGCCATGATTTAAGACAGAAATAACCCTTGAAATCACGACCTTCGAGTCCTTGTCTGAAATTTTCAAGTCAAAGGAAAGATCCTCGAGATCACTGGTCACATTTCCCCAGATATCCTCGGCGTGGGAATGAACTGCAAATAGAACAGATGGTTGTAGCACTCTAGGAGAAACTGTTTGAATGCGATAGATAGGACCGGCCAGGATGTTCCAGGAAATATCAGGCTGAATCGGAGCAAAGCGACTAAGGCAATAAAGTCAGCCTTATGCAGCACCAACGATTGCTGAATACTCACGAAGTTCCGACGGGATCGATGTAAAATCTCCAGCGGAAGTCTTTCTCTATAAATGTCTGGACCCGCGTTCCTCTGCCACCATAGCGCCGGTCGCCCAGGCGAATGACAATCCGATCACCGGGATTCATGTAGCCGTCTTGGATATCCACAATGACAGCCTTTTGAAAAGGTCGCTCGTGGCCCTTTTGGTCGAATCGGATGCCCAATGACTGGACTGTCGCGGCAGTCTGTTCCGGGAAAAGGTTGTTGGGGATATACTCAGCACTGACATAGTTGTCTTTTGTGGGATCTGATGTCTGGAACAACGCCCAGTCCTAATCGCTTTTTAGCCCAGGCCTTTCTTATTGGGCATCTTGCCTATACGATAGTATCGACTAACCGAGTAAAACTTGAAAGTGCCTTTAATCCAAGCGCCATCCGCTAGACCTGACGCGCCAACTTCATAGTCCAGCGCGATTTCCGTCCACTCACCGGCCACAAGCGATGTCACATCACTCTTCACTCGACCAGTGAAGGGCAGACTCTTGGTGTACTCGTAGAGTCCTTTTGGAGCAGAGTATACTCCCGCCGACTGGAATCTCTCATCGGCAGTAAGATTCTTCATGTTAGAAATTTGCTATACGAAAGAATGGAAGAAATGAAGAGAGAGGTAGACTTATCAAAGCATTAACTTAAAGTGTGCACGTGCTACGGATGGCCCGTTTTATTAAGACGCAATCACCACGCGATATTTCAACATCCCGGCTGACACCATTTAGTATCCACCATTGGTAAGATGTAAGTTTCGCCTCAGGCTGAAGGTGATCGGGAGAAATCTTCTGTCTCTTTTCTCTCCTTCAAGCATTATCCCAAACGGGAAACAATGAACTCGAGAGGAAAGCTCGTGAAGGCCATCCGGGATGATGCCAATATCAGTCGCTTCGTGGACTTTGCCAGTTCACAGTTGCCGAAATTGCCTAAGGCTACAGCTAAATACCTAGCTGAAAAGGCTCCTATCGTGCAATGGATTCCAAAATATTCTCTTTCTTGGTTGTGGAGTGATCTAGTGGCCGGTAAGATAGTCTCGCGCGAGTTCAAATCAGAACTAACAAGGGACAGGTATCACAATTGGAATTCTTCTAGTCCCCCAGAGTCTGGCTTATGCTAAGGTTGCCAACATTCCTACCGCCTATGGCCTTATCTCAAGTTGGCTTCCGACGCTATTCTATGCAATTATGGGCACATCAAAAGGTTTCGATATTCCTATACGTCTGTCTGTCATGCCGTTTTTAGCTGTCCTAACTGGAACTATTCTCAGATGTCACAGCTGGTCCAACCGCGATCATGGGTCTGCTGACTGGCGAAATCGTGACTGGGCTAATTGGTGAAGGGTACACTGCTCAAGCCATTGCGAGCGCCGCCGCTTTTTGGGTGGGAATATACTCCCTGATCCTGGGCCTCTTCCGCCTTGGATTTCTTCTCGACTTTATCCCTCTTCCTGTTCTTTCGGGATATGTCTCTGCCGCCGCAATTACTATTGTGCTTCAACAACTTAAAGAACTATTTGGTGAGAGCAAGAAAGGTTCTAGCACAGCGGCTGTGATTCGAGAATTCTTCAAACAGCTTCCTGAAACAAACTGGCGGGCTTTCTTGGTTGGCATATCTTGCATCGTTCTTCTCTTAAGCTTGCAATTCGTTGGTCGCAAATGGGGCAAGAAGTACCGCGCTCTATGGTATCTCTCGGTTGCTCGAAATGCAATTGTCCTCGTTCTGGTTACCGCAATTAGCTGGGGGGTGAACAAGTCCCGTCGCTCCGACCCTCTCTTTGGAATCTCGAAAGTGAAGAGCACAGGAATCATCCCTCCAAAGCAACTTGACAGCGTCTTACTTCTCAAAGTCGCGGGTCGCAGTGTGGCCGTTTTCCTAGCTGCGGCTTTGGAGCACCTTGCCATTGGTAAAGCGTTTGGACGGCGCCATGGTTATGTTATCGAGCAAGACCAAGAACTGAGCTATATCGGTCTGGTTAATATGTTCGGAAGTTTCTTCTCTAGTATGCCAGTCACCGGGGGCTTTTCACGCACTGCTGTCAATTCGGAGTCTGGTGTCAAGAGTCCTCTGAGTGGTTTGGCCACCACTGCTTGTGTACTGGTTAGCATCTACAAGCTCACAGATGCATTTTATTGGATCCCGTCTGCTACCCTTTCAGCTATCATCATAGTTGCGGTGTGGCAGATAATTCTCCCGTTTCATGTGTTCTGGCACTATTGGAAGACCTCTTTCGCCGACTTTATCGGTAGCATGGTTGCCTTTTGGGTAACTTTATTCGTCGACGTCGAGATCGGCATTGCCGTTGCGGTCGGTTATAGCCTTGTCTACGTCTTACTTCGACTCGCGTTTTCTGGTGTGACCATGGTCACGACTGACAACTTTTCGAAATTGTACCAGTCTCAATCCAACTCGAAAGTAGCAGCTGTCCCTGACGATGCCATGCTCTTTATGCTTCAGGACTCAGTGCTGTACCCCAATGCTGCTCGTATCACGCGCCAGATTACAGATGCTATTTATACATACAGCTCGGGGATGGACGAAGTCTTCTCCGCTGCTCACTCTATCAACGAAACTTCAGCTAGCGCGACCGAGAGACTGTGGAACGATACAAAGGGTAGGCATATCAGAGCTCTACGCAAAGAAGCAGGCACTGAACACACAGAGGAAAGCCCCTTGCCCAGACTGTGCGCTGTTATTGTGGATATGGCTCGAGTTGCACACGTTGATGCTACCGCCATGCAAGCTTTTGCTGATATCAGATGTATTCTGAGGGAATGGGCAGGTCCGGATGCGGATCTCAGATTTGTGGGGCTCAATGAACGGGTAAAGGACCGGTTCAAGAGGTCTGACGACTACTTTCAGTCTTTGAAAAGCAATGAATCGCCCAGAGACGAAGGGTATATAGTATTCGACGTTTTACAGACAGCACTGTACAATTCTCAAAGGACGGATGAGGACGTGCACGCAAAGCAGTGACGTACTAGAGGAGTATTTGTATTTAGATAGATCGAAGTATCTTCCTGTTTATGGCTCGAAAGATATTACCGACATAGAGACAAGTGTACATTCATGAACGTGAAAATAACGTCGCATTCCTGTAGGATTATTTAAACTGCAAATCAGGATAGAAGCTAATCCCCTAGTGGATAGCAATGTAGTATCTGTCCATCTATTGCGTTATATCGCGGTTAGTTGCATGGTTCTCGGGTATTTTCGCGGTGATAGTGGCACATACAATAGAAAGAGGCATCTCTGCTGGCCAAAAACACAAAGCTGGTAGCAACTTCACTGGCTTGACCGGGACGGCCGAGAGGTTTGCTTTCGCCCAGGTTCTTCATACCCTCGGGATCTCGTGTGTCGACTTGAATTGGGGTATAAATCGTGCCGGGGCTGCTCAAGATTAGTACGTCAAACAACGAAGAATATAAAGAGTACTTACGCGACGGCGTTCACTCGGATACCCTTTGGAATGAGCTGTTGTGCGAGAGACCTTGTGAACCCAACAATTGCTCCCTTCGTGGCAGCATAATCCACCATGCTGGCCGTACCGCGGAAAGCAACCACTGAGGTGTTGTTGATGATCCTGAAGAATCGTTAGTATCAATAAGTAATCAAAAACTGATAATAAAAGTATTGACTTACGAGTCGCCTTTAGACATGTGTGGAAGGGCGTATTTTGTGATTGCGATCATCTGGAGAATATTCGATTGGAACACATCTTCGACCTTCTCGAGATCGATCTCTGCTAGATCCTTGCACGAATACTGTTTCGAGGCATTGTTGACGAGCACATTCAGAGCACCGTGTCTATTGGGCTCGTAATTAATCTCTGCTGACAATAGTCTAATAATTGACGAGACTTACCTCTTGATGTGTTCTTCAACCGCTTGACGACAGAAGTCATACTTTCTCAAGTCTCCACGAATAAGCAAACAGGTTCTATTTTCTGCTTCGACCATTGCCTTTGTTTCTTCCGCATCATGTTGCTCTTGCGGTAGATAAACAATACTAATATCTGCGCCTTCTCTGGCCATCAAAACCGAGACTGACCGACCAATGCCGGAGCTTTTTGATGTTAGCGTATGTAGGAAAATCAAAAAGGTTGTAAACATACTCGCCACCAGTTATGAGGACCTTTTTGTCCTTGAGTTTATCCGCGCCGGTATATTCAACAAATCCTTGGCTTCCTTCAAGTTTGGTGACTTCACTAGGGGGTGCCATTTTCTTTTCCAGTCTAGTAACGAATAGTTAGCGCAAATGACTTGAAAAAGCGAAAATATAGCCTAACCCGGGCTTTTCCTGACTCTGAGCCGCCTTTGGCGGTTGGAAAGTGTCAGTTTCTCCCATCTGCGACATTTTGGGGATTATTGGTCGTGAAACTTGATTAAATCGTGCAAAGAATAAATACGAAAGTGCAGGGAGCTTTAGCTCTCGTGAAAAGGAGTCGTATATAGTTAGAATGCGACCGTAGGATTCGGCGTCATTGATGCGTCAATTTGTGTGGAACATGCTTTTTTCGTTGATATCATTTCCAAGAATCTGGTTTCTAGACAAAATACCGAGACGGCAATGAGTAAATTCAGACTTGTTTTTCCCCCCAAATTCCTAGAAACGTCTAGCTTTCTATTGAGATCCATGGTGGCTCTAGAGGACTACTACGAAACCACTACCGGACTCGAAGCTGTCACGAAGCACTGATGTCTCTTATCCCCAAAGGTAGTAAAGTACTCCATACAAACCCCTTGGATCTGTTCTTCGCACGACTCTTCGACATCTGTCTCTAGCAGCAACTATAGCTATGTAGTTGGCTATCTGTTATTACGTCGCTATATTGTAATTTTTAAAGCTACTGATAGCTCTTGGCTCTCTATAGCAAGATGCCCGTCGTGGTCCACATGCTCATTCTGGACACCTGTTGAGCTTTTCTCCGTAAAAGGTGACTATGCTGTACACCATTCTACTCGAAACCTAGTCGTATCCTAGTCCCAGATCTGACAGTCAAGGCTTTAGTCTTCGTAAAAGGCTTGACTAGTGAGGTTGTTTTTTATTTGGCGAGAACAGCAGAAGAAAGAAGATTTAAAGACCTAGCTACTGAACTGCCATCTATACTATGGAGCTCGAATCGGACCATACTGGAGCAAACTCTACTCTCCTCGCAGAAATAGATGAAAGCCTGGGTCCTCAGACAGGTGCAGGACATGGCGTCCACATCTTTATTCTAGTTCTCGCATCTAACGAGCTGGGAACTGCAAAATAAGGGCATCAACCATCGACTTGAGCGCCCGGGAGGTAACTAAGGATATGTGACTTGAGTAATCGCATAGATCAAGGGGGTAGTTAAGTTATACTGTAGGATATGGCCGAGGGCAATACTATTAAAAATATCCGAAGAAACTTGTGGCAAATTTTGAAATGGTTCTGCCCCTCCAAATTTTACCAGTCAGGGAGATAATGCATAGAATTATTGATGCTACCAGCGTTTCGAAAGTTGTCTGTTTGAGAACCCTGTCAATACCTCAACAAGATTTGTACCTAACGGCCCCCAACTTTTCTCCGATTCACTAAGCAATCCCACAAAAATACATGAAATTATTTTCTCTGAACCAATCCATTTGAACAACTTAGCGCTATGGTTTATCTTTATATCCCGTTGAAAAAGCCACCAGTATGTATGTTCGCCTGGGCGTATCGACACGTCAGAGATCAACATTTACGCAAGCGCCCGTAAGTATGGCATCGAAACAAAGAGTCGGCGAATAGGAACGCATGTCTCGGCGCCATTTCTGCAAGTCTAAGTCGCCAGGGACGTTATTGGCAGCATCGCTATTGCTCAGCCTCATTGCTGATTTAGATATGGGTGAATGAGCCCTTAATAGTCAATAGCTGGCGATGTTAATCTGCTCAATTACGCTGCACCACAGTCGATTTATTGTACCACCGCACGATTTATTGTATATGGATGTATCGATAGTGACTGAGGATGTCCACGTATATCTTCACAATCCTCCTCGCTCTTCCACCAGTCCGCGCAGGCGGCTGGGACGACTTTTCGAACAATCTCGCAACCGATCTCGCACCATTTCTGTCTCTCTTTGGTGAACAAATAACAAAGCAATACCTAAGTGAAAGCATAACTACAACAGATTATTTTATTTTCGCAATGGCTCCAATGGGCATCCTCACAGCGGTCGTCTCCGCGATCCGAGTGTGTGGGACCGCATCGCTACGTGCCTTCATCGGCAGAGCTCAAGAAGGAGCGGGAAACGCAGAAGCTGAGCTGTGTTCTTCTACAAGCCGGGACGTGTGTGAGCTTTATAACAATGGGGGCATCGCGCGTGTCTTTGGCCGTCCGAAGATCCTAGAGGTTGTTCATGATCCAGATCATGATTTCAATGACAAAAGCGACGATACAGCGGGAATATACACATTTCAAGAATATGTTCGGGGAAAGGGCAAGTGCACTTGGCAGAAGCAAAAGTCAAAGAGGAAGAAGCAGAAAGACCCGGAGTCAGACTTGAAAGAGGACTCTCCTCACACAGTTTTTTCTCCGAATCTCTCCCTAAATATCGGGATTAAGAAGCAACCCAATGCTGTTTTCAATGCAATTGCTCTTGGAGGTCTGATTCTGCAATCTGCTGTTTTAGTTTTCGCTGGCGTTGTAACATACTATCTGAGATGGGAGAAGAATGGCAGTCGCCCGGAGTCCTATGCATGTCCACTGCTGGTAATTGGGACTGTCCTGGTCTGCGGCGGAATGTTTTATTGCGCTTTTCTTGTGGGCCAGAGCACGGATGAAGATGTCTGGCTTCGACAAAAGAACTATACAGACAACTCATCTATGTATTGGGTACAGCCTGGAAATCAGATAGTTGGTGATCAAACTTTTGACGCCTTCTCGCATACGGATTATGACGATCGACTGGAAAAGTACACGACTTCAAGGAGGAAAAACGGGCCTAGAGAATGGAAATTCGAAGTCTGGACAGCCATCGGAACCACTATCTCCGGCTTTGTCCTCCAGTTTACTGGCCTCCGCGGTATACACTCGGCAGTTGCCGTGGCCCAGCTGGGAATCGTCCTGGTAATGAGCACGGCGCGGGCTGCCCTTCGCATGGAGCGGTTCAAGTCCGACGCAAACTCCTTTGCCAAGTTTCCAGATGAAATCCTTGGTCATGAACTAGACTGGCTCGCCTTGCGTATTGGTCGGAACATCATTGAGAAGGATTTGAAAGATGCCATCAAAAAAGAAATCGGAAAAGACGATTCGTCACTTTGGTGGTCGTCTTCCAGTCTGTCCTCCAAATCATCTGCCCGATCACCTCCCAGTCCTCAATCTCGTTACCTCTGGAGATTCAAAGGTGCGCCTAATACGGACAGAATCAGCCTCAAGGATCCAACTGCCAACATGCCCCATAATGCTGCCGCTATATTATTAGCGTATCGGACCCGCCTCGCATCACTTACAGTTTCATCCACTGCCCCGGCGAGAAGTTTCAGGAGTGAGATGGTCGAGGTCCGAACCGAAAGCCAACAACTGGCCGCTTTGATTGAGGCTACGGTGGACACCATATTCTCCAAGGCCGAGATCAAGAAAGAGTGGAAGGAAGCCATATCCATGTTTTGGGGCATTGACTGCGCCATTTCCGAACATCTCAAGGACACTACGATATCTTCGAAGGATCACAGGCTCTACCTAGAATTCACTCGTCAAAAGGATCTGGACACTGGGAAATACTGGGTACTCAAAAACAGTATGGAGCTCGAAGGTCTCCTAGGACTGTGGGTGTGGTCACTGAAGTCAGATCCAGCTATAGAGGTACAAGATCCAGACACTGGCCTCACGAACTCCATAGCTGGCAGAATTAAGGCACGACGGGTCCTTCCAGCCGAACAAGTGATAAAAGCAGATTTGGGGATATGGCTCGGTGACGACCTCAATAGTATGACGAAATACACTTTACCCTCCACCTCCGACCTTAGTGACATGAGTGCCATATGGAAAAAATGGGGGAAGACGGTCGAACAGACGAAAAACCCACTGCCAGTCGAGCACAATGTAACGCTGGTTCGTTTCTTTGGCCGCAAAGCTGCACAGTCGTCGCAGAGTCAAGTCTCCAAGACATCCAGCCTTTTCTCCGCTCCGATCAACGGCTCCCTCGTGTCAGCATGTGCTCAGGAGATATTTTCGTCGTTTCTTGAGAGCATTCTTGACATTGTGGATGACGTTGGACCTGTTGATCTTCAAGAAACTGAACCTTTTCGACTCCAGAACAGCCTGGTGACTGAGGTTGTTACATTATTTGCGCAGATGCAATTGGGCACAAGACAGGAAGCTCTTCTTTGTGTCGTGCCGTTGATGATATCTCACCTTAAGACGCCCTCTCCAGCAAGTGTCTTGGCCGCAGCGGGGAAAAGTGCAACCAAGCAACGCCGAAGCAACGAGTGGAAAAAGGCCGAAGAAATGCTACGATGGGTGTGGAGAATCTGCATTCAATCTCAATCCTCCCTTGCAGATACGCCTGATGAAGACGGGAACCACCAACGGGCTTCTAAATATACTCTTGCCGAGCTAGCGACGATTGCTCTGGGGGAATTATATCGATGGGCCCTAGTGGATAAAAGGACATTCGGTATGGATGGAATCTCCTGGCTCGAGAAACAGAAGTCTAGCCACTCGGTATCTATATGCGAGGTCATTGACCGCTATGTTGCTGTTGCAAATGGGGTTGAACGAGATGAAGTTAGCAGAACTGACCTTTTCAGCACAACGGAGAACGGCTGCTTAACTACAACATTGCTCGCTCTCACTCGTCCGGCATCCAATATGGAGAGCGAACAGAAAGGGAATGCCCTTTGTTTAGCGGCTAAGCGTGGCTGGGCTGAGGTCGTACGCGCGTTGCTTGAACTCAACACTGAGCCGGACTTTCAAGATGCAGCAAGCAGAACGCCGTTATCATACGCAGCAGCAAATGGGAACGTCGACATCGCAAGAGAACTGATATACTCGGGGAGCTTCCCAGACTTGGGGTGCCCGCGAAACAGGACACCTTTGTCATATGCGTCAGAGGCAGGGGCTTACAGGGTTGTTGAGCTATTGCTAAGAGATATACGTGTCTCTCCGGACCACAAAGACAGCAGCGGATTGACACCACTGTGTTGGGCGGCGAAAAACGCGCATGACATTGTCGTCGAGCAGCTACTCGACACCGGTAAGGTCGACCCGGACGCGATGAAAAGCGGTAGAGGAACTCCCCTATGGTGGGCAGCATTGGAAGGCCATGATAGTATTGTGCAGCGGCTACTCGATACCGGCAAGGTTGATCCAGATGCAAGAAATGGCAATGATCAGATTGTTAAGACACCACTAAGCAACGCGGCAAGTAAAGGGCATGGAACCATCGTCAAGCTGCTACTTGAGACCGGCAAGGTTGACCCAGACTCGAAAGATAATGGGGGGCGGACGCCATTGTATTGGGCGGCAATAGAGGGGCATGAAAAAGTCGTGAAACAGCTACTCGAGACGGGAAAGGTCGACCCAGACGCGATGGATAGTGGTGGATGGACGCCACTGACCAACGCAGCCATCAATGGTCATGAAACCATCGTCAAGCTGCTACTTCAGACGGAAAATATCGACCCAGACACGATAGATCAACGTGGACACACGCCACTGAGCTACGCAGCCCGCCATGGACATGACCATATCGTCAAACTGCTAATTAAGACCGGTAAGGTCGACCCGAATGCGAGGGACGATTGGAACAAGACGCCATTGCATTGGGCCGCACGATTTGGGCGGAGCACCGTCGTCAAACAGCTACTTGAGAACAGCATGGTCGATCCGGACGCCAAGGACCTTCAGGGACAGACGCCTTTGTGGTGGGCAAGGGATTCTGGACATGATACTATCGTCACGCAACTACTTGAGACCGGCAAGGTTGACCCGGATCCAAAGGCGACTTGCGGATATTTCGAGGCCAATTTGGCAGCAAGAAAGTGGAAGCACCCGAAAAGACCGGGGGAGTACTCGACTTTTCAGGTTCTGAGCGCGGCGAGATTGAGCGAACCCAGATATTTCCCTCGTACGAGTTCTTGATCCGCTTTTAATGGTAAATGCACAAGTCTTTGTGGGAGGAAAAATTAGGGCTACTGCTTTTGTAATATTAAAAGACTGTTAAATACAACCACCTGCTTTTGAGACTGCGTAGGATAATCTCGAAATCTTGTTTCACCCTACTCCTCCTATATGCTAGGACACCTACTGGGATGATGTCCTCAGAATATCAGACATCGAATTGGCTTCTATCCTTCTTTCTTGACAGCAGAAACCTATGTTTCGGCTTTATGGGAATTATAATTTCAACGAGAATGTACCAGCATTGGGCTATGGCAATTGTATGAGTCAAAGACAGATATACAGTGAGCACTGACCTCAATGTGCCGACTTGCTGCCCAAACACTAGGAATTATCGAGCGCCTGACAACTCTGATTATGAGTATACCTATTAGGTACCTAGCAGAGAAAGAAGAGATAGTTTGTATCTGCCAAACGAGGGATAAACATCGCAACTTTCTAGGTATACAAAGCCGACCCAGGAACTCGCGGAACTCGCGTAGACTCTACAGATGCATAGTTGAGTTAGTAGGCAATGCGGTTATTCATAGGCAAATAAAATAGTTAGACGTCTATGTCTCATACAACCTTGGAAGAGCAATGTTCAAAAGTTGCAGAATGTATATGGCATAAGGCGGAAGGGCGGCAGAAATACATTTCATGCCCCACAACCCCTCATCAACAAATACCTTCTTCCTCATCTCTGTTCTCTTTGAACCACTTAAGCTCCTCTCGGTTTACTCATACAACTCATTCAAAATGCCCGGACCCGGTACGTCTTATTTGAGAATACCCTGAGCACTCTCCCGCTCCTATCACTCTCGCAGTACTCTCAGCCTCAGTCCCCAGACGGCAATGCGATGCGTGAACGGTTCTGCGCAGCTGAGGGATTACTGAAGATCGAACCAAAACTTGACATGGAACAAAAATTGGCTAACATATTCACCCTATCTAGACCAATCAGGCCCAATCGCCCGTACGTCCCTCACTCCTTCTCATAAATCCAGCAATGCGCCCCGTTCCCGATCTTCTCCCCGTTGAGCTGTGAACTATGCCTCAGTCGGCAATGGTGCAATCTATACATAGGAGCCTATCCTGACTTACCGGCCCTACAGAGGAATTCCTGAAGTTCTACTATGAGAGCTTGGAGGGAGATCGCCAAAACCTCGCTCCTCTCTACGTAAGCCAACTCTACCCGGGACTTGAGGCAAGACACCGGATACTCATTCAAACATTCTCAACAGCGTCCTGAATCCAAGCTCACCTATGAAGGCGAAACCCTTGAGGGCGAGGAGCTCCTCAAGAAGATTGCCGTGCGTGAACCCCCAAATCGGCGCTATAAAGGGCTCCTCTTGACAAGAAACTGTGTATGCTGACACCAGACGGGTTTTCTAGGGCATGCCCCAGGTAAAGCGCGAGCTTGTCAGCGTGATGTCCCAGTCTTATGAGAATGAGACTGCCATCATGATCATGATGCATGGTCACCTCCTCGTACGTCATATGAATATATCATTGTTCTGGTTTCCTGGCTAATAATACTTTTCAATAACAGGCCGACGACACCCATCGGATGAACTTCATCCATGTCTTCAACCTGCGTCGCGATGCCGGCGGAAACTACTTTGTGAACAACGAGATGTTCCAGCTGGTCTACAACGCCTAAATCATAGACTCGCAGATAATGGCCATGACAGAATGATAGGAGGAATGATTTTTTTGTGAAAAGGATACCCCTTGATGGGGCTAACCAGAACCAATTGTGTCGCAAAGGATCTACACGCCTCAATCTTCGATATGAATGAAGTCTATTTGGACCAATATAGAAACACATAAGATTTCGCTCTATGTAAAGCTACAAAATAGCGTGGTTCCACCATGCCACATCTATGAGCCGCAAATCAATGGCTCTGAAGCAATGGCGTTTCTTCAGATGGGCCCTCCAAAGGCTCATGTTCGGCTCGCTCATCAGCAGGGGCAGCCCCATTCAAAGCCCCATTCTCATCAACATGATGCCCCGCTACCCCCTTATGGTTGGACCCAAAGTATTCAAAGTAGATCGCCATCACCAGCAAAGAACCCTGCAAGCAGGCTGTGACAACCAACACACCCCATATACTCCAACCGGCCCATCCCTTGCGCGCAGCCAAGCTGCTCGCCCAGACAAGACTGCCAGGTGTCTGGATGCACATCATCGGGATACTCAAGCTCCCCACACAGCGCAGCCGGAACGTGGTATAGATCTGCGGGAAGTACTGAATGGATGCGAGGACGGCAGACAGAATACCGAGGAAGTTCGCCCAGGCCGGCATAGCGGCTGGTTGGCGGATGTTGAAGGCGACAGATATTATTATCGTTGCGAGCGCATGGAGCAGGCATAGCCCTGTTACGACCAGCGCGGTGCGGTAGGTCGGTCCGTTGGGTGTGGAGGATACAGCGCTTACCGGGTCTGTTGGGGACGTTGCTCGTGGGAAGTAGATCACGAATAGGAGCAGACTAGATGGGATACATTAGGATTTCACTTCTTATGGTACATACCATTTCAAGACCCGGTCGGGCATGGACTCACATGGTGAAGAAACAGAGCCACTGCGTGCCCACTTGGACGACGCCGAGCAGCCCTGCGAAACATGCCACGCCGCTGATCTCCTGGCAGCAGGCGACATCTTGGGCTGTGGATGGAAATACTAGGATGTTGGCAAAGGCTGATGTACCGGATGTTACCCCTAGTAGCACGAAATAGGGCGATATCCCGAAGGAGCTTCGGCGGGCAATGATGCGGATATGTTGGGGAAGGTATGAAAGGAGAATGCCGAAGACGATCAAGCTGAGGTTCCTTGTTAGTTACTGGATGTTAGTTTTGGGTATATGAGAGCATACACTGATAACACGGTTTGGAAGGCGTTGGGCGAGGCCAGCTCACGGCAGTATGGCGTTGATGGGTCCATGTTGGAGAGCTACGGAGCTGAGCTCAGAGGTCGGGGTAGCCCGTAGGTCGCAGGGAGCTGGAGCTAGAGCTAAAGCTAGAGCTGGAACTAGTGAGAGAGGATCAACCGGATCAACCTACGGATCACATCCAGATCAAAAAGTGTTCAGTCAATGCAACTGCGTAGGGGGATCAGGGGAGAAGACAATCCCCGCACAAGGGTCCCTGTTGGGTATTCGTGCCTCGGCGCCTGATGTTAGCTTCAATTTCAACTTCACTCTATACAATGTTCACTCTATAGTATCAAGTATCTGAACGCAGGTCCAGTTAATGTTTATTTGCCATTGTCATAACAAGATTCACTGCTTAACTGCCATGACGGAATACGAAATTGATGAATCATGCATCCAGCCAAGGCAAATTCCCCAACTACGTCACTGCGCAATCATCCCTGGTCCTTTCTTGCTTTGCTCTTTTTAAGCATCTCTTTCTTTCTTCTTCTCTCATGCTTCTCTTGCTAAGTTGATCAAATAATTGTTCTAGCTCTTGCAATATACCCTTCTACTGAACCTAAAAATCAAGGTCAAGATGAAGCTGAATTTGGCCACTGGCCTTCTGTTTTTACTCGCGTCCACTGAAGCAGTGGGAGCTACCAGCTGGTGGAGCAAGGCTGGTGCGTTGTCATCATGACTGAGATAGTTCGCGAGCTAACGGCAGCAGTTTACAATAAATGGCACGAAACTGAGCTCGAGCGATGGCTGTCCGACCATGGTATGATATACTTCTCTGTCCTAGCAGCTACATCGATTAACACTCCACAGATATCCCTCACCCTAGTCCCGCCGACCGCCGGGACCTAGAGAACCTGGTCAAGACCAACTGGGACTCCAGAGTGCAGAAACCTTTGGGATCAGTGGCCGACCAAATCAACGACCAAGCTCACCATGCGAGGGAATGGATCTTCGACACGTAGGTTGTTTACTTTAACGCTGCCAGCAAATGAAACTAACCCAAATAGTTGGTCCGACACTCAGTTGAAGGCATTCCTTGATCGTCACGGCATTCCAGCTCCCCAGCCCCGCAAGCGCGACGTCTTGATCAAGACTGCGCGTGAGAACTATGAATCGATCGCCAAGAAGGTCGGTGAGACCGCCTCTTACCCCGGAGACTGGCTGTATGAGTCGTGGTCCGATTCAGATCTCAAGGCATGGCTCGACGAGCGTGGATGGCCCGCTCCTCAGCCATCAACCCGTGACAAGCTCATCGCCTCGGTGCGCCGCAACTCTCGCATTGCCAGCTTGCAGGCACAGAGAATCGCTGCATCTGTCTCTGCTTCCGCTGAGTCTGCCACGCAGTCCTTGAGTGACGAACTTTTCAATGCCTGGTCCGATTCGAAGCTGAAGGAGTTCCTTGATGAGCACAATGTCAGGGTCCCTCAGGGTTCCAAGCGCAATGAACTCATCGCTCTCGCCCGCAAGAACCGTGCGTATCTCGTCGGCCAGGCCTCTAGTGCTGCCTCGAGTGCTTCTACCGCTGCCGAGGATGCGTGGGGCGCTGCTACCACCAAAGCTGGAAACCAATATGCACGCGCTACCGATGACGTCAAGATGAAAACCGAGGATGAGTTCAACGCTGCACTGAAGGGCTGGTCTGACACCCGCCTCAAGGCATTCCTTGATGCCCGGAGCATCCCCGTTCCTCAGTATGGCAAGCGCGATGAGCTCATTGCCGCCGTCCGCGCCAACGCCCACAAGGCTGCCGGTGGATGGAACCAGTACAACTTTGACACTTGGGATAAGGAGCACCTGCTGTAAGTCAATGTTCATGTCGTCAATGTTCTCACTCGCTGACATTTCTAGGAAATACCTGTCTGCTATGAACAGCAAGGCTGCTAAGAAGGCCGATGCCTCGCGCGAAGAGCTGGTCAAGAGTGCCCAGGACTCCTACGCCAAGGCCTCCAAGGCTGGTGGTGAGCAGTACGCCTCTGCAACTGCCTCTCTCGCCCAAGCCACTGGATCAGCCAAGGATGCCACCTTTGACCGGTGGTCGCACTCCGAACTCAAGAGATACCTTGACTCGTACGGCATCCCCGTCTACCAGGGCTCAAGCATCAATGAGCTCCGAGCCGCAGCTCGCCGCAACGCGCAGTACTTCAAGTACGGCACCACCAACCCGCGTGACACCATCTACGCCAAGGTCGTGGATACCTTACAGTGGGCCTTGGAGCAGCTGAAGATCGGCGCTTCCAGCGGCCGCGCCCAGGGCCAAGAAGCTGCCGATAAGGCGCAGGAGAAGGTCTCCGAGAAGGCCCAGAAGCTGCGTGCGGAGCTGTAAAAAGCTTTTTCTCGAATCCACCTGTTATTTATCTTTCTATTCTACAAGGTTGGATGCCAATTCGGTTTAGCTTCTGTGATATTTCTTAGGTTACGATGATTATGACATTTGAGCTTTGGGTTGCTTTTCGCTGGTTGTTGGTTGTTGATTCAGGCATTGATTTTTGTTTGACTGTCGAAAACAAATGCAAGACTTTGGAAGCTTTAAATCTCCCTTCTTTGATCTAAACAGTAATCGCAAGTTTCTACAGAGATGGTATAAGATAATCCCGAAAAAAAAGAATCGCGTAGCTTTTAGTGCAAGTCAACGATAATGTTAATCATAACCCAAGGTTTCCCCAGTCCATCAAGAACCTGCAACGTTTCCAAATAGGTCATTCTACCCCCAAACAAACACCGGAGATGTATGTTTACTTCATTTATGCCGTCACGACGAAGGAGCCTCAGGATCACCCTCAGCAACCAACTTTCCAACAACGAGGTACTTCTCCAAGAAGCGCTCCTCCCACGACTGCAAGTTCTCCAGCTGATCCTCATCCAAGTCCTCCAGCTTATCCAACGGCGCCGACAAATCCTTAGTCAACATCTCCTCATCGAAGCTCTGGTGAGCCAAACCGCGGGATGCGTCGCGGCCAGCAAAGTTCTCGTAAGGACCGCCCTGTTAAAACCATGCATCGTCAGCGTCTGCCCAGCTCCAAATCTAGACCTAGCCCGAGTATTGTATTCCTAGGTTGGCGTTTCACGGGAATCCCACATACCGGTCCGTAGAAGTTCCTTCCAGGAGAAACATCAAAGACACGACCCCGCACAGCAAGGTAGACGGGCTGATCGTTCAAGCCATTGTATTTGATCAGCGTTTTGGGGGTGTAGGTCTTGAAGACGACTGGTGGTGGGCCGCGCGGGAGGGCGACTGGTGCCTTGGGCCGGAAGTGCCAGTAAACTAGCACCACGAAGAGGGAGAGGAGGATTAGATTGATTGGTGATGCGATCGACATCCTGTTGGGGTAGTGTTGTTAGTTTGTCGAGATTCCGAGCTTGGGAGATGGTACAACTATGTGGGAGGACTTGGGAGTGGGGACACAAACACTTCGGCCTGTGGTACAGAATTGTCTGCTTGCTTGTTAGCGGGGTTGGGCCATGTGGGAGGTGGCACATCGCATACCTGCCATGTTTTGAGGTTGGAATGGAGAAGTCCGGGAATATCGGGATGACGAGCTCCCCGCGCTATACTGTGCACGTGATTGTCATTTGCCGACGTCTACTTTGATATTCAACTTTAGTATGTCAGTGTCTTCTTGATCTATTATTATATCATATTGCATGTGAATGATTGGAGATCAGGCCTCCAAATTGCTAATTTAAAACGCCAGCAGGCCCTGAGCCGTTTCATCTCCACTGGATCACCCCCATTTTAATTTGTTGCCTGACCACTTAGCTTGAATCAGTGATGCCATGTTGTTTCCTTGTCTTTTCCTGTATTCTAGATCTTCTCTCTGAATAACTTCTTGTCTTCGATCTATACATCTCGAGAACCTGGCTCTATATTCCGCACACTTCCGGGCTTGACCGTGGTCCGCTGCCTAAAAATAACGGTCTCAACCCCCTTTCCTCGAGAGTTCTCCCTTTTTTTTTTTGTCCTTTCTCTTTCATCTCATCCTTCTGAACGTACTGCGTGAGATCTCTGCTTTCTTTTGCGACTCTAATCGTATAGATCAGCCGTGTATCACGCAGATCACAATGTGGTCCAAAGGGCCATTCAAGTCTCGACGGAACCCCACATCAAGCCCGTCTCCGTCTCCTCCGGGGTCGCGGGATAAACACAAGGGTCTACCTCCTTTGCCAAGGTGAGTCTAGTGTTTTACAAGTTTGATAGTAAGGTCTAATTCATGATAGTGACTCGGGCGCTGTCAACAAACAAGTCCCATCACATGACATGAAAAAGAGATATTCAGACGTCTCTTCTATGGGATCGCCGGATCCCGGTCAATGGCATGGTAGCCAGAGTAGCTTTTGCGTATCGCCACTGGAGGAAGGACAACCTTTTCCTCCTGCGCAAAAGGAATATCGGGTGTCTTCTGCACCATCTCCAATTCCCATGGCCGATAAAACATACACTGCCTCGCAATCTACACTGCAGCCTGTCCAGCCCAAACTCACTCGCTTCGCTCCTGAGCGACCAGAGGATTTCCCAAATTTCGCGCCTGGGCCACCCTCAACTATAGCAGGCAAAACACGCGCCACCTCATCCCATAAACCATCTGGATCACATACATCCAACCTACTCACTTGGGGTCGCGAGCAGCTCCGCCCCATCAAAAGGCTCAACGAGACGCGAACCCGGATGAGCAGTTTCTCAAAGAGCGAGGAACCCTCTCCAGAACTCAGAGCCAGATCGTCGTCACGTGCGTTGTCAAAGGAAGTGTTGTCAAAGGAAGCACATTCCAACCGGGCCACAGAGCCGAGTGCTCAGATAGGAAACTTGGGTTTCGTCCCATCAACAGTCACGACCATCAGTGCAGGTGGCCCGGCTTACGTGCCCACAAGACCAGCAACAGACCACGCCCCCAGTCACCCACGACCAGACCCGCCAACCTTCAAATTCGACGACGACGACAGGATCGCCAGCATGATGCTGCCAAGCAATGAACCGGCTTCTCGCTTCAGCGGGACCACTGACACGACCACTGACTCCGGTGGTCAGAATGCAAGCCCGCGCGTAAGCTTCCAGCTTGACACTCGGTCCACAGATGACCTATTGTCTGCTTCTTCTATCATGTCCCGACGTCGCCCGGTTCCCAACGGCATACCGATCTCTAAGAAGTCACCGGTTGCAATTGCCAAGAAGCCGGTTCGCAAGCCTACCCCGTCCCAGGTAGCGCAGATGCCTGCGGAGAATCAGACGCCTCCTCCCCCGCCCGAGGGACCCAAGGATGCGCAGGGCCGTATTGAGGCTTTGGAAGCCAAGCGGAATGAGCTTGCCCAGCGCAGATTTACCTTGCAGACTGTTGTTGATGAGTTAGGCAAGGTCATTCAGCCTACCTCTATTGCTTATGACCTGGCCGCCAAAGCTGAGGTCAAGAAGAGTCTTCAGAGTATTGGGAGTGAGATCGATGAGATAAAGAAGGAAGAGCATGATCTTGGAATGAAGATTGCTCGTGCATGGCGCCGATTCGATGAGAAGGAGAATAATGGTGATGGTAATAGTCTCTGGGTCAAGCGTGTCACTAGTTAGTGGCTGTCTATCTTTGTTAATGCTTTTGCGGAGATTTATGCACTGATCCTTTCTGCTATTTTCTCTAATCTTTTTCTTTCTGCTTTTTTGCGCTTTGTTCTCTGGGAGGGTGGCATGTTCTTTTGTTCCGATTATTGGGGCGTGGGTTGTTTTTAGCGTTCAATTTCCCTACTGCGCAACTCTGTAAGGCAGGATGATACCCCCTTCGATTCGGATTGTCTAAGCTGTTGAGCTTTTTCGTTCATTTGTTTGTTTCAACTAGTTCTAATTCTCACTCGTTTCTTTTTTACGAGATTTTGGCCGCAAGAATTGTAAATATGTAGATTTGCGATCAAACGTGAGGTATAGTATGTGTTGGTGGCTAAGGCTATACAAGGACACATAGAGAACCGATGAGTGTTGTCATAATGCTGGCGCTATCATTTGAAACCACCCATCCTCCGCTCTCAATGAACATGGCTCGTGAAAGTCGTGAAAGAGTCGAGGGAAGCCTGGCATCAGGTTCGTTGTGGGGGTTCGCCGTGGTTGTTCGATCCGCTTATTTCTTGCCGGACTTCTTGATGCCCTGCTGGCCGGTGTTGAGGGGACCCTTCTTGCCCTTGGCGGCCTCCATCATGTCCTTCTTAGCCTTGGCATCTACAAAGAAGATCAGTACACGGAATCGGGCGTTGTGGAGTGAAAACGAGACATACCAGCCTTGAGCTTGGCCTGGTGAGCAAGGTCCTCCTCATCAAGTTCCTTCTTATCCTTCTTGGCGGCCTTCAAAGGCTTAACCTTGCCACCTGCAAGTCGCAAAAATGTCAGTGAGTGAAGTCCGTTGAAGAAATCCAATATTTTGCGTACCTTCTCTGCCTTGACCACCCATTTTGTCTGAGGTAAAACCGTGGGAACGGAAAGAAAAAGACCTAAAGAGAAACGGTGTGTTTTGGAGGCGACGTTCAACGGCGAAAAAAAGAGCGTCGAGGGGCGCTTATCATATAGAGGGGACTGGGGTTGACCGCCTACTTCTTCGGGCCTGGCACAGAATCTGCCCTATCTCCAACCTCAAACCGCGATGGCTCATCTCAACCCATCTCCATCATCGACACCTGCATTTGCAATCATCTCTCAAGCTTGTTTTGACAAGCTATGCGCTTGGGAGGATAAACTGATACAAGGCTTTGGTGTGAAGGCAGGCCTCTTACAGCCGGTTGGACTTTCACAACTCCCTTTGCTTTCAGAAGATCGTTTTTCACTGGAGCTTACGCTAACTGAGCGTTGCTTACTTGCTTGAAGCCTCCTCCAAAGGCCGATTCCGATTGAACTTGAAGCGAGAAGAAAGAAGATCACCTGTGCGTGTTGTTTAGTTCCTCGGCCCGTCGCAACCATGTCGCATCACAGATCGAGGTCCTCATCGACCCCTTCTGAGGGTGAGATCATCGAACCAGGACCAGAGATGAAGGCAACTGCGTCAAAACCTCCTTCTAAAGGCATCAGCGTTGACCGTCCCACCAGAGATAGTCCACCCTCTGCGCCCTTGTCCCCATCACTAGATGGCCCAAGTTCGCCACGCCGCCGGAGGTCCCCAAGACCCCGATCTCGCTCTCCATACCGGGATAACAGAGGTTCCAAGCGTCGGCGTGACGATGATTACGAGTACGAGAGCCGATACGAGAGCCGACACTCCCGACCCGAGCCTTCGCGAAATTACGGGTCTAGATACGACGACAGGAACAGAGATCGATCTCCTCCCGGCCGGCGGCCGAAGTCCTACTATGACTATGACCGCGATGACAGCTATGGTGGGGGATTGCGATACAGTGATGACCACGATCGACGCCAAGACAAGCGGCCGCGCACCCGCAGCCGATCCCCATACCGTGAAACGAGAAAGCCCAAGAAGTATTCAGGCGACGAGCTTGATCAGAAGGTAGATGGTGTTGTGCCTTCAGCGGACTCCGGAAGACACAGGCCCACCGAACAGGTATTGAGCGAACGAGGGAAGGCTGCTGTCGCCCGGGATTCAAAGCTTGGTGCTGAAACTCGAGAGAATCAGGAGCAGGCATCTAAATTGCAAGCCTCGGTGGCTGATGAGTACGTTGACCAATAATCTATGTTGATGACATAACTAACAAGCTCTATAGAGAGCACCACCCTAACCCCGAACCCGTGGAGTCGCGTCAATCCGAGCCAGCCGATGAAGCCGCTGAGCTTGAAGCTCGCCGCAAACGTCGTGAGGCTATCCGGGCCAAGTACCGAAGCCAGGCGACTCCTCTCCATCTGAAAGCAGTGGAAAACATCGGTGAGGGTGAGACTGATACATCTACGCCTGGCAGTGAGCCGGCTAGTGCAAAGGAGGCGTCAGGTATGCTTATCCCGGACCATCTTATTTTGTATCGAAATCTAACATGTGGGTACAGATTCTCCCCTAGGAACTCCCCAGGAACAGCCGGTGGATCTCCCCAATTTCAACCTAGGAAAGGATGTTGATTTGGCCAATTCCAAGGCCCGTGTCGACGGTGTCGATGAAGATGAGCCCTCTGCTGCTGATTATGACCCAACTCTTGACATGAAGGAAGAGAGAGAGAAACATAGCAATGTGCAGATCAACAAGGACGACATTTCTTCTGCCGCATATGATGAAACTCAAACAGCTAAACAGGATGTTCTCATCCCTGATGCAAAAGATGATGCATACGACATGTTTGGAGACGACGATGATATGTTCGCCGAAGACGGGCCCCCGGCACATGCCTCAGCAATGTCAGCTGTTCCTCAAGGCAAGGAGCTTGATATCAGTATGATGGATAACTGGGACGACTCGGAGGGCTACTACAACGTCCGTCTTGGGGAGCTGATCAACGGAAGATATCATGTCACGCAGAACCTAGGCAAAGGAATGTTCTCAGCCGTCGTACGTGCAACCGACACTAAGACAGGGAATCTGGTCGCCGTCAAGATCATTCGTCAAAACGAGACGATGCGCAAGGCCGGTATGAAGGAGATCGAAATCCTGGAGCAGCTCACGGCGGCGGATCCAGAACACAAGAAGCATATTATCAAGTTCGAGCGACACTTTGAGCACAAGGGCCACTTGTGCATGGTATTTGAGAACCTTAGCATGGATCTACGTGAGATCCTGAAGAAGTTTGGTCGAGACGTCGGTCTAAACCTGCGCGCGATCCGGGCCTACGCGCAACAGATTTTCCTCGGGCTGAGTCTCCTCCGCAAGTGTAACATCCTGCATGCAGACCTCAAACCGGATAACCTTCTTGTGAATGAGCAACGCAACATTCTGAAGGTTTGCGACCTGGGATCGGCGTCTCCGGCCTCTGAAAATGAGATCACGCCTTACCTCGTCAGTCGGTTCTACCGTGCCCCGGAAATCATCCTGGGCATCCCTTACGATTTTGCCATCGATGTGTGGTCTATCGGTTGTACCCTCTTTGAACTGTACACGGGCAAGATTTTGTTTACCGGCCGAAACAACAACCAGATGCTTCGCTCGATCATGGAATGCCGGGGCAAATACCCGCCGAAGCTTCTACGCCGCGGGTCCCTGACGCCCCAGCATTTTGATGATATGCTCAATTTCCACAGCGTGGAAGAAGACAAGATCACCGGGCGCCTGATTACGAAGATTGTGGACTTCAAGAAACCTACGCGTGACCTGAAGACCCGGCTGATGAGCCAGGGAACGCGCGGAATGTCCGACATGGACGCTAAAGATCTGACCCTGTTCATCGATTTCCTCGACCGCTGCTTGAGTCTGAACCCCGAGAAACGAATCACGCCAACGGATGCATTGAAGCACCCGTTCCTGATGCGCAAGGTGTAACGAAGTGGCATGACGGAAGGGACTACAGTTTCAGCATTGCAGCGACTGCCTGCTGACCAGGATGCCCCAGCCTCCTGGACGGACCCTGTCCGGTCGGCATAAGCATAATGTAATCAAGATATCGGCGTTACAGAAGGATGATCGAGGGTTGGTTTACCCCTGTCAATATGCATAACTACAAACAGTATGTAACTTAGCATCTCCAACCTTTTGAATCCAATCCAAGTCCAGATCCAAACCAAACATTCTCCCGCGGGCCAACAACCCCAGCCCCTGTCGCTATGTGTTTAGATGGGCCCTGTCCTATCTCACCTTACCGAGGGGGTGGCTTAAGATCCATCCAGTCCAACCCCTCGGACCCTACGTACGCAGCGCTGTGTAGCCTCATAACCTCCGTAGAACGTACGAGACAAAGAACAAGGGAACAAGTCAAACCCACTACATCATATCATGCCATACCAACTCGAGTCCCAAAACCTACATCCAGCCCCAGAACCCGAGAAATAAGCAAGCCCCCTCTGCCTTCTAGCCTAGCCTCAACCCTACACTATACTATCGAACCGAACCAAACTCTCGGTGGCAATCTCTCACAATAGACAAAGAAAGCCGACAGCTCCTACCAGAAAGATCAAAGAAATGGTCCATCAACTCTCCAGCCGCCCGACCCAGACTGCCGGTAAAGAACAAAGAACACAAAACCTACATTCTTCTCGGAACATAAGCTACCATCCACTGTGGCTCTAGCTAGTGTTCTAGATTTCTTTCATCCCAAACTCTCTCGCTACCTCGGTTCCATGGTTCTGGAGTGTGGTCTTTCTCTTTTTTGGGTGTGGGGGAAAGGCTCATACCTAACTAGGTAAAGTTAACTATGTAAGTAAACTATGTAGGGTTTATGTTAGGAGTTAGGGGGCAGATGTATCTCAGTCTTAGTATGGCATTCTAGCGGATATCGCGGATACACAATGGAACATTCTTAATCGTGCTCGTATTGGTTATTCGTTCTAAACGCCTTAGGCCACCCGCCTCTTTTCTACTGTATCTCACTATAATATCTGCAGGTCTGCTTATTGGTTGTTGGTTACTGGGTGGTTATTCTTGGCTATTGGCCCGGTCGGCTTGGAACGAGGTAATTGCGAGCGAATGGGAGGGGCGTTGGGGCGTTGGTTGGGTGCCGATTGGGGAGTTTGGGTTTTTTTTTTTTAACCCTTTCCCTTTTTCCCTGCTTTTGCTTTTGCGTTGGGTGGCTAGCTTGGGCGGACTATACATGCACACTCTATAGTTTGGGACTAGTTTGGGACTAGTCTGGTGTTGTGTTTTGGGTTTTGGTTGGATGGTTTCGCTTACTGTATATGTACGAGGTGAAAAAAAAAAAAAGCAATGAGGGTTTTATTGTACATATATGTGGTACATGGATGTATACTTCATTTACTCTGTAGTATGCGTACATTAGTAGAGAATATCATGAGCCCCAACATGATTACTGTCCAATGGAAGCAAGTGGGGATAAATTCCAGAAGCCCCTTGTCCTCGCCACCCGGGTATGAATGCAGTCCAGTAAATAGTAGACAAACCGTGGCAAAAGCCAGCCGCCATCCTAGCATTTAATCTCCGACTTTGCCTACATTATACAGGGATTATACAGGAAGTACAGGAGCAGTCATGATGTCGCGGTGTGTTTATATTGTGGGTCCCGCCACCTGCAGTCCATCTAAGGCAGACTTGGGCGCTGAAGAGGCAAAACGGAAAGAGAGAAAGGGGAAAAGGGAGAACAAGGATGATCTGTGGCGGTCGGCAGCTGTAGCTGAGGCGAACTGACTCGATCCAATGGAGGGAGATTGTTCCACGATTGTGACCGTGTAAGTAAGTACTTATTGTAGGGTGGTGCTGTGTGATGTGCTTTCGTATGACAGATCTGGGATCACCTCTAGCGGTGTAGACGAGACACATGAAATGAGAGCGGGACTGAACCAGAACTAGAACAGAATGAGGACTAGATCTAGAGCTTGAACCAGAGAGTCCCGAACCAGAGTCATAGAAACCTGAGAGATGATTCATGAACAAAAACAAACCCTAATAAGCCGTTCGGGTCCGAGTGATGGCCAGCCGCATTGCCAAACCTGGGGTACATTAATCGGGTACCGGAGCCAAGCTGCAAGGTCGAAGGGGGCGAAACGGGTAAAACGGGCATCACATCTGGATATATCATATTTTTGTTTTCCCTTTGTTGTACATGCTACTAGTTGAAATCGACGTTCGGGTCTTGGGAACCGATGTGATGCATCGGATACTTGCTTGAGGTGATTGGGCCGGCTGGGGCAAGGTCGATCTGGTACCTTTTGGGCAGGGGCCGTGTTTTTTGATTTGGTTCTCACCGCAATATACCAATAGACATGTACTATAATAATTCGTAAGTTAACGTTAACTTTAGTCTTGCTCTACTTGAGTGGGGATGGGGCAAAACATGTCTAAAAACGTCCGACTCGGAGCAGGACATGGCCCTTGCCTATCATGACGCAGGTGGATAGAAAGGGAAGACAAGAGACAAGGCAACCGGGGCGGTTCCCATGAGAATGGCGAAGTCACTAGTCCAGCCACCTTAGAATAGGATTAGGGAGGCAGGGTTGCACAGGACCAATACGAAGACACAAAGACTCCGACCATCTGGACTTCTCCCAGATGGTTAACGTACATTAGCGCCAGGAGAAGATGAGGTGGCCTGTGCAGTGCTCAGCAGGGCCAGGTGTTCTCGAAAGACGAACAGGGCAAATGGTTGGCCATAGCGCCCCTCCTTCATCGCCTCACTTCTAGACTTGGACTTGAAAGTGGGGGGGGGAAGAGACGGTGAGGTTGATCCTTCACTTTCTGTTTCACTAGTTTCACAGTTAGAGTCATGGAAGTGGAGGGTGCCGCATTCAACCAACAGTTCCCTTCGAAAGTGGAAGTAGTATGGGTCCGATCTGAAAGCGGGGCTGGGAAGGGGGCCATGAGGAGAATGCGTTGGCAAATGTGTCAGGAGGTTTAGGAATACGTGGGCGTATTGCCACAGAGGGAGGGCCACAGAGAGGAAGGGAAGAAGGAGAATAGGGGGGAATTCTGCAGCATGCAGTTGATCGTCATGTGGAGCTGACCAATCACGGGCGGTGGCGGATGCCGGCAAGAAGAAACATGGCATTATGATTGGCAGAATGATACACCGCTATAATTATACGCATCATAGATTGTGTGGTATTTTTATTATTTGGGATTATTTTATTATTATTGTGTTATATTACTGTTATCCTCTGTTATCCTACTGTGTTGCTATGTATTTGGTATTGTTTTGATGTGGATCCTCCACGAGGCTGCCATCCTCTATTAATATTCCCCTTCGCCGCTATACTTCCATGCTTATACCTTTACACACTATCTTGCCTTGTTTCTATACTCTCCTTTCTCCTTCTCCTTCATCTCTCTCGCTCTCTTCCTCTTCTCTGCTCTTCCTATTCTCCCTTACTCTCTCACTCTCTCTCTCTCACGGACCACTCATAACCCGAGGATTGGAATGGATGCCTTGTGAATTGCCGCGGACCTAAGGACACTCTTAAATATCCCTGGACATCGTTGCCCTTTCTTTTCTTCCAGGACGACTGTAACAATGTTTCCGGCCATGTTACCAACACCACCACCTTCGCCGACTCCCCGCTGTTATGCTCCCGAGGACCGTTTAGGATTCATCTTAGCCAACCGGCTGCAACTGACCTCAGTCCTGGGTGTCGGAGCCTATGGCGTGGTCTATACCGCGGTGGATATCCACACCAACGTGGTCTACGCCGTCAAAGCCCTCAACAAAAATGGACTGGATCCCCGACAACTCAAGTTCCAGCAGCGCGAGATTAGACTGCATCACCTGGCCAGCCAACACCCCAACGTGGTTTCTTTAGTTCGCATCATGGATTCCGCGGATTGTACCTTTGTCGTCATGGAGTTCTGTCCAGAGGGAGATCTGTTCTCGAACATCACCGACAAGGGCCACTTTGTTGGAAATGAACCCTTGGCCAAGAGTGTATTCCTCCAACTCCTGGACGCTGTACAGTTTTGCCATTCTCTCGGGATCTATCACCGGGACCTCAAGCCCGAGAACGTTCTCGTTACAAACCAGGGAATGACAGTCAAGCTCGCCGACTTTGGCTTGGCCACCACGGATTACTTCACCTCGGACTTTGGATGCGGCTCCACGTTCTACATGTCGCCTGGTAAGTTCAAGCCTCGCGTCTTCTTAACACAGATGACTAACCCAAACTAGAGTGCCAACAGTCCAACGCCCGCCCCATGTCCTGCTATATGTCTGCCGCCAACGACGTCTGGAGTCTGGGCGTAATCCTAGTGAACCTCACCTGCGGTCGCAACCCATGGAAACGCGCCTCCGTCGAGGATTCCACATTCCAGGCCTATCTCAAGGACCCATTCTTCCTGAAGACCATCCTTCCACTCTCCCCAGAGATGGTATGTATCCTGAGCCGCGTCTTCGAGCGCGACCCAAGTAAACGCATCACCATCCCCGAGCTGCGCCAGCTCATTCTGGAGTGTCCCCGCTTCACGGAGAATCCCATGGCCCCAGCCCAGGCCCAGACCCCCTGGGTGCCGGAACACCTCAACTACATTCCTCAGATGCCAATGTTCATGGGCCCCATGGAACCCCTGCATGCCCAGCCGTCCGACTCGTCCTCGGACTCGTCGCAGTACTCGGCCTTTTCCCAGTCTGCCGCCTCCGACGGCTCCGCTATCACCGAGGACTACTCGGACAATACTATGTCGCCGGTCGCCTCAGGCCAGATTCCGGACTGCAAGGTGGTACTCCCGTCCGCTTGCGCTGAGCCTTTCTACCCTGCGGATCCTTTTGCCTATGGGGGTTTGGACTACCATTCCAACCTGCCACTCGAGGTCCCCGTCTAGATTGCACCTTGCTCCACTATGGGAATACCCATCATAACGCATGCTGCATGATATTACGCCCTTTTTCTCTCCACCTTCAGGCCTTCAGGCGTGAATTCTTGAATTCTTGAATTCTGCCTGATATCCATCCTGCATATTTCGGGTCTCCTTACTCTCTCCACTTTTTTCCGCCATCGAGCGGATACCAAAAGCTGCCGACAAAACAACAAAAAGTTGATCGCGTTGATCATGATCCACTGGACTCGGCCACCAGCTTTTCTTTCCTTTTGGATATATTTTTTTCCTCTTTATTTATCCCTGGATTTACGACACCTGCCCGGTTACCCTTTGAGGATTACCAGGCCTGCTTTTCTACTGTTTTAATATTTTCGACACATACCGGAGGACCCTTGTTTTTTTTACCAGTTCCGTGTTAATATATTGGGAACTATGACTTGAAGAGAAACGCCCCTGGGAGGGCTGATGAAACGCGGGGTTTGTTTATTGGTTTCGGATTGGGAGGCGTTGACCAACATAGGTCTGGGATTTGGACGTTTTCTTTTCTCTGTTCATCTTTTGGGAAGGATATTTTGGGATATTTTGGGATATTTTGTATGGGTGGTTGATATCTCTCGGTTTATTCCTGTGCATAGACTTGTTTCCTTTTTGGCATTGGCATTGGCGGGTCCATTCACTCTTGATTCTTACGATATGATACCTCGACACTGCGAAAATACGGCAATCTACACCGCATTTCTACGTGCATTACAATATACAACTTGATCTACTCTACATTGACTTACATGATTCTCTCCTGTACGAAGTACTTACTATACTTACACCCATCTCACCCGCATAAGCCAAACCTTGGCCAAACCCTCTCATCCATACAGACCCCTGTTCCTTCCAACAGTTTCCTGTCCAACGTTATCTCGTCCAACAAGACTCGATCGCATTTGGGGATGTTTCGGTCTTCGGTGTGATGGGCCCGTGCCACCGTGAAACCAACAGCCCGAATGAAACGAAACAACTGGTCCATTCCAAGTTAATAGTAGATGGATCTGTACGTGAAGGTTTCTACTGTAACCCCGTTTATAATCTTCTTGGTTTACGTAGATGATAACTTCCATGGTCGTTATAGATGTATTCACATTCATAATAGGTATGTGAACAAGCAACAGATATATATCCATTCCGAATCCCACCACTTCCATCCACCAAAACCAACAAACAAAACCTACATATTCCGGCCCCCAGTAACACGGATCGTCTCCCCGTTAACATAAGAAAACCAAGGCGAAGCAACCCCCAAAATAGCCCTCGCCGCTTCAACAGGACTAGCCGGTCTCCGCAGCGGGATATCAGGATAGGCATTCGCATCTGCAGCCTTTTTCTCTTCAGCAGCAGAACCCTTCTTACTAGCAAGCTGCTTGCCAGGAATACCAAGCGCGACCTTCGTGCCATCGGGAGTCGTGATGAAGGCGCCTTCTTCCTTGGCGGCTGTCAGGCGCGTAGTTACGTAGCCGAAGGCGATGGTGTTTGAGCGCACGCCAAAGTTGGGACCCCATTCTTTGGCGATTGTGCGTGTTAGGCCTACTACGCCTGCCTTTGCGACGGCGTAGTTTGCTTGGCCTCTGTTTTGGTTAGTTTGGTGTTTGTGGATGGGTGATGGGTGATGGGGTGACGGGGTGGGAGGGAAGGGGGATGTAGAGCCAGCGGTTGGATATGGATATGGGATTAGACTGGGTTTGATGATACTTACGCATTACCATGAATCCCACTCGTGCTACTAATGTTAATAATAACGCGCGGTTCTTGATCCTTAACTCGGAAGTAGGGTGCTGCCGCGCGCACGAGCCGGAAGGGCGCTGTGTTGTGTACGGCTAGCATGGTATCCCACTGTTTATCGGTCATCTATAGACATGCAAAGAAGCAGTAAGTCAGTAAAATATCCTCAGGATACAGTAAGGATCAAAAGAGAAACCGAGATCAAAAACCCCCCGACAACAGTTCACGCACCTTATGAATGACTCCATCCCACGTAAACCCGGCATTATTCACAATAATATGAATCTTGCCATTCCCAAACTCGGCAGAGCGCTTCACAAGCTCGGTAACATAATCGCCATCAAGAATATCACCAACGACAGCGAGGGCACGACCAGACTTCGCCGAGTTGATGGCGTCAGCGACGGCATTGGCCTTTTCTGTTTAGATTAATTAGACATGCACAACTGAGGAGCTTGATTGATCTTCTTACTGGCATCGATATCAGCGACAATGACCTTGGCGCCTTCGTTTGCAAATAGGCGTGCGGCCTCGGCGCCAATTCCCTGGCCTGCGCCGGTGATAATGGCGACTTGACCAGCTAGCAGACCAGCAGGGTAATTGAGGTGTTCATTAACCTGATTCAGGCGGTCGGAGGGGGCCATTTTGGATATTGTGTCTCTTCTGGTTAGAGATGAGAGTCTTAGTTAACTTATGAGACGTGAGAGGGGGAGAGTTTCTTATAGAGAGAGCTCTCGGCGATAGTCACTGCCGAGGCTGTTGCGGACCGAGCAGTGTGGGGTATAACTCCAAGTATATACTGTGCACCACAGACTACACTCATTCACTTTCATACGTTAACGTTATACAGGCGATATGTTTTCCATTTCGTGTTCCTGATATAGCCGACCTGCGTTTACTGTCCAGCCCGTGAATCCGATCCCATCCTTGCCTTCTCTTCTCTCCCTTGCCCGTTTCTCTACACACCCACTTCCATTCATGTCCCACCCTCGGCGCACTGATAACGACAGAACAGAGTTGACCTCCTATATGTGGATATACGTTCAAAGAGACTCGTCGCGCATCACCCGTCGAGAACCGCAGACACATTCCCCCCACGAAGTCGATTGTAGAAATGCCGACACGGTAGCTTCGTAGCCAGCAATGATAGGGAGCAGACCTTCACTTCTGGGCGTACCAGATGAAAGCTGGGCATCTAGATCAGGGAGTAGACCAAAATGATCAGAAGGAACCCAGTGGGCGATGTGTTCTTCTGACGCTTTCGGTTCGGACGGTTCGTCCTCGTTCAAAGTGGGAATTTGGAGATCGGTGGCTGTGGCAGCGATCTTCAGTGCCAGCAATACCTCTCTGCATTGCAGCAGTAAGCCTCGCAACAGGAAATTGCGGATCTGACGGTTTTCTTCGTGGCAGATCTCGTAGTAGCCGTAGCGGATGTCGATGCCCTGTTCTGGTCGTGGGATGCGAGGTGTCTCGCGCGAAACCCAGTATTCGAATAGCTGGAGCGTGAGGTTGAGCACGGAGATGGTTAACAGGAGGTTTGTGCTGTCTTTGGCGCATTTGCTACATTGTAGGAACATTTGGCAGGTGCAGAATGTGCATTTGATTGTCTGCAGGCTGTGGTCGAGTCGGAGTGGTAAAGACCCGGCCAGGAGGTGGTTCAGCCGGTTCATGTGGAACAGTTGCATGTCCAGACATTCGCATGGGGAGAGTGGGTATGGTGATGCCACTGAGCCTGCCAATGATGGGCTGGCTATCCCTTCTGCTAGTGACTCCCCGGATAGAAACGTCGGCGTGACTGGTGTATGTGGATACCCTATACCAGTTGGGATAGCTGGACAGGGGTCCACGAGGTCGGTGAATGGTGAGCCTTCGACTGTTGACAATTGTCCAGGGCAGACGGAGGATTCTAGTGTTGTTGTATTTCCAAAGCTTCGGGGACTTTCCCAGAACCCGGGTTGGTTTGATATCAAACGGACCTATAGTGAATTATTGTTAGAAATGTGCCGGACAGGATAGGGGATATACTAACTTCGTCATCGATTTCTGGGTCGGCAATGTGATTCCCATAGGCACTACCGAGTGGTTCCATGTCGGCCACAGGAGCCACAAGCCGACTACTGCGAAAGCCACGCATAGCCGGCTTCTCCTCTTGCAGTTGACCTAATTTGCGTAGAGTGGCCCGGTTCTTGCTGCCCTTCGGTTTGCCGGATCGGTTGGCGAATCCGTATTGGCACTGTAAGCCGTGGCGCAGGCAACGGGTGCAGACACTCTTGCCAGACAGATTGCATTTCACCTTAGATTGGCGGCAATTTTCGCATGCAGTCCGGAGCTTAGGTGCATCTCCGGCATAAGGACTGCCATTGGACTCCGCAAGCATTGGGACCGTTTTAAGAGGAAGGGAGGAACAATAAGAAAAGACAAAAGAAGCAAGTGGAGTCTTCCCAATAAGAAGTGGATGATACTGTGGCCCGCGTTTGATATAGGGGAAAAAGCAAAATGAGAAATAGAAAGCCAGATGCAATAATACTGTACACATCCAATGAGGCAAACGCCTCACCCCCCTCCCCCTTGCCCTTGGATATATATAAACAAGCTCAAGCTTCAAGGAGCAGAAATGCCACTCTGGCATCCGGATTCATGTACCGATGGCAGCCGCATACAGAGGCCAGCCGCTGTGAAACCCCAGATGCTTCCATCTGATCAACCACGCATGGGATGCCAACTGGCACCGCTACTCCAGAGTTGAAAGGAGGCAATCTCGAAGACCCGCCACTTTGACCCATCCAAATTAGGAAATAAGTACAATCGCCCAGCTATGCAGCGTTCGTTTTTGACCACTGCTCGAGATGGAGGATGGGACAGAATGGGGTTCCTCAAGCGCATGGGAAACCGTCTAGGGGTACTTTTGTTCAAAAGTCGTACACCCTGATGCAACATTGAAAGCGCTAATTTCTGGGCTAAGTTTCTGGTGGAGAACCTAACGAATCTACCGCTGACAAGGGCAGTTGGTCTTTTACCTTGCTGGGGCGTTGTTCTCTCACACAAGTATCTCTAGACAACGTCTCCATGTGAAAAGAAAGGAAAAGAGCGGGTCCTCAGCGGCTGACGCAATCCAGCCATTGCAGAACTTACCGCTTCATCTCCTTCTCGTCGTCATCGTTGCACATAACTGATCCGAGTCATCGTCAGCAGGGACTTGGCCCTCGACAGGGTTGTTGAACATTGGTCACGTCACGTACGCTACGTGAATGTTTCATTCCAGGCTACCTCTAAAAGAATGCCATGAGTATGCTGTCCAACCTCGATTGTGCTGTGCCAAAACCCGACTTTTCAGCCGCGTGGAATCTGACAGGTCTCGGCCGACCCGCTGTGCCGATAATCAAATGCCCTCAACAGCCCTGTCAGGTGGGCCATCGCTGCGCAGACCACTAGCACGTGGAAGATTTGATGCGAACTCCCCACGATGTCGAATTTCCCGGGCATAAGGCGCTCCGGTACTCGGGCCGCATAGATCCCTGCTCCAAGGATATACAAGAAGCCCTGGAGCAGTAGCCAGCTGAGACCAATCTGTCGTCGCATTTGGTCGAAGCCAAAGTGGGAAACTCCATGGAGCACAGGGAAGGCGGCAGACAAGCCCATCCCGACAAACATGGCGGCACGGAATGGACGCCAACGAGGCGTGCGGAACCGAGGCAAAATGGACACAAAGACACAACCAAGTCCAATAGTACAAATCATAGTCCAGTACCTGTGCTGGAGCTCCGGTGCACAATAAAACCCATAGAAGACGCTGGGAACAAAGCTGCCCACGATGAGTCCCACGATCCCAATATAGTCAAGTGAGTTTCCAATGCGTGCAACCACCGGTGAATGATTCGAGATGGTGTGATAAGTGGCGGACATCCCCAGGCAGAAGGCCGCCCCCGCGAAGAAACAGCCAAAGGCAATGATATCAGAATCGGCCGCATTCTGGTATCGGGGAGCAAGCAAATGGTAGAGTTGGTACGCAGCAGGCGCCGCAATCACCGCCGGTAAGAGGTGGGTGTAGATGTTGACTGTCTCATTGTGAACGTAACCCAGCGATTGAAATGAACCTAAAAACGAGGACGAGGCGGGCCGATATCCAGTATGGATGTGATGATTATCGCGTTGCCAATGAGGTAGATCGTCCCAATGAAGCAGTCGCTTGACGACCTTGGGAGGCATCTCGAGGACATTGGCTATTTCTGCAGGCTGACTGTTTACCTGCTCGTCAATAGGGCGACGTTGGCGAGACATCACATGTGATATGCAAGTATGGCAGGATGGTAAGAAGTTTTGAAGTCGACCAGCAGGACATACACAAATCAGCAGAAAAGCAAATCAATCAAACTGGAAAAAGAGAAGATATCCTAGAAGATCAAATAAAAAGGAGAGATACAGTGTTGGGCAGTTGGGGTAAACCAGCGGAATCGCCCTGTTGGGAAAAAGCCTCGGGACAGCCTGTGCAAACAGTGCAAACAGTCGGTATATCAATCAACGACGCTCGTTCATGTGTTCAACCAACCCCCGAAAACATGAGCCGCTTACGCCCTGTGGCGGACTCCCTGGAAAATGTGGGATTCGTGTCAAAGGGTGATAAGAAGTGTGTCTGAGATGCGCACCCTCTCAGAACACCACTGATATGCATTCGCAGGCTGCTAGACCCCAAAGTCCAGACCGAGTACTTTGACAAGATAGTCGACCGATATATGCGATTCTGCGCCCACCACTCCAAAGACCTCGATGCTGCACTAGCCTCCCTCCCCACAAGTGCCTCAAATGACGCAACCTCCAATCCGCCCGCCGCCCAGCGACCTTCAACATCAACCCCCGCTGTGCGGGGTGTCCCGGCCCCGTCAACAGAGCTATCCACACTCCTCCTGTCCCTACGCAAGCTGCGCGAAGCTGTTCTAGCAACGGCCTCAAATACCACGGCCACATTCTCACAACGAGTCCACGTATTCTCGATCCGCTTGTCTATTCTCGCGCATCACCCTCCGTCGTATTTCCCCTCTCTGCGATATAGCCTCGATAAACTACACTCCCAATCACACCCACTGCCAGACTCCGAAGCCAAGGAACTGGTCACTTATTTAATTTTGGATTATGCCTGTCGCCAACAGGACATGGTTGCAGCCTTTGAGCTGCGCGCCCGGGCGCGAAAGGAGCATGCGTTCCATTCGCAGACGGTCGATAAAGTCTTGGCGGCCTTGTTGCACGATAATTGGGTTATATTTTGGCAATTGCACAACAGCGTCGACTCATACACGCGTGCTGTGATGAATTGGGCCTCGGACCGTGTTCGCAGGCACGCGCTCAAGGCTGTTGGTAGTGCTTATCTCAACGTGCATATCAGTTGGATTGTGGGTGGTTGCACGGGTGATGAGCAGAGTTGGACGTGGGACAAGTTGGTTGAGGTTGAAAAGCTTGGTTGGGAGAGGGACGATGACAAGATTATCATTAAACGGCCGCGGCAGCGGGCCCCGCCGAAGCCGGAGTCGACGACGGTATGAGTACATGGAGTTGTGTTTTTCTTCTGGACAAAAGCATCTCGTGGCGTTCGTTTACATGCATGGCGTTGGTTGGAAGTCTTTGGCAGATTGATATTTTTCATGGTGTATTCATTAGACAGTGTTCAGATTGGCATCTACATGAGATTCAATTCGTTGCCTCCAGGGCGAATCATTTTAAATTCGAGTGTTATAACTTCAGATCTGAGTTTGGTCGATCTAAATTAGTGTGTCCTGTAACAGGCTGTTTCGAGATCGTGTCAGCCAGTTGCCCCTTCATATAACCTGCATTATCGGAGCAAAGTTCGTAGACCGTTGCCATGTTGAAGATCAACCCCGCAAACGAATGGTTGGCGGAGATTTGAGCCTCAAGAATCTGACGAGACTGGAGAAAAGTCAGCAGGTTCGACGACTAGGGTTTCAACGCATCCTTGCAAGTAACCACATACTTCATCCAGTTGTCCTGTGTAAAGTAGACACACTGCCATGTTCTGAGCTACCAGAGCTCCATCTGTCCGTGTCTTATCTTCGCCAAGGGTGCGCCATTGAGATACAGCATCTGAGTAACGGCCTTCTGCCATACTCAAAAGAGGCTCCAATAGAGCAGCCTCCTTGGTGTCATTGGAGGCGCCAAATACCTGACTTGCCGCATCAAGGTCACCAATCCGTAGAAGTAATAATGCTCTCCTGAATTTGGTGGTTTCAGTCTCTGGTCCAGGTATCCGCAAGGCCTCGAGAGATCGTCTGGCTGCATCGAAATCACCCATTTCTATCAACGAGTTCACACTTCTGACACCAAGGTCTGCCAATCTCTCTCTCCATATTTTCCGCTCATACTCACTGATTTCGCTCCGCATTATTTCCCTGCGAGCTTCCAAGCCAATCTCATACAGTCCACCAATGCTTCTGCGTGAATCACCAAAGCCAATACTCTGGAGCCGTACAGCCAGAACGCGCAGAGGCCAAGGGACAATGTGACGAGGATCGGGCGCATGAGCATGGGCTTGTTCATTATCAGCATTTTGAACAGCCCCAGGCTTCTCTAGAGTCAGGTCGATATAGTAAAATGTGGAGCTCAAATCTTCGAGAGCTTTTGATTCTTGTGCTGCGAGGACTGTATTTCCAGACAGCTCCAAACATGCCAGTCGTGTGTAAAATAGGGAGAAAATCAGTTTGATGTCCGTCGGAGAGATCAAGGACGATGTCAAAATGGCTGCCGCGAAATGCGCTGCGACGAGGAACCGACCCTCAGCCACTACTTTCTCGAGGGTGCCAAGAGAGGTCGACAGGGGTTCTCCCGGATTAAGGATAATGAATTCGGTGCGCAACGGCGGTGGAATATCAATATGGGAGAGAGTGTGGTAGATGTTGTGCCGAAGAAGGAAAGACAGGTCCTTTCCTAATGTTTCTGGTAGATCATCTGGGGCGAGCGGATCTAGCTCATGGAATGATGCCCCGGTGAAATGGTCTGAAGCAAGCATTGATTTGCGTTTGGTTGGCGAAGTGGGTAAGCAAGAGGGGGCGAGTGGACTGAATTTTATTAGAATATGGATGTAGCGGTGGAATCCAAGGTACAATGCTCACTCATCTGATGCATCTAGAGGACCTCTCGTTGAGCTGCGGGGCCGAGAAGCTGCACAGGCAATCAGTAAGGGGCAATTTGGGAGATTGATGAGGAATGAAGTGGCGCTTACACCTAGAAGCATTCCGGTGATGTTTTTCTGATGCTGGATTCATTTTGAAAACTTCCAAATGCGACAGCAGTGAGAAAAGTCCACCTGGGCAAGCTGCGATGAACAAAACATCTGATAAGCTATCGGATTCTGCCAGGGCGGTCGACGCCGGATCTGGCGACTTGGCCGCGACCTGGCGTTGCCGGATGCAACAAGCTGCCATACGTTCCCTACTCTTCACTTCTTTTTCTATTTTCCTTGATCTCCTTGATCTTGTACCGCTCCTTACCTCTTTAATTGTCATTTTACGACCTTCAAAATGGGTGCGACTCACAAGTACTCTGTCATTCTTCCTACATACAATGAGCGGAGAAACCTCCCTATTATCGTCTGGCTGATCCAGAAGACCTTCAACGAGCAGTATGCGCCCATTTCGAACCGAATCAGACAATTAGTAGCTAATCTTTTTTATTTATTTAGGAAGTTGGATTGGGAGGTCATTGTCGTTGACGACGGATCCCCTGACGGCACCCTCGAGATCGCGCAGCAGCTCCAGAAGCTCTATGGCAAAGAACACATCATCCTCAAGCCCCGCGCAGGCAAGCTCGGCCTGGGAACCGCTTACGTCCACGGCTTGAAATTCTGCACTGGCAACTTCGTTGTCATCATGGACGCAGATTTCAGCCACCACCCCAAGTTCATCCCCGAGATGATCAAGATCCAAAAGGCCACCGATGCCGACATTGTGACCGGTACCAGATACGCGAACCTCGGAGATATCAAGGGCGGAGTCTACGGCTGGGATCTGTTCAGGAAGTTCACTTCGCGCACTGCGAACTTGATCGCCGACGTCATGTTGATGCCTGGTGTGAGCGACTTGACAGGTAGTTTCCGCTTGTACAAGAAACATGTGCTTGAGAAGGTCATTCTCAACACTGAGAGCAAGGGGTACAGCTTCCAGATGGAGATGATGGTCCGTGCTAAGGCCATGCACTACAAGGTTCGCGAGTGTCCGATTACCTTCGTCGATCGTCTCTACGGCGAAAGCAAGCTGGGCGGATCCGAGATCGTTGACTACCTCAAGGGTGTGATGAACCTGTGGCTGAAGGTTTGAAATTGTTCAATGCGCTTTGCCACTGGAAACTGTTTTACGCAAATGGTCCAATTCATCTTGTCTCAAAGTCCAGACCCGATTCATGTCTGGACTGTCTACTCTACTGCCCTGTGCTGTGATATACCCCTTTCTGACCTCTTCTATTCCAAATCCGTGCACTTTTGGGTGGTGTTTGAATGACCTGTTTATTGTCCATATCAATTCAATGTTCTCTGTCTTTCGACCACGCGTTCTATATCTCTTTAATACCACAGCTTAGAGGCTGTGAAGGTATCGTAGAATTCGATCAATAAGCTCCTGTTGACCTTCATCCTTGACATTGTGGCTGGCTCCGACGATCACACCGCTGTTTTCCGTATCCCATGAGCCGCCTCCCGCTTCAGTAGCCTGCTGCCACCTCTGCAACAGTTTCTCTTTGTCCACCCAGTGCGGGCAGTATTCATCATTGCCCGAATACAAAAATAGCAGCTTGGACTGGATGATTCCTTGAGTACCGATCTTCCCAAACGTCTCCTGCAAGCGCTTATCACTCAAGTCGGAGCTGAAAAGATCATCCTCAGATGGGTGCTCAGGGCTTTCGGGGCTAACCAAACTCAAGAATCGCCGAGCACTCAGCGGCGTGTCGGCAGGATATGAAAGTTTGGAAGTGAGATGCATCGGGAGAACGTTATCGATGTTTTTCTCCGTGTATGGCTGCTTCTTAGCAAAGTCTACAAGTTCATTGTACACCTTCTTGAGCTCATCGGGCTGCGGAGAGTCGGCGATGATTGCTTGGAGACCCTCTCTGTCTGACGCAGGAGCCTGCAGAATAGCGCCGTCAAGTGGAGGGCGAACTTGATGCTGGAGGCCATAGCCAGAGTTGGGTGAATAGAGGTAGTGAAGCACATCTTGGCTACCCGTAGAGTGACCCATAACTGCGATCTTTGCAGACTTGGCTGGTGCGCTGGGCTGTTGTGATGCCTTGAGGTCGCGAATGAATCGGACGCATTGGCCGAGTTCCTCGACATCGCGATCGAGGCTTCCGACTCCCCATCCGCCGTAGGAAGAAGAGAGCAAAACGGAGAAGACAGACCACTCAGTGTTTACCAATGCTTGGGCTAGCTTGGAAACATATGGGACCGTGCAGAATCCATCTGTCAGGCCGCCTACGAAGATCAGGCTGTGTAGCTTGTTGACATCTGATGGTGGGGTGAACTCGAAGGCCACCAGTCTTGGAGCCTGGGGGAGTTAGCTCAATATGTATGGTTAGGAGGTGAAATCCTTACATATTCATGAAGGACGCCGGCATGCGACAGTCCACGGCTCGCGTGTGAAGACATGATAGAGATGTTGGTGTTGGCAGACTGTGGTTGTCGAAAACGACGGTGGGCGATCAGCAGTTGACGTAGGCGGGGTCGGATCCTCCATAATTCATGTCCTGCGCACTAGGATACCGCTGTCAGGTTTTGCAATCATTCTGTGCAAGATGACATTTGCTCACTTACAGTACAGCGGCGCTCACTACTCGTTTTAGGCTTAGCCAGCTTGGAGCTGAGCACCCGCCAAGGCGATCGCGACGGGGATTTCATCAGATGACTCAAAGCGGTCTTACCTCGTGTTGCTTACAATAACCGCGTAATCTGCTCACAAAATGTGAAAGTCTCAAATTGCCAGAATAATAAGACGATTTGACATGAACCCGCTCGCAAGGATAGGTCTTCCTCGCCTCAAGAGCATGCAGTCAACATGCCGATACATCAACATAAACTCCCGAGCTGATCAAACAATGCGACTCCCTGACGGAAGGACCTTGGGGTATGCCGAATATGGCCCTGAAACAGGCTATCCATTGATATTTCTCCATGGCTACCCCCAGTGCCGCTATGAGGGCTCTATCATAGAGGACATTCTTCATCAACGTGGGATTCGTATGATTGCCCCCGAGCGACCAGGATTCGGTCTATCGACAGAACAACCCAATCGACGTATCATGGATTGGCCTGCCGACGTTCAAGCCCTGGCTCGTCATCTTAGTCTCTCCCGCTTCGCCCTGATGGGCGGTTCTGGTGGTGGTCCTTACACATTGGCATGCGCGCATACAATTCCCCACGAAATGATGTCCGCAGTCGGTATTCTCGCTGGAGGAGGGAATTGGAAAGCTGGAGCACATCATATGCCTTGGATATATCGGATATCAGCCCTTGCAGCAAAGTACTGGCCGGCTGGATTACGAGGTTCATTGAGCATTGTGGTTTGGATGCTTAGGAACGGACTGACTTCACGAAGGGGGATCCGGTGGCTTGATGGCTATTTGCAAAAGAACCAGGACAAGCATTCCAAGACAATTGAAGAGCGAAGAATAGAGATTCTCCGCGCTTTGTTTGAACCCTTTAAACAGGGCTCTGGCCCTGCAGTATACGAAGCGAAGTTATTATCACAGGACTGGGGCATTGAATTTAGAGACGTGACATACAGCAACCTTCATATCTGGCATGCAGGGAAAGACTGGAATTCACCGCTGCCAATGACGGAGTACTATGTCAAGCAACTGACTGAAAACCCGTCGTTCAAGGTTTTTGAGGATGATACGCACTGGACTATCCATAGGCATCTGGATGAGATGCTCTCGGAATTGATACCTGAGAACACTATGACGAAAGCCTAGATTGGTACTGCACTGAACCTAGGCCAAAGCGCAACGACATCCATTATTGCAGCATGTTGCAATGATGCCATGCCATGTACATTACAATCTCTACTCAATCTTATGATACTATATCCCAACTTACTCGTACTTTTAACCATTTTTGCTGTAATATCCTTGATTTGTTGCTGCATCCATGGAGTAACCCATATTCTTGAAGACTGGACTACGCAACAGTGCAACTTTACAGTTTCTATCAGATGGAAGTATCGAACCTCGCTGGATTAGGGCGCTGCTGTCAGCCATTCATAAAAATTTGAGTTTCCACATAAGAGACGCAGAGTTGGGTGTGTATTATATAAGGCCATTGTCTCTCTGGCTCTTAAAGGTGATGTGCAGTCTTGCCCGCCACCATTAGTGAACGATTGTTGCTTGGTGTTGAGCGAAATCTGAGCAGAATGCGATAGGTCAAATGCGCAAGAAACATGTTTTCTAAGGAAATTGGGTTAAAGTATTGCCTAAAAGTATCGTACCCAGTCATTCACAAAAGGACAGCCAGAAATAAACCAGATACATTGATTGAAGAACATTTAATGTATTGGGTGTGGTAGACTGAGTGATTTGCGTAGAAGTGGCCGTGAATAAACAATAAAACCAAACATGCGCTAGCCGTTTTGGGACTGGCGTCACCGCCTTGGCCCTCATCCATTGAAGCTTCACGTCATTCTCTCATATCAAGCAGTGGACACTTCAATACACAAGCTGGCTTTGAAAAGCTTTGGCTAGTCTCTCTGCTCTGCTTGAGCTGCAAGTTACTGGATGGACTCTATGCACGCCCGCCATCGCCGTCTTTGACGCGACGTATCTAACCAAGATGTCATCCTCCCGCAGGTCTGGGCGTGTTACGGGCCCCAAGAAAGTTTACACCCAGGATCCTTTTCATATAGCTGGAATTAGTGATGACTCCGACCACGGCGGACAAGCAACGTCCTCCAAGCGCAAAACCAAGCGCCCCAAGAAAGAAGACTCCCCTTCTGATGAGGAATTTGTTGCCGCCTCTGGCGACGATGCCAACAACAGAATTGATAACGAAGAAGACGAAGAAGATGCCGAAGAGGAGATGGAAGAAGCACCTGATGATTCCGAGTTCGAAGAAATGGATTTGGATGAACCCAAGGCCATCCCCAAGAAAGGGAATAAGGCAGTTCAGCAACGCGACTTGATTCTGAAAAAGCGAAAGACCGGCGGCATAGTCGTGCCAGATGTGGACGAGACACACTCTCGTGGTCTTCTTGACCCCAAGGACCATCTGTCAAAAAGTACATATTACAATCTGACATTCGGTGCCGACGATCGTGACCTGATCGCAGCCATCTATTTCCGTGGCATATGGAACAAGGGACGTGACTCGATATTTCCAACTCGCACTACCTTGGAAGGACCCAGACCGGATGGACATGTCTATGGACCAACGCACGGTGTCCACCCAGACGACGTGAAGAGGGAAAGCACGCGCGGATGGGACTGGTACTATAACAAAGAGCCCGGAGAGAGATTCCGGAAACGACAACGCACGAAGAATATTGAAGAATCAACAGCTCGCCAGAAGTACTTGCCGCAACCAAAGGATCGGCATCACGACATTCTTCTGGGGCCCTATGACAACCAGCAGCTTTTCAGCCTGGGGTACCATGAGTCCTTTGATTATGGCAAAGTCTGGGGAGAAAGGCACTCTAAAACAAATGAGCCAGAAAGGAAGACGAACAAAATTCGAGAGGGATGGATTCTAAACATGGGCCATAAGATCCATTGCATGGCTTGGGCTCCGAACCATGACGGTCTTGCTCAGTACCTTGCTGTGGTTGCACCAATCACTGAAGAGCAGAAGGACCAGTACAAAGCTGATAGAAGCGAACCTCTTTCATCATTCAAACCCTCGCCGCCTTTTCCTTGCGCGCTCCAGATCTGGGAATTCAAAGCCAAAAAGAGTGATACCTCGACGAGAACTCTTGACATGGACTGCAAACCAAAGTTACGACAAGTCTTATGTGCTGATTGGGGAGACCTGAGGCGGATGTCTTGGTGCAGACTGCCTAGAGAAAAACGGGACGAAGATGACGAAGAGGCAACAAAGTCTATCGGGCTACTAGCAGGGGTTTGGGGAGACGGAAAATTCAGAGTTTTGGATATCAAATTACGCCGAGGGTCGAAAGAGACAGAATTCAGTGCGTGCTTATTCACTCAATTGGTGGAGTCCACTAACACGGAAGCTCTAGTCAAACTCCAGTCACCCGCTTTTGAAGCAAAACCACCCGACACAATCTGCACATGCGTCGCTTGGTTATCTCCTAGTGATGTTGCAGTAGGCTGCAGCAATGGATTCGTGTCTATTTGGAACATTGGATTCTCTGCAACTGAACCACTTCCCTTCTTCTATCGACCAATTCACTCAACATACGTGTTGGACATCACATCTGTGTATCCAAACCATCCTCACCATGTGATCACTATATCCATGGACGGTGAAACTTATATGTGGTCTATTCTCGATCCCGTGGCCGATAAAGTCTCAACAGTCCGCATGCGAATGCCATCCCCCAACATCAGCTATTCCCCCATCCTTCAGTCCGCTGTTTCCGGCGACGAACAGGAATACGCCCGCATCATTCCAATCCGACGATTCTTTACAAGTAATGGCATAGGCAGATTCTCCAGCAATGTCTCGGCCATGGCTCCATGTAGTTTCTCGCACCCCTGTGTCCTGTATGGGAGCGCCGCAGGGGAGGTGTTAGGAACCAATCCTTTCCGCCGGGTGGTCTACAACAAGGAGCAAGTGTGGCAGCAAATGTGGTTCACACATGAATGGGTTCCAAGCTCGAAAGCCGACACTGCAGGCACCAGCCGGTTTTTCGATGGATACCGGGCAGAGAGCCAGAAACTGGCCAAGCACATGACTAGCGACACTAGGCCGATCACTGGCATCCCTACCTCCACAATCTACGAAGAAGGCACCCACGTCACAGCCCTCGGGTGGAACCCCAACCCTTCATGTTGTGCGTGGGCAAGTGCAGCGCTGGGGAGTGGGCTGGTACGAGTGGAGGATCTGGCTATCTAGGTAGAGTCCTGCCGCAGCAGCTAGGCAGTAGTCACAGAAGCCATAAGATATGCTTATGTTGGCGTGTAGATCAGGGTCATTCCCTCATCATTATGATTCTAGAGGTTCTAAGAAAAGTAACTAGGCGACAGTGAAACGCGACGTTGTGTCAGAGTGGATCCCCCAGCCACATCACTGTGCTTACATAATGTCGATCATGGCCATGCCACGCTTATCTGGCAGCGTGGTTGGCACATCCGTGGATCCGGGTGGGGCTCAATTTAGGCATAAAGTAGAGGCTGGTTTGAGTCTGTATATCCCCAGCCATCCCAGCCGCCTATTTTTGGCCCAATGGCAGGAAGATGGCCGAAACCGCCAATGATTCATGGATTGAGATTGTTTCCTTTCAACTTTTAAACCCTCTACTTCTGCTTTCTTCAACTCTCCAATTCACTCCATCTCTACTCTCTACCTCCATTGTTTACATTTTGCAATCCTTCAATCCTAGTCTATTTTCTGCATCAATTACCAGCGAAACTTCTTCTACCTCTTTATAATGCACTTCTCCACCGCGGCACTCCTCGCCTTTTCTTCCATCAGCGTTACCTACGCTGCTCCTTTTGCAAACACCCAGAACGAAGACCTGTCTCGCCGCAAGGCAACCTACGACGTCGTCAATGTCGACGGAGAATCTTCCTCTTCTGCTGTTCCTGAGATTGACACTGTCTTTAAAACATCAACTGTCACTGCTCCCGGTGCAAACCCTGTGCCTGTGACTGTCACTGTTACCGCCACTCCTTCGAGCTCCTCTATTGCTCGCGTTACCAGCTCCACTCCCTGCTACGAGACTCCCGCTCCACGTACTGATATTCCCCTCCCATCCATTGCTCTCCCGGAGTCTGGATCGAGCTCTTTCTTCCGCCGTGGCCTGAGAGCCGCTGGCCAGCCTGCTCTCTTTGCCCGCGAGTACGCTAGCTCTGCTTCCAGCTCTGCTTCCAGCTCTGCCTCTGCCTCTGCTTCTCTCTATGCCCGCGAGTACCCCCAGCCATCCAGCACCGGTGCTCTCTATGTCCGCGAATACTCTACTTCGTCTGCTTCGCCCACAGCCTCGGCTTCGGCTTCGGCTTCCCTCTATGCCCGCCAGTGGGCTACTGCCTCCCCATCCTCTTCTGTCTCCCTTGTCCCCAGGCAGTTTGGTGGCTGGTATTCCTCGGCTCCCTCGCCCACTGTGAGCGTGCCCGTCTTCACTACTCCTCTGGTCGCCCGTCATTTCGGCAGTGGATATTCCACTAGCGTGCCTGCGTCCTCTTCCGCCACTCCTTCCAGCTCTGCTGCTCTAATTGCTCGCGGCTGGTACTCATCTGCCTCCGGCACTCCCTCTTCCAGCGTAACCCCCACTTCGGCTGTCCCTCTTGCTGTCCGTGGTGAATTCGGCTGGTACTCTCCCATCGCCGGTACCTCTTCCGTCGCCACTCCTACCGCTTCGCCCTCGCTTGTGGCTCGTCGCTTCGGCAGCTGGGCCTCTTCCAGCGTCTCTACTCCCGTCTCTAGCGCTTCTGCCACCCCCATTGCCTACTAAGATAGATCACACACAGCTATCTGTCTTAGTATAAAATGGCGCAAGCGTGACATTTCATGAAATTATGAGATCTTGTTATGGATCGATATGACTGCGAACACGAACCATATTTTGCCATCTTTTGAATATGAACATGGACTGGCTTGCGAATAGATTGACCTACCCCCATCACGGATTTGGGGGCGCATACTCGACTGGCGTTTTTATCGGAGCAATTTTTTGAAGAAACTACGATTCATCATGTATATTCCTTTTCCCCTGGGTTATGGGATGATTTGTTTTTGATTTGGGCTACATAGACTGTGACTGAATATTTTACGAGCCCTCGATTACATAGATAGGTTGCACGAACAAATGAACAGAATGAAATGGAAATATTATTATGAATACCATTTCTTGTAATTTATTTGTAGACAAATCAGTAACTAAAGCAGATTTCCATCTTAGGCAGAAATTAGGGCCGAGTTGGCTTGGATTATGTAATAGGGTGCATGACAGCTGCGCGGTGGTTGCCCCGAGAGACGCGCCCGTAAACAGCACATCCCTCCGGTCACCTCCAACCTCGACACATTGCGACCTCCAAGGGTCTCTTTTGTTGTTTTTATCGCACAGTCTTATTGCTCTGTTCCTTTTCCTTTTATCGGTCATTTCCACACCTTTCAAATTGAGCAAAGGCTGGCCGAGGCTCAACTTCAATCATGCCTGGGACGGTGGCAGATGGACCTACGGTCTCCATGTCTTGTATGCTGTTCTCCATTATTACTCGTTGTCACGCGCTAACAATACCCTAGTTGCGAATAACTTCTGGGGTAAAGATGATGCGGGACTTCAGCCTATGCTGGACCGCATGCATAATTCAAAGGTTACAAATGATGAATTGAAGGTTTTCTATAACCGTATGTGACATGCATCACAGCCGCGACATTTTTCAATACTGATATTGCTCACAGTTCGAGCTTCTATTGAAGATGAATACGCCCGCAAACTCCAGGCTCTCTGCCGCAAGACACTTGGCTCATCTGAGACCGGGTCGCTCCGGAACTCGCTCGATGTGGTTCGTGGGGAGACAGAGGCAATTGCCAAGGCACACGCGGCAATCGCAGGACAAATGAAGACTGAACTGGAAGAGCCACTAGCTGCGTTTGCCAGTGGTATCAAGGAGCGACGGAAGATCATTCAACAAACCATTGAACGCCTTCACAAGACTAAAATGCAACAGACGGCGGCTGTCAACAAAGTACGCATCCTTCCGGTAACTTGGTGGAACAACGAGCTAACTATTCAGACACGCGATCGTTATGAACAGGATTGTCTTCGCATTAAAGGATATCTGGCGCAGGGACATATGGTTATGGGACAAGAAGAGCGCAAGAACAAAGCCAAGCTTGAGAAGACCCAAATTCAGCTCGCGTCCAACAGCAACGAATATGAAGCCGCCATTAAACAACTTGAAGAGACTACTGGACGTTGGAATAAGGAGTGGAAGTCTGCTTGTGACAAGTTCCAAGACTTGGAAGAGGAGCGTCTCGATTTTACGAAGAGCAGTCTGTGGACATATGCGAACATTGCCTCGACTGTTTGTGTCAGCGACGATGCTGTATGTTTGTTCTCCCCATATCTAATTTTCTGTGTTAACATACGATATAGTCTTGCGAGAAAGTCCGTCTTTCATTGGAAAACTGCGAAGTGGAGAAGGATATTCTCGCCTTCATTAAGGCGAGCGGAACTGGTCAGGAGATCCCAGACCCTCCTCGATTCATCAACTTTTGCAAAGACGACGATACTGGTTCTGAGATGGATGAGGCCGAGGGCTACTCGGTTGCCCAGTTCCAGCGCACCATGAACCCTGCATTCCGTACATCATCTCCCCAGCCCTCGACCTTCGAGTCTCACAACGACCCGCAGTCTGAGCTTGCAGCTCATATGGGCCACCCTGCTCCTCCCGCTAACGAAGTGCCGATCCCGCAACCTGCCTCTCAGCCTGCGCCTTTGGATCTCCGTCGTGGAGGTGCGCCGCCCCCGAACTATGACCCTGAGCGACATGGAGAGATTGGAGCCGTTCCCCACAACGCATACCCCACAGATGGTATGACCATGTTCTGTCGTGCGGGTCCCCCATCGGAGCGCAGCTCGGCAGCCAGCGCCTATCGCCCATCTAGCCGCGACTCTCAAAGCGAAGTTTCGAACCCTACCTCTATGTCTAGTGTCGAAGCAACGCCTACCAAGAAGTCCATCCCGAAGCCAACAAACAGTGCGCCACTTCCAAGCTCCTTCGAAGACAAGCAGTCACCATCGCCAAAGAAGAAGAGTGCATTCTTCAGCAACAGCCCCTTCCGTCGCAAGAGTCGCCACGATAAAGAACGACCTGTCATTCCTTCACAGCCAGCTATGTCCCCACAGGCCGCGCCTCGAAGTGGATGGGACTCGCCAACTGCACAAATGAGCCCGACTAAGCCCATTAGCCCACCCAAACAGATGAGTCCCTCCAAGCAAATGAGCCCACCAAAGCAGGTCACCCCCGCCAAGCCTCCAGCTGGTCCACCTCCTTCGGCAGCCCCTCCTACTCGTATCACTGCAAGCCCCGAACCTGTTGACCCCCGAGCCAACTTCCAGCTCAACGTCGGTAACAATGTATTTGACGTTGCTTCTCCTGAGAAGACCTCGCCAAATAAGGGGGCTCAGGCAGCTAAGGCTCCCGAAGACGACTTGGATCCCATGGCACGTGCTCTGTTTGAATTGAAGACAAATGGAAAGCAGTCTGCGACTCGAGTTTCTGCTGATAGATACGCTGGTATCTCCACGCCTAACCCATCTGCGCCTTCTTCTCAGTATGGTGGTAGCAATTCCAGTGGTACAGCGCCTCCGGCTTACAATGACCCTGCGGTTAAGCGACTTGGAGCACCCCAGCCCGCCTTCACAGCCAAGCAAATGCAGAAGACGACCCAAAAATACACCGGTCAAACCCAGACCATGCTTCGGGGCCAAAACAACAGCATGGGATCCAGGCACAGCGGTCAAACCCAGGAAGTCCCTCGTGCCAGATCACCTGCACCAAGACGGAGCGCCAGTCCTCAGGTTGCGCCTCGGGCTGCATCTCCACGTGTGGATACTCGCATGAGCCAGAACAGCAGAGGAGCAAGCCCAAGCCCGGCCTCCTACCAGTCCAACAGCATGCGAAGCCAGTACAGCCAGTCGCCCACTCCTCGTCGCGCTGAAAACCCACCCTACTCTCCCAACGACTTCCAGAGAAGGCCCTCGCCCGCCATGAGCCACCGTGCGGTGTCTCCTCAGCCTCAGTTCCGACAGCAAACTCGTCCCTCCAGTGCTGGTGGAATGGAATTGCAATTGTCTGGAAACCATGGTGATATGTACGGTGCTAGCAGCCCTGGTGGATATGGCTCGGCCCGGTCGAGTGGCCGCCCCTCATCTACTTATGGTGACGGCCCGCCTATTGGCCGATCCCGGAGCCGAACTCTGGCTGTTGCAGAGCCCGGACGCAAATTCAGTCGCGACGGCCGTCCCATTCTGCATTTCGGTAAGTTTTATCTCACTCCTGATTATAGGCTGTCATTATCTAACTCTTCACAGCTCGTGCCATGTACACTTACAATGCCGCAATCCCCGAGGAGCTCGGCTTCGGCAAGGGCGATGTCCTTGCTGTTCTCCGTCTCCAAGATGATGGCTGGTGGGAAGCCGAAGTTACCAATGCCCGCGGCCACCCCGGTCTCGTGCCGAGCAACTATTTGCAAATCATCTAAATACCCCCTCGATCTCACGACCCGCCACGACCCTCACAACGATTGTCCTGACGGAGATACTCTTTCTCATGTTCTCACGTAGATACCATGCTTTCGCCAACCCTCTTTGCACATTCACGGTTCTCTCTTAACTCTATCCTATTCTTACCTTTCGTTCCCAACATGGTGCTACAGTCTCGTCTCGACATCACGAACAGCTCGTTCAATCATGTTTTCTGTTCTTACAGATGTTTTTGGAAGCTTTAGCGTGCGTGTTTTGGGATTTCTTTTTGGTATTGCGGTTCGTGTCAATTTGTTGGATTTTCATTTCCTTTTCTCTTTGCGGGATCTTTTCGGATGAAATTGTATGATGACGGATCTCTGGCTATGGAGACTTTTTTGGGGGCTCTGTGGTCGACCTTTTCTTCGCTTTATCTCTTTACTTTTGATCGCTGATGGACTAATGTTGGCCGCTCATTCACTTTTTTTATGGAGGATATGATGTGACTTGTTCTAATTGATGCCCTTTCCTTCTGTGATTTTACTCTGGTTGGTGGTGTGTAAGCTGTAAGCGGATAATCGTGAGGATACAAATTGAATGCACAATCACGTGTGTGCCTTTTACTATCTAACACCAGCCATATACGTCGTAATCTGTAGAAATTCTTGTATTCAACTCATTTGCTTCGATCCACGTTTTATCTGTGATTTGAAAGTAGGGCTAGGTGGAGACCGGAATATTGCATGTGGCCAATCATGCTCAGGTAGCTTTCCACTGTCAACACCCCTTGGAGTCCAAGTACAAAATTGCACTCCTCCTGTAACCGCATCTGGAGACACCGCTCAGGTGTGCCTTTATATTTTGCCGTAGCTCTCTCTGTTACTTGAAGATGTTTTTATCCGGCCTTACTCGAGCCCGTCCAGGTCGCGCGACCCCGTCTATCTTACGGACACCGACTAAACGATCTTACTCAAAACCTAGCTCAGCTTTCACTCTGAACTCTGCTTCCAACGTGAAGAAAATCTTTGCGACTGCTGGTGTTGCCAGTACAGCAGGCCTATTGTGGCTGACCACCACTCAGGACGGGATACCGCGTATCGACTGTCCCCCAGCTGAGCAGATGGTGACCGAGCCGGGTCCTTCGAAAGAGCAGGTTACACGCATTCTATATGAGGGTGCCTGCTCGTATCGATCCAACGATATCCCCGGTGTCAACAGATACGACGTCAATCAATTGGCGTCTAACAGCCCTTGCGAGGACCGATATATCCACGGCAAGCTGTCTTCTCCGTGGGACGATGGAAAAGAATGGATGGCCTGGGCTGTGTTTGATGGCCATGCAGGATGGCAAACTGCAGATCTTCTAACAAGGCAACTCTTACCTTTCGTGCGCCGATCTCTGCATGAAGTTAAGTCACAATCAAACGAGAAATCAGTGCCAGACGAGCTGGTTCAGCAAGCCATAATGAAAGCCTTCGTGGACCTCGACGACTTGATTGTGAAAGAAGCTTTGACAACATCCCAAAGCAGCGAATCCCTGCAAGACAAGATCAAGAAATTAGCACCCGCCTATGCTGGCTCCTGTGCCTTGCTATCCATGTACGAACCAGCCATTAGCACCCTGCACGTGGCGTGCACTGGCGACTCAAGAGCAGTGTTGGGGCAACAAAGGCCAGATGGCAGCTGGGAGGCAATTCCCCTATCGATAGACCAATCCGGCCGCAACGATGAAGAGATCGCCCGGCTCTACAAAGAACACCCGGGCGAAGACAACATCGTGAAGGATGGCCGGGTGCTGGGAATCATGGTCTCACGAGCTTTCGGCGACAGTCGGTGGAAGTGGTCTCTAGATTTCCAACAAGAGATGAAGCGCAGGTTCAATGCTCCCTCGCCCTTGACGCCTAGGTACGACGTTCGCACGCCACCCTACCTGACAGCCGAGCCGGTCGTGACCAGCACTCGTATCGACCCTACCAAACCTTCGTTTTTGGTTATGGCGACGGATGGCTTGTGGGACACACTTTCTAGTCAGCAGGGTGTGGACTTAATCGGCAAATGGCTATCGGGCAACGACGGAAAGGGAGTCAAATCGCCAACATACGAGCCGTTTGACTTTGGTCGGTTCCGGGAAGGAGTGGATTGGAGGTTTGTAGAGGAACGAACGACCCTCCAGGACGACAATGCCGCTGTGCATCTGACGCGTAACTCCCTTGGTGGAAATCATCATGAGTTGATCGCTGGCCGGCTTGCCTTTGACTCTCCGTTTTCTCGCCATTTGCGAGACGATATTACTGTACAGGTGATTTTCTTTAACAAGGACTGAAAGAGAAGAGAATTAATACCTCGATACGAAAGTCTCATAGTGAATTTCGATGGAGAGTTTTTACCTTCTCACCACGATATTGACGGTAGGACCGGGCCGTTTTGCCGTAATATCCGTAGTTTAGCCTTAGTCTAACTTATGACTCCCTCTACATGGGATGTATAGAAGATAGAAGGAAATCCTAGCATGAAAAGTGATCCGGATTGCTCTCGATTCTTTTTTCTCTTTACCTTCCGAAACTAACCTTCTTTAATAAAGGCAACCAATGAATAAGTTCCTATTGCCATCGTGTAGTAAGCCTTGCCATTGCCCCGATTGACTCCTGTGAGGCAGTTGCAGGAGGGGTAACCCTGGTCATCACGCGAGATGTAAGTCGACTGGACTATTTCTTCCCCATCAACTCTGATCCCTCCCTGGCAACCATCCAGTATACTATATACTGCATAAAACCATCAATATTACAACACCCTCTACACGAACGACATCAAGGAAACTCCCGTGGAATGTCGATCGTGACAGAGACTCCAGATTCCCCAACGGCAACAGGGCCATCGCGAGAGCAGCTCGAGATTGAAGATGCTCTCGTATATCCCACCGGGTTCAAGCGAGGGCTCGTCATCTTCTCAATTCTCCTCTGCGTCGTCTTTGTCGGCCTCGACATGACCATCGTCGCGGTGGCCGTTCCCAGCCTCTCCAACCAGTTCAAGCAGCTAAACGACATTGGATGGTATTCAGCATCCTACCAGCTGGTCGCCAGCTGTTTCATCTTCTTCTTCGCCCGGCTGTACACCGTCTTTCCCATGAAAACCATCTTCCTAGTCTCCATGTTCCTCTTCGAGCTCGGCTCGCTCCTCTGCACCGTCGCCCCGACCAGCGCGACATTCATCCTGGGCCGCGCCATCGCAGGCCTAGGCAGCAGCGGTATCCAGACAGGCAGCATTGTGCTGCTGACGAGTCAACTGCCCGTGCACAAGCGGCCCTTCTGGACCGGGCTCGTAGGCGCAGGTTCAAACATAGCCATGGTGATTGCTCCCCTGATCGGCGGCGTGCTAATCGACGCCTTTTCCTGGCGGGCCTGTTTCGGAATTAATCTGCCTATCGGGGCCATCGCAAGCGGGTTCGTCGCATACGCGTTCCAAATGCCCGCGAACCCCCCACACGAAGCCGGATTGCCCGTGGTGGAAAAATTCAAGCGGCTCGACATCCTGGGGACGCTGGTATTCGTGCCTGCCATCGTCTGCCTGCTAATCGGGCTGCAATGGGGCGGCATCAAATACGGCTGGACCAATGCGCGGATCATCGTGCTGCTGGTGTTTTTTCCCGTCCTCATTGGCGTCTTTGCGTTCATGCAGCATCGCAAGAAGGAAGATGCTACTCTCCCCCCACGCATTATGACGCAGCGCAGTATTCTGGCTGGGGCTTGGTACAATGCTTGCAGCAATGGCATCCTTGCCGTTACTGAATACTATATGTCGATCTACTTCCAGGGGGTGCGAGGGTTTAGTGCTACGAAATCTGGCGCTATGGGCTTGCCGCTCTTTGCGGGCATGGCTGTGACGGCCCTCATGGCCGGTGCAGGGACCACATGGATGGGCTATTATTACCGTAAGTAGCAGCACATTCCCCTTGAATCCGGGATGAATGGGTAATTAAACGTATCTATATCTACTACAGCTTTTATGCTCATCAGCTCAGTCCTCACGCCCATCGCCTCCGGACTGCTCACCACAATCGAATACGATGACACTCTCGTTAAAATCATCCTACTCATGACATTTCTCGGCGCCGGCGTGGGCCTGGGTCTTCAAGCGCCAGTGTTCGCCGTGCAGACCGTTCTCCCAGACAAGGACATTGCCACCGGGGTCGCAATCACCGGGTTCACGGGGCTCCTCGCATCTGCGCTTTTTGTCTCGGTTTCTGCCGTACTGTTTCAGAGCCGACTGGCCATCGAAGTGGAACGGTATGCGCCGGGGACTGACCGGAGCATCTTTGACCACGGAGGTCTGGTGGATGCGAGGGAGCAGATAGGGCCTGTTAGACTCGGTGCTGTGCTTTCTGGGTATGATGAGGCGGTGATTCAAACGTTGTATATCCCTGTTGCGTTGGCTTCGTTGTCGATTTTGGCGAGTGTGGCAATGGAGAGGAGGAGTGTTAAGAAGACTCAGTGAGTCTGTTCTCCTCTCTATCAATATGTAATAAGTTCCTGAGCGTGATTTAAATATAAATATGTAAGGTGCCATCTACAGACAGAATATCATAGATACAGCAACCTCTTCTTCAACATATGCTCCGTTTTAGGGTTACCCAAGTAAACAGCAATAGCACAGCTAATATTGTATGCGCTATGCTCGATAGAGAATGTAAAGATCCCCCTTCCCAGATACACTGTGAAAATACTCCATGCATATCATTGTTGTTAATATGCCCCTTGTTAACGGTTATTCTCTTCATCGTTGGGTTGTTGTTAGGGTTAGGGCGAGGTGAGATGAGATGAGGGTAACAATGTAGTTACGTAAGAATCATCTCGTAATAATCGTCATAATTCTCCTAAAATCAAGTCTAAAAATCAACCAAGTCACCTCATAACATAAGATTTGCTGATATTACTACGTAATGCCATTTTCCTTTTACTCCCACAGCCAAGTAAAGTAGATATGTAGTACGATGATCAACCTGACATCGATATAAATTAACCACCAGAGGTTCCTATCTAGTCATTGTTAACATGGTCACAGAGTAATTAGTAGAAATAGAAAAAGGAGTAACCTTACACGCAATAAATCGGACAATACTATATCAACCTAGTACGACTTCCAGGATTAACATTATATAGTAAAATATCCACTATCAATAGTATCATCTTTCAATCAACCCATTTCCACAAACGCCCTCACCATGATACCCCCAGACATCTACTCAGTGATCCCCTGAGCCTGAGCGCCCTCATAAAGCGGTGGCAGCCCAGTTACCACCCAGCAGACATTATCCTATCCATATAGTTGTGTCAAAGTACCAAACATTTGACACAGCGTGCTATATCTGGGACTACAATAGCATGTAGGGCTTGCCTTTGCTGAATTACAATAAATACATTTCGTTCAGCTAACTGTCGTAATAAAGAACCAATTGGGGAATTACTATCCAGCGACACACACTAGGTAACATAAGGATCATCTCCTCTGTACAATGGGCAATCTGCTCTCTCCCATCAAATTAAAGTTCTGCGCCGACAACATATAAGGGAACCCAATTCTCTTTGCCCTAGCAATCCACTCTGTCGCATTATGGGTCTCCATCATGTCTATTTGAGGTAGCTCGCCTTGATTCTCCTCAGCATATGCCTCCCATTCGTCCAATTGCAATTTCATATCGGCGCGGTGATTCAAGTATCGGGAGATGGCCGCGTGACGCCCAGAGGCTTCCTGGTTTTCCTCGCTCTCCAGGCTCCGTTGGCTCTGCTGTGGTTCTGGTGCCTTCTCTGCATCGCTCCCTTTGTTTTGCTGGCTGTCTTGATATGGGGGCTTTGATTCATCTGGCCCTTGGAGCTGCTGTTGCTTGGTTGGATCCATGCTGCTTGTGGAGAGGGAAATCAGGCAGTAAATTCTTGTTGAACGGCGATATATCAGCCTCCAATCTGACCAGGCAGCAGGGAGTAAAAATTAGTCTTGGAGGTCCGACATTTAGTCCACGGGAGACCGCCGATTGATCCCTGTCGTCCACGCTAATGCGGAAGGAAGGCACCAGCTAAGTCGAAATTGTCCTAGGGCTTTTCCACCCTGCACAGGTCATACGAGGGATTGCCCTCGATTTGGAAATTTTCGGTTAAAGCCGCATACATCGTCTTATAAAGCGTATTGGTGAGACCCAGGTCTTGCATAATTTAAGTGCCAGCAATATGATTTAATAGTCGCTTATATATATAATCGTAGTTATATACAATGATATTTAAGATGAAAAGACCTGTGAGATTAGAATATTCGGTCCTTCCGTTCCCTAAACACGCGCCTGTGTCCTTCCGAATGTACCACAAGCATATCCTAGCTTGGCTCTAAGCAGATGTAGACCTAAATTGGTGAAGGCAGCATTTGATGCCAGGCCAAGGGAAGTATAGGTCGAATGCTCAAGAAAACTTTTGTTGCTATTGCTAGCTATAGTCAAACCTCAACCTTTTGCTTTCTCAGGGACGGTTTACCATTATCGTCCACTACAATTGAAGAATCTGAATAGAATTTATCAAGTACGACGTTTGGTGCCATGGACCAGAGTAAGAAATTCAAACCAGCAATAAGATAATAAATTCAAATCTACAAGAAGCATTATACAGACAAAATTATTCACAGAATCAAGCACAAGCTGTACATGAAGAGAGACCAAAGCAAGCAAGCATTGGCAAATGGGGTATATGAAGAATAGACATGCTCCTCCGCTGTTTGAATTCAAATACATGCAGAACCCAAAGAAACAATTACTCCTGCTCATTCATCATCAACGAAAGAGTTGGCCAGTCGACCAAAGATAGGAACCTCGAAGTGGTCCAAGGTGTCGACTATAAATGAGTGATTAGTATTAGATATCTGATTTATGCCGCTGGAAGATATTGTTCGGAGGCAGACTCACCGTCTTGATAGGCATGCATGCTGAGGAAGCCAATGAGTAGAAGGTCGATGATGAGAAGTGTCCATGAAAGGAAGCTGGACCAGCAGAAGAGGAGGTGAACGACCTGTTACAAATATGAGCAAAATACGCGACCGGGAGGGCAACAAAAGACTCACAAACATGGTAGCGAATAACATGCTCGACTGCCAAGCATGGAACCTACAAAAGGAAATTAGCATACTGTTCAGTACAGAGATCCAATGTCTGGCACATACCGCACGTAGTCACTGTTGTGCTCAATAAGCAACAACAGTACACCTCCGACCGGGGGCAGAAGTAAATAGGCTAGCATAGCCTCCACCTCAATTCGGATAGGAAGGCTTGTCTCAAAAGGCCCTGGAGTCGCAAAGCCCGCGCCAGGGTAACTGTGACTGGTGGGTACATTCACATGTGCATCGAGCGAAGCTCGCGGGGAGCGGAGGTTTGGAGACACGCGGTAGCCATCATTTGGAGGAGATAGAGCACGCTCAATATCTGGAGATTCGTCTTGGTAGGGAGCGAAATTCATGATGCGTAGGATGAAGTGAGAAGAGTTAGGGGAGAACTACTGATGTCGGGGTAAATCCTTATCGTTATCGGACACGCGACGCGTTGGCCTCAGGCGAAAAGGGTATATTGATTTTCAATTATTTTCATAATTGGGCATGAACAAGTCATATGATACATGAAAAGCTACAAATATTATTCAAGGCTTCCCACGACCGCGTGAGATTCCACTTCCCCGCGCGATCCCACTGCCTGCCCGACTGGTTGCCGTGGAGCCTCGGGTTGCCGTTCGCGATGTACTGACACTCGGGGTTCTGCCCAAGCCAGTGCTTCGAACTGTACCTCTGGTAGTTCCCCGAGTGCCCCGAGTGCCCCTTGTAACCTGTGTGCGTCTCGATTCCACTTCCTGCGCTTTGCGCGCTGCTGCCTCTCTTTGTTGTTGAAGTGCCTGCTCACGTCTCTCCGCTGCTTGCTGCTTTTGGATCGCTTCGTTTTCGATATCGGCAACATCCTGAGTAGCACCTTGCCAATTGGGGTTAAGGATCAATCGCTGGTTATGCTCGGTTTGGGAGAGAATGCGGGTCCAAGTATTTAGGAGGGTGGATGCCGAGGTGACCGTTCGCGATACCGTCTAGATGTGGTTAAACATTGTTCTGGTGATGTAAAAGAAAAGCATAATACCTCCATATTTCCTTTTGCAGAGTCAAGGCTACTCAATAGTCCTTCAATCACCTCGTTGATGTTCCGTACACCCTGCAATTCTGTGTGGAGTGCGGCTTCTCGCGCTTCTTTGCGATCGAATAGAGGATCCCCACTGTCATGGGAAGCTCGAGGTTCCGGTGTGATTTTTTTGTCAGAGGGTGGAGAGTCGAATTTCTTGTGCGCTCCACGCTTTGAGGGAGAGTTCCAAAGATCCTCAGTGTCGTCATCTGATAGCTGGAGTCTCTCCATTTCCTCTGCTGTGCTGCGGAATGCCATGTTGATTTTGTGCCGGGGACCGCTGTATGTACAGTTTCGATGGGCAGGATGCCTCAGTAGGTTCTGGCCTCAGGAGGAAATCAAGAGATCTTAGTAGATCGAATTAAAGATCCACAAAAAGAAGAAAAGAACGAAATAGGAAGAACGTCAACAGTCAGTCGCGGGGCTTTCAGCCACCCCATTTATCGGGCGGTGAGGGATGTGGCTGGGCCGCCAAACATCCAGCCCTTCCTAGCAACCTCACCCTTCCTTCACTTCTCATCGTTCTTTGTTCTAGCTTCGTCTTGCAAATTGCATATTTACGCTTGATTTTTTGAGCCCATCAATCCCACTTGCGCTTTTATTATTCTCGAACAACATTCGGCCAAATCGCGTTCCGCCCTTGTTTTCCAACCACTTATCCTCGACACTTGATTAAGGTCGCGAAATTCCACAACAACACAGACGTCTACTGTGATCAGTCTAGAACGCATATCTTTATCAATAAGGCTATCAGTCTTTATAAACTTGTTAAATCGCATTTCCAGTCAAGATGGCGTCAACACCGCCGCCCCCATCACCAACCTCGCTCCGGGTACCTCGAGCACCGCGTTTTGGGCCCAAGCATGACAATTACGAACCCTACCCTACACGTTATTCTGCTAGACTAGCAAGCCAGCGAGAAGTCAAGACTCGCCAAGTTACGCCACCTACAAGTCACTCCAGTTCATCAAACAAAAATGGTGTTCCCAAGAGAACTCTCTCGCCCTTTTCACCTGGAACTGGCCAATCTTTCCCCAGAAAGGCCGCAACCTCTCGCATCTCACCATTTGATTCTGAATCCTCACAATTCCACACTTCTACTGGTCAACCATCTCGGTCATCTGCAGAACGCGCTCTACCCACTCCTGCTAAAACACCCTCCAAGAAGAAAATCATCAGCACTGATTCCTCCACTTCTCGCGCCATCTTTCCTCCAAGCTCTGCCCCCAGGCGTAAGAAGATGGATATCGCAATGGACACCTTTGACACCTTTGACACCCCTCTCAATGCCTCTGCTGGATACACTCCTCATGTCAGAGGTCAAACTGATCCAGCTTTAATGCGCGAACTGGGTATCCCATCTTTCCCTATTCACACCGATTCGCGCGACCGTATTCCTGTGCGCGGTAATCTTGGTGGAAATCCCTTTGCCTCCAAGCCTGGCAGACCGGCTACTCGTTCGACTACCAGCCACGACGATGGAGTCTGGTATGTCTGGTAAGTACAATTCACCCTACTCATATCGACACATTCTAACTGCAATTTAGCCGTGGCAAGAAAATCTTCAAGCGCTTCGATGAAATGGAAGAAGATGAGGATGAGGATGATGATGACCTCGGCCTTCTGGCTCGCCGCCCTGACCTGTTCGTCGATGAGCCCGACATCTTGAAGAAGGTCAAGCCTCTCACCCGAGCTTCTATCAAACCACGCCTTCTATTTAAACGACCTGAGCCTGAGAAAGAGATTGCCGAAGAGGAAGATCTCACTGACGTCGAAGAAAATGATGCTCCATCTCCCACCCCTGCGGATCCCGCTTACGATCTCGCTGTTGACCCCGTCACTCCCGACTTTGACACATCTGATTCCCTCGTCGCTCCTGGTGCTCCCGGTGGTGTTTCTAGCACCCGCCTTCGTGGTTCTACGGGAGAGGCCGACAAAGCCGTTCCTCCGTCCAATGACACTGCTCCTGGACATTCCAACAAGCGAGTTCGCACCGACAGCGGCGCTAGTCTGTTCAAATACTACCCACTCAGCAAGAAGCCTTCAGCAGTTGAGGCCCGCGCGGACCGCCTCAAGCGCTCTCGCGAATCGCGAGGCAGCCCTGCTCCCCGTATTAAAAAGGCTCTGCGCAGTGGGACTTCTGCTGAGGCCCCGACTTCTTCGGAACCCGTCGTTGATGCCTAGTCACATCGGTGTCCCCGATCTTTTTCTTGATTTTCGGATTGCATAGTCGTTTCGGCGTGTCGCAAATTCTTCTCTGCATTCACGCTTGCGTTGCGCTGTACTCGGCCCTAAGGATGTGCGACAACATTTGCCCCCCTGCCAATGCACATCCATCCCCTCGCGTTCTTACCATTTTCCTAATCTGCTCTCCCTATGATTGACCATCATGTCTTCGCGCGGTCTCTGGGATTTTCTCACTTTTTCATCTCCTCGTTTATTGCGTTTCTTTCAATTGTCTTTCTCGTGAACTGGCGCGTGGGTTGGGAATTGCGAAAATTCAAGGATACCTAACGACAACGTCTTCGGCTGGATAAGTGGCGTTCTCTTTTTTCTTTTTTCTGGTCTGTCTTTCTTTGTGCCTCGACGCACCTTGTGTTTTCGTCGGTCCTTTTCTACTTCAATCTTTTGATTCCCGGAATTTTTTTTCTGGTTCTCACTTGGGACTGAGATGGGTTGGATGCGACTTTCATGTGTCTAGTCGATGGCTTGGATTTGTTCATAATCGTGGGAGGACATTATGAGGCAAAATGACGGCATAGCGGAACACCCCAAATTGAACTATCAAATAGCTACTTTTTCTTCATGTTGTAGATTGTCCTTTGTAAAGTAACTTCTTGTACCGACGCGGTTGCTTCAGCCTGGCTTCGACGTCATGGTCCCGTGACCCAGATAGCCCTTGTTATTATGGCCAGGAACCAAGCTCCCCGACCTACACCCATGATCAAGTCCGTACTCTACAAAGGAAAAAAGCTACAAAGGAAAAATGAGCATACTATAATAAATACGTCGATTTAAACAAGGATAATATCAACCTGTCATGGACAAATCGAACAAAAAAACCTTCGCCTAATGCAACTGGTCCACTGGGGACATGCTTTGAATTCGTAACAGCGTAATTAGGATTCCCTTCCAAAGGATGCAAATGATAACCAGCGAACCGGAGAACGTGATGCACAGAACGCATCAAACAAACTCCAAATCATCGTCATCGTCATCATCCAAGATCGCCTGCCTTCCACCAGGCGTGACCTCAGCCGGTGCCCCCAAACTCTCCCGGCCAGCTTCTCTAATCCCCTTCGAAGTGATAAACCGCGTCTTCTTCACCCCACTGCCGTGCGGTGTTCCATGGGCACGCTTCATGGGACTCAAGCGGACATTTCTGGCTTTGCCGAATGTGGTGAGATCCATCCCGTTCGTGGCTGAAGGACTCTTGGGCAAAATAGGTGTTCCTGGAGTCATTTCCCTGTTTGGGGTTTCATTGCCGGTTCTTGTGCGGAGATACTCGGCGCCTACGCCTCCGACTCGGCCTGAGACGAGTTTTTGGGTTATGTCGCGTTCGCGTTGTTGGGCTGCGAGACGTCGCCGCATTTTCTCTTCTTTGTTTTCTGAGCCGCGGCCCATCATGCCGGAGGATAGGAAGGGGTCATCGTGTGCATCGATTAGGTTTGCTGCAGAACCTCCGACGGGGTTGTATGAGGCGCGACCGGCTCCGCGGTTCTTTGGGGCTGGGGCCACGTAGTATAGGGATTGGGATCCCATGTCATACTGAGGGCCGTCCCGTTTCAATCCCTGACCTTGTCCGTAGCCACCGTTGCCTCGGCCGCCCCCTCGCTTGGCTCCTTCGTTGAAGAAACCGGTTCGTGCTCCGGATTTACCACCCGGTCCAAACATGCCGGTGTCGGCGTTGACTCCTGAGCGTTGGCCCTGGGTCTTTCGGAGTTGGATGTCCACGTGGAAATCACAGAACTCGGTCTTTCGCCCATCCACCCAGGATTGACAGGTCTTTCCATCCTTTCTCACGGTCTTGCAGAATCCGATATCCCGGGCGTAGCCAATCTCGAGAACTGTGTCATCGGACGACGACAAAGACAAACTGAATCGGTTTGTGTCTAATTTGTGCTTGGGAGGGGGCATGATTGTTGGGTTCAAGATTGCAATAAGGGTGCCTTCGGAAACCTTGTAGTAACGGGGGAAGGCGGTGCCGAAAAGGAAAAGGTCGATGGTCCATTTTAGATCCGTCAGAGTTATAGCCATGTACTTGTTTGTATTATTCAGGCCATCGTCATAGGGGTCTTCTGTTTTTGCAGTTGCGTTTCCAGAAGATTTCACATCCCTAGGTTCAGACTTGGACGCAACGATTCCAAATACCACAAAGTCTCCTTCAATGTCTTCGGGGAGCTCGAATGCAGGCGCCTTCACTGCCTTCAGTAAATCGGGGATGCGGAGAACTTTTTTATCTGCGAGTGTGCGGCTCAAGAATGAATGTGGGAGAACCCGATTTGAGAGGTGTAATAATGAGTAGGACTCAAATTTTGAGGAGTCGGGGGGCTTGAGCGAGTCACCATCTTGGGATGGCCCTGTTGCTTCTTCCATTGTGTTATTCCTTCTATGGAGATGAGATTGTCGATCGTTGGTACCAGCATTTCCCTCGGTGCGGCGGATGCTCGGAGTTGTCTGACTGCGCTGAAGCCCAGACGGGCGAGCCTGGCCCATAGATCGAAGAATATCCTCGCGACTAAAGGATTCCGCGGGCCGCTCCCTTGACGGGGAAGATGGCTTCGCATCAGCTGCGGCAGCCTTAAAGGCCTCGATTTCTGCTTTATCGATTTGGAAAGCCGAGCTGCGGTTTGCCTGTATCCGTTCTGCTCTCTCCATTCGAGATTTCTCGGCTGCTCTGCCCTCAGCCATCCTCTCACTGAAACTTTTGATTCGACTGATCCCTCGAGATCCGGGGGACGTCTGTGGTCTGGAAGAAAACACATCGTTGGGACGTGCCATGGCCCCATCTCGGAAACCAATCTGGCTGCTGGGTCGAGGGTCCGTTCTTGAGCTTGGGGGTCGTTTCAACGACACATCACTGGCTTTCCACCCCTTATCAATGCCCATCTGGTATCTCCGTGGTGATAGGGGATCCACAGCGGGAATCTCGCGCCTGGTAGGTGATGCCGGGACCTGAATGTCATCGCTCGTCGACCTTCCAAGGGCTGGTTTGGCGCTTCTCGGTGTCAGGGCATGGGTTTCAGTTCGCGCGGCGCTGATAGCAGAGCTTGGACGGGCGTCTTCTTCTTCGAGATTGGAGCTAGATCTGCCGCGATTTTTCTGTTGGAGCTTCTTCAACCTCAGGCGGGCTTTGATCTCGGCAAGCTGAAGCTGCAGCGTTTCCTCGTCCTCTTCTTCCGCATCATCCTCGTCCAAGATCTGGTTCGCTTTCGATCGAAAATTAGGTGTAGTGCTAGAGCGCTTCAAAGGCGACGTGAAATTCTCGCGATTGCGCTGCATATCTTGGTATCGTCTTCGTCCGGCGGGCGAGCTCAAGAGAGCCGCGCGGGGCGACTGGGGTGGCCACGCAGGCTCGGTCACTGCGGGAAAACTTGTCAGAAAGCGATAAGCGTAGACCGCAGGGAAAGCCGTACTGATGAATCAGAGGTTCAAGGGTAATCAAAGACCGAAAGCACCATAGCCTGATTGGCGGCTTAGGCCATTCCCCTGCGCAAAATTGAGCGATACGCCTAATAGGCGCCGTGGGTATAGATGCGGGGAGCGAACACTAGAATCCCAAAAGAAAACAAAGAGAAACAAGGGGAACTGAATGTCGGGGAATTCGCGATGTAAGATGAAACACTCGCTAATGCAGCAAGGGCAGTGACGGATCACATTACGGCGGGCGCGTCGCGTCGCGTTCCCCTTCTGTTCCCACTCTATGCTTCTACCTTTCAACATCAACCATGAAGACCCGATCAGCCCCTATGAAAGGCAAGAAGTCTGAAGAAACTACTGAACAATCTCAATCAAAGGCCCTTGTCTCGGAGAAGCCAAGCAAAACGTTTATCCTCCCTTCTGCCAGCGACAATGCGCGACTCCTCACCCTGCCTCAGCCCCAATCGGGGGAGTTGAGCCGTTATTTCTTTTGCCCGGAGCGCGGCGTATACGAGTTTACAGTTGTTGCACCGCCTGCTCATATGGCGCGAAGCATCCTGTTCACTCCCCAGACACACCGATGCACATCTGATTCGGAAGAGAAAAACGACAACGATGAGCCCTCCGTGAAGCCTACAATTACGAAGATAGCCGAGCTTTTGGTAGCGACGCCTATCGATGCCATGTTCTTTATGGTCCCATTGTTGGCCCCTTCCTCAAAAGCAGGACAATCCCTTTTCCAGCCATTGGACGATATTATCGATTCTAATGATGATATGCCGAAGCACCTTCGCCAGGTGCTGTACGATGAGACATTCAGGAGCTCTCTTTTGGCTCGCGTGGAGGCTGTATGTGATACGGTCGAAGCGGGCGATGAGAAAATGTTCCGCTTCAACGAGACAAAACTAGTGAAGGAGTTGATCGCCAAGGCAGAACGGATGGCAGATCGAGGACTTCCAGTTAGTCTGGAGGAGCGCTTTATTCGCCAGGCACTAGCAACCCCCTTGATGTCAGTCAAGCGTGAAGATGTCGTGACTAGCCAGGAGCCCCCCAAGGACGGTGACTCGGCCTCCAAATCGGAAGAGAGACAGGATTCACCATCGACAGTAGCCACAAATGACACACCATCTGTTGCAACACCCGCTGGGGAATCCACTCCTGTACCTCAGCCACCCGGTACGGACTCAACAGCCCTGGATCACGTTACTCGCCTACTCCGAATCTCCACGGCACTGTCCTACATGAAAGAGTCCTATCTACCCGACGCTATGGCCGCGCGACTGGATGAGATTCTTGCTTCGGCGGAAAGTCCACTTGACTTGAAGCCCCTGAAGGACCGTCTGAAGGAGATTGCGGAACTTCGTGCTCAAGCCATGGCATCCCGTAATATGTCCGACTTCACTCGCAAACGTGGCTTGGATGATGAGGAAGAGGATGTCCGCGCTGAGAAGAAACGTCGAAAGGATGAAGAAGAGAAGAAGAAAAAAGCTGCTGAATCCCAAGCTGTGAAGAACTTGAAAAAGGTCAACACGTCTGGTATGCAAAAGATGAGCGCTTTCTTCGCCAAGGCTCCTCCCAAGAAGAAGACTTGAAACATTTCGGTCGATTCTCAGCTGAATACAACATCTGGCCTCATACCGCGCTGAGGCCTTCTTGCGTGGTTGATGGACTGCCATCGAGCTTCAACAATACGCCTCATTCTGTCATAGTTATGAACTACATTGGCATTGTTGGAGGCAAGTTCCCCGCAGTTGGCGAGGTTACTCCGGGGCACCATAAGCGTGATCGAGGGACGCGCTTCGTTCCTTGATATCACTGAATCCAAGGAACCCACGTGATGGCTTGCCGAAAAGAGCCGAGCTTGTCTTCAAGGAGGAAAGTCCACGTCTCAATTTGGATACATCAACACCTAATCTGGAAGATCTACCATGTCCCACCACTGTATACTACTATTAAACAACCCAAGACTCAAGTTGTATATATACACCGCTCGAATTACTTGCTATGACGATTTTGTATTTTTATCAATTGAGAGGTCAGCAGCTTTACCAAAACATGCCTTGCCACTAACCAGCAACCAAATTTAAAGAGGAACCTCGTCAATAGCAGCACCGGTAACCCTAAAAACCAAAAGTTAGCCAATGACCATCCAACCACACACGACCATCTCAAAGGGGAAAGAACATACAAGAAAGACCCGTTGGAAGGCTTGCTAATAACCATAGCCTGCTCCAACTTCTCCTTCGTGATATCAGGGAACTTCTTCAGATAATACTCCTCCCGCAGCGCCTTGGTGACAGCCTCAACCTTACCCTGCGGCAACATGTGAACAGTACACCCACCCCAACCAGCACCAGTCAGCCGACTACCCCAAGTACCAGCCCGACGAGCAATAGCACAAATATCATCGACCTCAGGCGCACTGCACTCATAAGAATCACGACACGAAGCCTGTGACTCATTGAGCAATTGACCAAGGTAATGGATGCGCCTCTCGTCCAACTGCTTCGCCTTGCTGAGACAAGCCTTGAAATCGAGAACACGGCGCGCTTCCTTGAAGCAGTGCAGCGCGCGCTGGCGGAGGCGGAACCGCTCTGCTTGCACGGGGAAGGCGGAGAGGTAGGTCGATTCTAGTTCTGGGACGGTGATACTTAGGAGCTGGGCCATTTCTTCGCGCGTGTAGCCTTCTTCTTTGGTGAAGAGGTCTTGTGTTGCTTGGATTACGGAGTCGATTTGGTATTCGAGGGGGTCGTGCAGTCGTTCTTCCTTGGTCATTAACTCGTTTTGGAAGTTGCGTAGACTGTAGCCTAGCGAGCTGTTGTCCTTCGGTAGGGTTAGGCCGTAATTCTTGGCGAGGATTACGGCGGCTAGAGTGCACTCTGCTACACGCAGGTTGTAGTGGCGCGGGGCGGTGTCGGCTTTGTTGGAGGTCACGAAGCTTTGGGCCATTAGGAAGGTGATTTCCTCTGCAGCTGTTGGGATTGGCACGTGGTTGGCTCTGAATTGGGGGAAGAATTGGGTGTAGAGGAGATAGCCGCGCTTGGAGAAGATGGATGCTGCTTGATCCATACTGTTGCGATTCATTGTGTTAGTTTTGTTCCACTGTCATTTAGGGTTTGAGGGGTTTTTGGACTTACCCGCCGGAGTAGACACCGACAGCGCGCTCCGAGACAACGGCAAGATCCAACAGGTCCTGTTTGGAGACGTTGTGGTCGTTGGCCTTCATGACGGCCAAGGCACTGGCGCACACGAAGGCAGCACTGCTAGAGATACCACCACCGGGGGGAACATTGCCGTCAACCAGGATCTCCATGCTGGCAGGAACCAGGGATCCATCAGGCTTCTCCTTGCGCAAGAACTTCAGAGCACCGGACAGGCCGGCACGGAAGTAGTTCACCCACTCGTGCTTCTTGGGGTCAATCTCGACATCCTTATCGTGGGGCACGCTGAACTCGCGCGTGGGGAATTTCTCCGGCGACACATTGGCGATCTTGATGATCGATTCCGCACCGCTGGCAGGGACCACCTTGACGGCCATGATCACGTCAACGCTCACGGCGGTCGGCAGGACATCGTACAGCGAGTAGTCGATGTGCTCGCCGATGATGTTCACACGGCCGGGACTGCGCGCCACGAAGTCCGGGCGGTAGCTGTAAGTTTTGTTGAATTGGGAGATGAGGTTAGTCCATCGCTGCTGGTGCTCCGGTGCAACGGATGCTAGCGAAGCCTCGTCTGTGGCGTAGACTTCAGCGATGGATTCTGTTTGCGGCACGAGCTCTTGGGTCGGCATGGCGGGGTGGCGGGGTAGCGAGGGGTTGAGGATAAGGAAGAAGAGGAAGACAAGAAGAAGAAGAAGAAGAGGAAGACAAAGAGGAAGACGAAGAAAGAAAAGAAGGAGGCCTTTGCAAAAGATTATGTGGAGATGTACACGCCCCGGTTTCGACCCCGGGTAAATGTCAGTGGGGTGACAACCCATTGTCGCATTTCGGGCTTTCGGTGTCCGGATGTAGTCAGTTTGCGGAGTCCCTTCGGCTCTCTCCACGCTCTTTTCTTTTCTGCATTCCTCCACAGTTTCTGATTGGATGTTATGATTCTGCACTGTGTCCACATGTTATGACGCAAATGTTTTCCTACTGTACACATGGCAGAAACATTTCCCATTCTGCATTATCATAAGCATACTGTCGAGTCTAACCGCTTATGGCAGTCTATTGCCGCCATTTCTATACTCCCACCGCCTCTCCTATTGCCTTTTATATGATTATCTACAAATAAGTTAGTATATGAATGCAATATACTCAATATTTAATTACACAATGGTTACCATGCTCCCGCGGATGACCCAGTGGACATGAGTCCTTTAAATTCCCCTGCTACGGAAGCTTCTCGGGAATCAGATGTGCTGCTCGAAGATCTGAATAAACCACAGCAGATGATGACCCGTCAGGATCAGGACAACAGCCACACCCCTCGTGGCATTGAGAAGACCGAGAAGGGTAAGCGTGCACATGCGTGCCGATTCCCCGGGTGCGACAAGGTATATACTTGCTCATTCATATACTTTCCTGCGCAGCGAGCTTACCATGCATAGTTCTTCACTCGGCAAGAGCACCTCAAGACATCACAAGCTCAGACACAGGACCGATGTGAACATACGTTGTTCGGATACGACTAGGGAAGATTCACTGGCATCCGCGCTTCAATCAATGACAGAAGCCTAATCAAGCGGTGAGCAAGGTAGTAATGATATGGTCAACGATGATGTACAACACGGGTCATAAGTGTGTATGTAGTGCCAGTAATAAAGCATTAGAACGTCTTCGTACGAAAACCTCGAAGCAAGTATAACGTTACCGTTTCATATAGTATTTTTGCCCTACTTTGGCCTCTCTTTTTTTCGCCTCTTTTCGCCCATTATCGAGTGCCTTAAAAGGGGGCAGCCCAATACCGAGAGTTGCAGAGATACGTTCTCCTCCCAGTCAATGTGTGCGGAGTGTTGGCAACGCTGAAATGCTACATTATCAATGTCTCTACCTACGTCCTCTTCCTCAAGATTCACAATTGGAAGCTCTTGATATGTTTCGATTGGGCCCATCTGGTGCGGCAGGTCGATGAAAACGCCATCTGCTCCTGAAATAGCATTGGACACGGCCCGAGCTTCATAGGAGTATCTGGTTGGTGGTCACAACGAGGTCCAATGGACAATACATGGCTTAACGCAGATTTGGCAGACTGCGAAAAGTTGCTCCAAGAAATTTGACAGCCAGCAACAGGACTAGAAAGGCTACCTGGCATCCTGCCGCTTCTTCAGTAAAAAAACCCTCACTGTTTCTCTTTCTTTCTATGTACAGCACCATGTATCGTTCCGCAAGCAAACTTCAGAAGCCTTGCTAAGTGTACTATTTGGTGTTTGCAAAATTACCAAAAAAAAGGTGTAGGTAAATACATAAATGAATGCTCGATGACCTATTTGAGACCGATATCGGCAGAAAAAGCCGAATATATGGCGGCTAGGACGCCGAAAACACTGGTGAAGTTGAGTTCCTAGGTATGACTTCTCAAAAGGGGGAAAGAGGGACCGGAGTACACATACTTCTAGGAATCAGGCTATCTCCTTCCGGACGTGAGACGTTCTATAACCACAGCCAGCCCTGTTCCAGTCATATCCAACATGCTATGGTGGTCGGCTCTCCAAGCAAAGATCCTGTCGGGCCCTACGAGGATGCCGGCTAAATGCCCTTTAAAATTGGCCCACATGCCATCGGCATCCCTCCAGCCCGAGTCCCGGATACGCTCGACTCGGGTAACTCCGTCATAAGTCGCTTCCGCGTATGGACCTGATATAAGAAATAGGAATGTGTCGCATGGGATCAAATCCCGTGTTGATCGGACCACTCCGTTCTTTTCTAGCCATGTGTGTGGTAGGTGGTGCCCAGGTAATAGTGAGGGATGATGTTGTAGGCAGTTCAATTCACCATTGGGGAGAAGCTGCCCGCCGTGGTTCGAGGAGGTGATTGGGGTTTCTGGATCGATGTTGGGGTAAAACCATCCAATCTCAGCGCCGAGTGCGTGGAACTCGGTGTCTAGAATATTTTGGGCATTCCGGACAGCTTGTCGTCTTGATTTACCTTCTGTTGAGTGTGGTATGAAGTATTCTTCCATGGCTTTCACGTTTGACTCTGTGTTGTTCTGGGTTGAGATCCCCAGTGCACGGTCCATAACTAGGGCATGGGACAGAAGGTTGTGCAGACTGGTTTGTGAAACTCGAAGTCCGATGGGACGACGTTCCGTTTCATATGTATCAAGTAGAGCATTATAACGACCCAGTTTATTGCTGCGGATTGCTAGACCGAGTTTCCAGACCAAATTGTGTGCGTCTTGGATTCCGGTGTTCAGCCCTAGAGCTCCCCAAGGTGGAATGCGGTGCGCGGCATCACCAACGAGAAAGATACGACCGTTTTCGCTCCTGTATTTCTCTGCGACGATACTGTTGACGCGCCAATGAGACAGACTTATGAGGTTAGTATCCAAATTGGGGACCTGAAGAGTATCATGGATCCGCTCAATCATATCCTCGGTCTTGAAGTCCTGGACATTCTCTGGATTGACAGCGCAAGCGAAGAGCCATTCTTCCGTCTCTGTAGTTACTGGGTAGGGACCGAGGTGATAAAGATATCCTGTTCGGATACTGCCACCTTTCAAAGGATCGATGAACCAGGTAATGAAATTCCTGGGATCGGGATGGCGGGCACCCAAAGGTGCTTTGAAATGGGCAGAGACCATATCGATAATGTCTCTTTCCCCTTCCCACTTAATGCCGAGTTCGTCAGTGAGACCACGACCACCATCAGCTCCGATGACATAACGAGCTTCAAACCGGCAAATACCAGACCCGTTGGTGTCGCGGGTGGCCAGGATCACACGATCGCCATCCTCTTTGGTATCTGTGACTTCCACTCCGTATCTGATGCCCTGGGAATTGAGCTCAATGGCTCTTCTCAAGAATTGGCTCTAGTCTGATCTGGGGTATAATAACGTATGGGCATGGGCTTGATCCCTTATATTCTTCCTGGTAGGCTCCTCCTCCGCATGCATCACGTCCGATGATTTCTCGGCTGGTTGGCCCAAGACTTGTACACCAGGTAGTGCGACTGACTGTATTTTGCGGGGCTCGTTGCTCCAGCACCTCTTTTTCGATTCCAATTTGGCGGAATATCTCAACAGTGCGCGTGTTCATGCCACATGATTTGGGGTGGATTGAAGTCGAGGGATAACGCTCGAACAAGAGATGTGGGATCTTTTGCTGAGAGAGAAGGATTGATGATACTAGACCGACAGGTCTTCCCCCAATAATTGCGATGGGATATCTTTCTACTTCTGGCATCTCGATGTTTTCAGCTCACTTGGGTTGATATAGTTTCCCATGGGACTGGGTGAAATTGTTAAATTGGACACTTTCATTTGTTATTAACGAAGCTGACCCTGAACCACGCTACTCCCCTTGATCATCCCTGTCAGACACAGCGGGGCATGAGTGGGATTCACATCTTCCTGTCAACGACGGGTGTCTGCACCATCCCCGTCTCCGCATAATATTGCTCCCAATGCTGGACTAGTCGAGCGAGAACACCTGGCTGACTTTGTGCAAGATCATGGATTTCAGCGGGATCGGTTTCTACATTGAAAAGCTCCCACTCATCCTTCCCACGGGGCTGAGCAATCCAAACTGCCTTCCACTTGCCCTCCCGAATCGCTCGCATTCCAAACAGCTCCCATCCATGAATATGGACGTCTCCTTTGTGGACACTAGTGGATTTATAGTCACTTGAGGCTAGATGTGAAACCCACGACTGGCCACGCGGAAGAACGACTTCTCGTCCACGGAACTGTGGGCCTGGATGGGCTACTCCGGCTAAGTCCAGGATGGTTGGAAGGATATCCATTACTGTAGTGAATGCGTCGGTGATGGCTTCGGGTTTGGCATGGAATGGAGGATAGCGGATCACGCAAGGACAGCGGATTCCACCTTCAGTTACCCACCCCTTGAAACCTCGTGAAGGGGCGGTTGCGGCACAGGCCCAGCGAGCACCTGGTTTGACATGTTAGGCACACCTCACCAGATAGACATTTCTAGATCAGAATCTCTCGGGATACATACCATACCACACAAATGAGTCGGGCTCACCAATGTTCTCCAGTGCGTTATTATAATACTTGGAAATAATATCTCCCATCGTCTTTTTGCCTCCCATGAGCTGGAAACAAGTTAATCAGGGTTCGTATACTGAGATTGACCGAGGATCCATACCGGTAGAGCCTCCAAAGCTGCGCCTTCCGCGCCATTGTCTGACATGAACAAGACGAATGTATTGTCCAGCTCGCCTGTAGACTCAAGGTGCTCAATAACCCGGCCAACATTGGCATCGAGTTGATCAACCATTGCAGCGAAAACCTCCATCTTCCGCGCGGATATATTCTTCTCTTCCGGTGACATCTCATTCCAGTCTTTGCCAAGTTTCCCAACTGGAGAGGCATGTTCCACAGCCTCATCCACCAGTCCTAACTCCTTAAGACGTTGGAGCCTCTTCTGTGTCAAGTCATCAGGTCCGTCATCATACTTGCCCGCTGAAACCAATTAGTTCTCGCACGGCCATCATTTGCTAGAAGTGCTTACCGTATTTCTCAATAATCTTCCGAGGAGCCTGTAGAGGCCAATGCGGCGCCGTATAGGGCAAATAAGCAAAGAACGGCTTCTGCGATTCCTCCTCTGTGCGATTTTCAAGGAAACCTATCATCTTATCGGTGAATGTGCGAGTTGAATAGAAATGTTTAGGGAGATCTGCTGTTCGATCAAGGATTTTCTCTCCTTCCATCCAGAAGCCTGTCGTGTTTATACATGGTGCCTGGAATTCACCGTCATCCAACTGAGGCTCATAGTTGTAATGGTTACTTGCGCCTGGAAGCAAGGAGAAGTTTTTGTCAAAGCCTCTGGAGCATGGTGCAATTTCCTTGGTCATTCCAAGATGCCTGTTTTCTTTCAGTTGTGTGGTATTCAAAGTTCGGGTGTAGAAACTAACCATTTTCCAGACATGATTGTGTGGTACCCCGAGTCTTGCAGGATCTCTGATAGAGCTGCTACACGCCAGTTTAGGTATCCCTCGTAGCCGGGCTTGTTCTTGAAGTAATCTCCGAAGTTTCGCATGAATTCTGCCATTTGTCCTAGGGTGTGTGTAAGCATATTTCTCTTTAAGGGCGGGGTTTCATAGTTCATACCAAGTCCGGCAATGTGATTGTCTGTTCCGGAAAACAGCATTGACCGAGTCGGGGAGCATGCAGATGCTGTGTGGAAGTTGGTCATACGAATGCCCTCTTTGGCCAGCTTTGCAAGAGTTGGTGTCTCAATTTCACTTCCATAGGGAGAGATGTCACTGAAGCCGAGATCGTCGGCGACAATGACAAGGAAGTTTGGTCTTCTCTCTACCTTGCCCATTGTTATAGAAATGTCGGAAGTATAACAAGTGTAACTTCAAAGAGAAACTAGATTCAAAAGCCCAGGAACCGTCCTATTTATATATTTACGGTAGTATCGCACTGACAGGCCCCGCAAGACTAAACTACCGACTAGTTTTCAAACGAATATCCATCCGGAATACCCGAATCTTTATGTTAAGATCTTATATCTATGGATGCGCAATCAGGGCATGGTCGTCCAATCGTATAGGTGCGGGGGTCGCCTATTGAATCGGCCCCGAGCTAAACTATTTGCCGGCCCTTTTCCTCATTGTTCGGCGTTATTGCGCCATTTTAATGCACGTTAGTGATTCGGTTAGGTAGTTGCCTTGATGTTTTGAGTATGATCTTGAATCCACTAAGATTTGAAACGATTCATTTTAATGTGTATATTTTTGGGGGCTTTCTGGCCAATGGAAGACCTGGAATGTCGGCACTTAAATCTAGCTAATCATGGATGAGTTTACTATATTGAACTTCGTTGTTGTAGCGGTTGCTTTGTATCGAAAGATATTCGATGTTCAATGTTTGCTTATTCCGTTGAGTCTCTTATACTATACGGAACTACGAGTAACTATCTGTGCTTGTAGTCTATATATCGACCTAGCTTCCAAGGTTTTCGGTTTAGGCCGCAAGAAATACTAGTCTGTTTGGCACTGTATAGAGAATAATTCTGCCAAAAAAATTGTAAGGCAAGTTTGCCGAGATGGATATAATTTGCATAGTAGCTGTCTAGAATTCAGTCACACTGACAACTCCGAGCCAAGAATCGCCGGCAACCTCTGTACTTATATAGTAGTTGCAGTGTAAATATAAAGCAATTTAACCTAGCAGCTCAAATTTACTGTATGAGATCTCGAGGAAAGACTATAAGGACTCATTAGGGCCAGCCGAGACTCACGCACGCGACAACACACAAGCGCATGTTTGAGAGATACCTAGAGCACTACACATTGGATAGTAACGACAAAGCATCGCGCAATAAATGCAAGTGTAGCCTTATGTACAAATCATGGTTTGATTCTTTTTTTGACACCAAAGGCCGGGATGTAGGGGTTGAAGATATCCCCAAGAGTAGGAAAGGGGTCGCGTATAATATGCAAAAGACTGGGGAAAAGAAATTCGCGGAAAAAGACCGGGCTTGCCGGGGATAATGGGCTCGAACAAATAGCGTAGGATGTAATGCCAAACAGAAAGGAGTCAATAGCTTCACATCTATACATCCCGGGGAGCTTAGCCCAGATGCCCGGCCGATCTAGATCCACCCGTCCGAAAAAGGTCGGGATCTAAAATCAGGCCACAAGGCTAGAACATACGTATTTCCATCAACCAGGCTCGGGGACATAGTAAGTTATAGTAGTGATGGCTGGGATAGAGTGTAGGATAGTTCAAGACAATACAAGCTTAATTTCAACAGACAACTGGATGTAGATCTGTCGTATTGACTGTTTCTATCTGCCGAGGCATTACCACGTGACACGAAAACATCCAGATCAGGTGACCACAAGCGGCCGAGGTCGGAGGGTCTTGAGCCAATCAGAGGACGGGATTTCGTTGACTCAGAGCGGTCGGACCATTTGGGCTTAAGGCGTTTTCTCGATCCCCAGAGAGAGTCACGGCAATCTTCAGCGGTCAATTGAAAGTCATTTTTCCTTCACCACTCTCCCCTCTATACTCCTGGCTTGGCCGTCATCAACGATGATGCCTTTAAGACCATCAAATAGCGCTCTGCGCGCATTCCACATCAGGAATCTCGCTGGACGTCGGCCTTTCTCGACATCTTTTGTGGCTTCGGCCGCTTCGCCCCACCGCTCTTCTATCCAGAAGCGTGGTCAGAGCACAGCTACGGCTTCAGCTCCGTGAGTTTTGCTTTGCTCAATGCAGGTGGTTCAGTTCTGATTTAATCAATCGTCAGGGAGTCCAGACCTGTTCCCAGTCCGGCCTTCAACCAGGAACCCCATCGCAATGAGATCTCTCCCTTGCAACACCGCCAGCTCCCCGAGCTCGATGACTCGTACGTTCCCTCAGTCACAGCTAGAGAACACAAGAAACTGACAAATGGACCAAAAGAATGGTTGGCATGAGCGGTGGTGAAATCTTCCACGAGATGATGCTGCGTCAGGGTGTGAAGCACGTCTGTGAGTGATTCATCCCTCAAGTCACAAATTGGCCAATTCTAATACTTCATAGTCGGTTACCCCGGTGGTGCCATTCTTCCCGTGTTCGACGCCATCTACAACTCCAAGCACTTCGAATTCCTCCTTCCCAAGCACGAGCAGGGTGCCGGCCACATGGCTGAGGGTTACGCCCGTGCCTCTGGAAAGCCCGGTGTTGTCCTTGTTACCTCCGGCCCTGGTGCTACCAACGTCATCACTCCCATGCAAGATGCTCTCTCCGATGGTACCCCGATGGTTGTTTTCTGTGGTCAGGTCCCCACCAGCGCAATTGGTACCGACTCCTTCCAGGAGGCCGACGTTATCGGTATCTCTCGTGCCTGCACCAAGTGGAACGTGATGGTCAAGTCCGTTGGTGAGCTGCCTCGCCGTATCCAGGAAGCTTTCGAGATCGCCACTAGTGGCCGCCCGGGTCCTGTCTTGGTTGATCTGCCCAAGGATGTCACTGCTGGCATCCTCCGGAACCCCATCCCGATGCACAGCACTATCCCCTCGCTCCCAAGCGCAGCTACCATGGCTGCCCGTGAAATGAGCCAGAAGCAGCTCGAGAGCACTATTAGCCGTGTTGCTAACCTGGTTAACATTGCCGAGAAGCCCGTCCTCTATGTTGGACAGGGTCTCCTTGCTCGCCCTGATGGCCCTAAGATCCTGAAGGAGTTTGCCGACAAGGCCTGCATCCCTGTCACCACCACCCTCCAGGGTCTTGGTGGTTTCGATGAGCTGGACCCCAAGGCTCTTCACATGCTGGGCATGCACGGATCTGCCTACGCCAACATGGCTATGCAGGAGGCTGATCTGATTATTGCCGTTGGTGCCCGTTTCGATGACCGTGTTACCCTCAGCATCCCCAAGTTCGCTCCCCAGGCCAAGCTTGCCGCTGCTGAGGGCCGTGGAGGTATTGTTCACTTCGAGATCATGCCAAAGAACATCAACAAGGTTGTCCAGGCCAATGAAGCCGTCGAGGGTGATTGCGCCGACAATCTTCGTCTTCTCCTACCCCACGTCAAGTCTGTTGCCGAGCGCCCCGAGTGGTTCGAGCAGATCAACGACTGGAAGAAGCGCTTCCCCCTATCGCTCTACGAACGTCAGACCGATGAGGGCCCCATCAAGCCCCAGGCTGTCATCGAGAAGCTCAGCGACCTCACTGCCCACATGAAGGACAAGACCATCATTACTACTGGTGTCGGTCAGCACCAGATGTGGGCTGCTCAGCACTTCCGCTGGCGTCACCCTCGCACCATGATCACCTCCGGTGGTCTTGGTACAATGGGTTACGGTCTTCCTTCCGCCCTGGGCGCCAAGGTTGCCCGTCCTGACTGCCTGGTCATCGACATTGACGGTGATGCTTCCTTCAACATGACCTTGACTGAGCTTTCCACTGCTGCTCAGTTCAACATTGGTGTCAAGGTTCTCCTGCTTAACAACGAGGAGCAGGGCATGGTCACCCAATGGTAAGTCTTATCATACACTACAATACTTTAGGAATCCTTGACTCACACCCAACCACAGGCAAAACCTCTTCTACGAGGATCGTTACTCTCACACCCACCAGCAGAACCCCGACTTCGTTCCTCTGGCCCGTGCTATGCGCGTCGCTGCCGACAGCTGCTTCAAGCCCTCCGAGGTCGAAGAGAAGCTGAAGTGGCTAATTGAGCATGATGGCCCTGCCCTCCTGGAGGTCATCACTGACCGCAAGGTTCCGGTTCTCCCCATGGTGCCTTCTGGTCGTGGTCTGCACGAGTTCCTGGTTTACGATGAAGGTATGGAACTCCACTCGAACTTTAATTTCAGGGTCAACGCTAACACATTACCTACAGCCAAGGAAATGGAGCGCAAGGACCTCATGCGCCAGCGTAACGTGGACTTCCACGTCCGCAAGGAGTAAGTGACATCCAAGCAACGTCACATTGACAATCATGTTTCTGTACTTTGATATCCATGGCGTTTCTTGGCTGGTTCACCAAAAGCGATGGGGCAATGTCTGTTAAGAAGAAAACAAGAAACCCCTTCACAAGATTGCTCCTGGGGACCTCTATGGCAGAAAAGTGCGGTGTTCTTGGGCTCTCCGCCGGTTCAGCGCGTGTCCTCCACTCTATCCTCGAAACAAGGACGGCGAATTGCGTGAAATGTGTCGCGTTTTGCACGTCTCATCTTGTCTTGTTTGGGCTCTTCTCTTGCCAGGTTAATCCTCTTGTATATAATCATTGACGTTTCAGGTCCCGCGATGGGATGTGAAAATTGATACGTTCGAGTCTCATAAAATATGAGTATTTAGTCATTCAAAGTATCTATATATTGTAACATCACGCTATCGTCTTTGTATGCAAAATCAAAGGTTCTTTCTATCGCTCGAAACGCCACAGGTTTGTGAAATAATTGATGTATGATCGATAGCACTATGATCGATAAGCTATTTTCGTGGCCCTAAGTACTCGGCATGGTAACTATCAAGTACCACCACACCAACCCGTTTCTTTATTCTTATGCTAATTTCCTATTCAAAAAGGTAGAGACTCAAAGAATTAGAAAAGCAGAGGCTTCTTAAGAGCTGTCGACGAAACACTTCTGCAAGTGATCTCAATACACGGGTAAAAAGCCGTCTTTGCGATAGTCAAAAAGTATCAGGTAGCAAGGACGCACATGATACCGCAGTATATACGAAAAAGCGAGAGTCTTCGCCTTCTTTCTCTTCTTACCACATCTAGCCTCTCTTTCTGTCCCCTTTCTTCTCTTCGCACTTCGTTACACCGCTTGCACACGTCCGTGGACGGTTGACCTGCTCATTATCAAATCCAGCAGCTGATCAAGCTACGGAAGGGAAGAATCTCTTTCTTCATTCTTACTTCAAACATAGTGATCCACTCACTTGCTCCGTCTTACTCCTCGCATCATTTCTCGAAGTTGCTTGATCCGTAATCTTCCCTCCTACAATCTTGCTTTCTTCAACCACCTCATCAGAGACGATATTATCATGGCTTCTAAAGCGTTAGTCTCAAATGCCGGTCACTTCAAGGAGTTGCGATAACTGACCTGATACACACAGACCCTGCCGTGACTTTGCTAGAGGAGACTGCAGATGGAAACATTGCAAGTATTCTCATGTGAAGCCGCGCCAGGTTACTCCACTACTCCCGAAGGATCCGGATCCAGGGCGAAAGCACGCTGGGAGCATGACCCTTTTAGAGAGGGAAGTGCGTGTGTGGAAAGGAAGCATCCCTCCGGACACAACTACACCTCGCCCCTCATCAGAAACAAAGTCTGCCATCATCCAGAAAGCAAGGAAGCTGATTAATACCAATACTACTTCGCGACAGGAAGTTGTCCAGACACTGGCTACTGAACATGGCTTGAAACTCATCCTGGACCTCGTTCTGGACGACTTTCAGGACATGTCTGTCAAGACAAAGGAGATTATCTTCACAGCCCAGATCCTCCCGCTCCTGCAAACGGTCTCACACCCCGGAGTCCTGTCTTCGCTCGTATTGGAGCAGCCAGTGGGGACCATTTACAATGTTTTGTTTGGCATTGATGGTTCCAGAGCAGCCCGCTTGCTGAACTTCACCTGTGATGTTCTTGCGAACTTGCCTAAGGATCATGACAGTGTTTTAATACTGCAGACGTCTCTTCTTACATTTTCCCGCATCCTTGATCTCAACTCTTCGGCCCTCATCCAGGAGTGTCTCCATGCCGAGGCCAAAAGATTCGAGGATTTGTTCATTGCGATGGATACTGATGACTTGACGGATACACTTCAGCAGTCTCGCAAGCACCTTGAACATATCCTCCAACGCATGGAAATTGGAAGGTTGCTTCCAACCGGCGTCGCAGAGAACCAAGCCGATCCCACACCCGATCTTGCCTTTGTGACTCAACATGGAACACCGGGAGGCAGGCACGACAATGACCACGCCGATATTTGCAACATCAGGATCATGCCTAGCTTGGAAGAAATTTCCAGCAGAGACACGGAGTACCTGCCTGTCATTAATCCATTCCAGTGGCATGTCGCAGGCCTCGATGGACTACTGGATCGGAATTTTCGACTTCTGCGAGAGGACACTGTCGGCCAGCTGCGAGATGCAATTCATCACGAGCTGGATCAGACTCACCTGATTGATCCACAGCGAAAGCAGCTACGCAAGTTTGTGTACCATCATCTTCGGGTCATCGATCTGGGCTTCAACTGGATTTCGGGCTTTTATTTCGAAGTGGAATTTCCGCAGCCTACTGGACTTGACAATCAAACACCCCTGGCTCGAGAGATGTGGTGGCAGACATCAAAGCGTCTACATCCAGGTGCCCTCGTATGCGTGCTAGTTCAACAGCCCCAGCAGGAGGACTTCGTGCTGTTTTGCACTGTGGCAAACCGGATCATGTCGTCCAGAAAACGAAAGGAAAATGGAGCACCATTGTTCAAGACGGACCCGACATCCTTGTGGAAGGATCCCAAGAGCGCCTCCGTCACGCTGATGTTGGTTGATTCCAGACATAGCAACCTTCAGATCATCCTTGACCTGAACAGCCCTAAGAGACCAGCCATGTCTCTAGTGGAATTTCCAGGTGTTCTCCTTGCAGCCTTTGCACCAGCGCTCAAAGCGCTCCAGGCCATGAAGCGCGACAAGTTTCTACCTTTCTCCGAGCTTTTCGTCCCTTGGGTCATCGACGAAGCAAGAGTACCAGGAATCCGGCCTCCACCATATGCTTTGGCTCCTGGTTTTGCATTCAATCTCCGCTGCATCATGAAGAATGACGCTGATTTCTATGTCCATCATGATCGACCGGTTGACTTTGAATACCTGCAAGAGAATTCAAGCCTGGATGGCGCGCAGTCTCGTGCACTGGTCAATTGCCTGGGGCGACAACTTGGTTTAATCCAAGGTCCACCTGGAACTGGCAAAAGCTTTACCGGTGTAGCTCTGGTCAAAGTCTTATTGGCGAACAGAGGCAGCAACACAGGAACGGGTCCCATACTGTGTGTTACATACACCAATCATGCACTTGACCAGCTCCTTGAGGCATTGCTGGACAATAAGGTGACAACCCAAATTGTTCGGATTGGTGCTCAGTCTAAATCGGAGAGGTTGGAGAAATTCAATCTTCAATTGATCGCCAGAGAGGGAACAAAAACAAAGGTGGAGAGAAGAGAAAGATGGCGCGCGAGTGAACAACTATCGGCGTGTGAAGATGACTTTCGATCTCTACGTTCCAGAACGAGTCCCCCGACGAACCGTTTAAAGCAGTATCTTCAAGTTCACCATCGTCGCCACCACAATGAGCTGTTTGGGATCGAAGAAGACGGCTTTCGGAGAAAAGTCAAACCCACCTCTGAGGTTGTTATTGACTCTTGGATTCAGTCAGCAGCCAAAGACGACATCCGCTCTCGGTCTGTGAAGGAGCTGCAAGATGTCAAGATCTTCGAAATGTCTCGAAAGGAACGCCAGCGTCTTTACGACCACTGGAACAAAGGAGTTCGTCGACAATTCAACACGGAAGCTATTCGACTTGTCACCGCCCATAAAGATGCCAAACTGCAGTTCGATTGCGTGCAGGACCAGATGCATCTTCGTTGTTTGGCCAACGCAGATGTCATCGGCGCGACTACAGCAGGGCTTGCTCGACGACTTGATATGTTTCGAAAGCTCCACTGCAAGTTCATGATATGTGAAGAGGCTGGTGAAGTTCTCGAGTCACACCTTCTGACGGCATTCCTGCCCACTGTGGAACATGCGATTCTTATTGGCGATCAACAACAGCTCCGACCACAGGTCCAGAATTACGAGCTTTCCAGCGAGAACCCTCAGGGAGGAGGGCGATACGCACTCGATATCTCCCTCTTCGAGAGACTGGTGAGTTCAAACCCAGGTCCAATGAACTGCGGACTCCCTTTCAGCACACTGGAAACTCAACGACGGATGCACCCCTCCATCGCACGGCTAATTCGCCAGACTCTTTACCCGCAATTGAAGGATTCACCATCTGTTCAAGGGTACCCGGTAGTCACGGGAATGCGGAGAAGATTATTCTGGTGGGATCATCGTAAGGAAGAAGGAGAGCCATCGAGCGATGCCATGTCAACCTCTCATTGGAACGGTCACGAGATCGAAATGACCGTTGCGCTACTGAATCACCTCGTCCAACAGGGAAAATACGAAAATGGGGATATTGCAGTGTTGACTCCGTACCTGGGCCAGCTCCACCGGCTTCGACAAAGTCTCAGGGAATCTTTTGCTCTTGTCGTCGGAGACCGTGATGACGATGATCTCAAAAAGGCAGGATACACAAACGACGAAATGACGGACAAGACGGTGGTCAAGGCGACTTTACTGCAGACTCTTCGTGTGGCCACTGTGGACAACTTCCAAGGAGAAGAGGCGAAGGTTGTTGTAATATCTCTGGTTAGAAGCAACCCGCACGGCCGATGCGGCTTTCTCCGCAGCCCCAACCGAATCAATGTTCTTTTGTCGAGAGCTCAACATGGCATGTATATCATCGGCAACTCACAGACCGCGCTCCACGTTCCGATGTGGGCCAAAGTCATTGAGATACTGCGGCAAGGCAAGAACATCGGAACCGCCTTGGATCTAGAATGCCCTCGCCACCCATCTTCATTGATCAAAGTCTCTACCCCGGACGATTTTCCCAAGTCCTCTCCGGAAGGAGGTTGCCACTTGCGCTGTGTCCAGCGTTTGGCTTGCGGACATGCCTGCATTCAAAAATGCCATTCGGAACTTCTTCACAACGCTGTTCTGTGCCTTGAGCCTTGCCCTCGACCTTTCCAAGGATGCAATCATTCTTGTCCGAAAAGATGCGGTGAAAAATGCCCAGAGAAGTGCATGGTCATTATCTTCTTGAAGGACAGAAGACTCAAATGTGGCCATCGGATGCAGAAACTCCCTTGCTGGCAGAATCAGGATATTTCAACCGTTCGTTGCTCAGTTCTCGTGAGAAGGATGATTCCAGGATGCGAGCATTTCGTTACAATCCCATGCCATATCGATGTGGGCTCGCCCGATTACAAGTGCATGGCTCAATGCCGCAGCGACCTGCCTTGTGGACATGCATGCAAGCGCATGTGCCACCATTGTTTCAAACGTGGCCCTTTGATTACTCAAGCGATCCACAACCAATGCCAGCAACGTTGTGACCGGAACCGTTCGACGTGCGCTCATACCTGCAACACTCCGTGCCATGGTGACACCCTATGTCCCCCATGCCAAGCTCCTTGCGATGGGCAATGCGGCCACTCGAAATGCGGACGCAAATGCTATGAGCCTTGCACTCCTTGCGCAGAGCAGAAATGTCTTTCGGAATGTCCTCACAGCACGTGTTCAATGCCTTGTGCAGCTCCCTGTGATCATGTACCATGCTCTAAGCGCTGCGAAAAGGAGCTTTCCTGTGGTCATCAATGCCCAGGGGTGTGTGGAGAGAGATGTCCTCATTTTTCTTTTTGTCAGATCTGCGCAAGCGACGGTATCAAGGACCATGGAGTGGATTTCATCCTAGGTCTGGCGTACAAAGATACCAATCTGGACGAGAACCCATGCATCTTTCCTAAATGTGACCACTTTTTGACAATCGAAAGCATGGACGCGCAGATGGATATGGGCAAACACTATGAGCTCGATGCCAGCAACAAGCCTGTCGCAATCCGAGCATCGTCCACCCCGTTTTCTATTGAAGACATCAGAACCTGTGCTACCTGCCGTGGACCTCTGAGAGACATCGCCAGGTATGGTCGACTGATCCGCCGCGCAATTCTTGATGAGTCGACAAAGAAGTTGATTTTGCTTCTTAACCAGCAATATGTCCCTCTTGCAAAGGAACTACCCCTGCTCATCGACGCGGTACTGAACATGCCAAGCGACAAATTGTCTTCATGGCCACATTCAATCACAATCAGTGGAACGCGGAACGAACAAGTCAAAGTGATGCAAGAAACCATCAAAAGCACAAATGGTGATCGATGGAATGGCATACTTGACTTGCGGATGCGAATTGGCAAGTACCGTAGTCGTGTTGAACCCGAAGAGCAACCCTTTGAAAGGGTCCGCGTGATGGTTGAGGATGCTCAGAGACGCAAGAAGACAACGGGCAGCTTGCCTTTTCTCAGCGGTGTTCTCCAGACTAAAGGGTACATTCAGGCCACAGCTCTGCTACTTCGCCTGGATATCGCTTTGTTTGCGGACTTTTCCAATCTCATTTTCCAAAAGGGTGTAAACGAGGTCAGGCTTCAGGTGGATCTACAGAAGACTAAAACTGATTGCAAGATCCTCACCCGGGTGGCCTTTGAACACAATCGAGTTATGCAGCAGGTAGAAGGTCTGCTTTATCTGGCACAACTTTGCGGCCTCGAACGAGCACATGTTCCATCTCTGGATAAGGAGGTCCATCGTAATAAATACTTGCTTGAAGGGTTGAACTTCATTAATGAAGCCAGGAAGCTTTGCATGAAATACCCCGGTCAAACACGAGGATTGGCAGATGAGGTGGACTGCGCAGAGACTATGCTGAGAGGAACAGCGTTCTGGGCGATTATCACCAGCAAGGAACGCATGGAAGTCATTTCAGCAATGGCTCAGGAGTTTCAGGGCACTGGACACTGGTATTACTGTCGCAATGGACATCCATTTACCATTGGGGAGTGTGGGGGAGCCGTGGAGACGACTTTCTGCCCCGACTGCGGCGCCCCAGTAGGAGGAGAAAATCATCAAACGGCAGCAGGGGTTACTCTGGCGGAGGATTTGGAGCAGAGATTGACGGAACTGGGCATTTAAAGGGAGTTTCATAGTTTCATAGTTGTGAGGAGGAGATCGTTTCTTTGTGTAGTTAGGAGTTAAGGCAATTCAATTTGTGACGTTTCGGGGAATGTCCCTGTCACGTTTACTCCATAGCTTATCCTTCGATAACTCACCTCCTTCCACTCCCCATCCACACCTTCATTCTTCCATGAATTGCCTCGATCGCAACCCTTTTGTCTAGATAATTGCTTTCTGCAGTGCATGTGTTCACCCGCCAGCACTCCCTCCCCCTAGCTTCCGCCCCTCATTCGTTCCACAATGGCTAGCCCACCACCCGTCACCGAGGACCAGAACCGCCTCCTCGAGGAGGCATTGGGGGTGGTGAGGCAGCAATCAAGCTTGATGCGCAAATGTCTAGAGACTCCTGGAAAGCTCATGGATGCGCTCAAGTGCGGGTGAGCTCCCCTCCAGGCAGCGACCTCGGGTGGTGCGCAAACAGTCGAGTGCTAACAGCTTGGTGTTTTTGCTTCTACAGATCCACTCTCGTCTCAGAATTACGAACCCCCAGCCTCGGCCCGAAGCAGTATTATGAATTGTACATGGCAGTGTTCGACGCGCTGCGACACCTCTCCGTCTACCTAAAGGAAAACCACCCGGTCAACCACCTCGCCGACCTTTACGAGCTCGTCCAGTATGCGGGCAACATCGTCCCCCGCTTGTACCTTATGATTACCGTGGGTACTGTCTACATGTCTGTTGAAGATGCGCCGGTCAAGGAAATAATGAAGGACATGATGGAGATGAGCCGAGGTGTCCAACACCCGATCCGTGGCCTCTTCCTGCGATACTACCTTTCCGGTCAAGCAAGAGATCACTTGCCATCGGGAACCGGCGACGGTCCCGAGGGTAACATGCAAGATTCGATCAACTTCGTTTTGACGAACTTCGTGGAGATGAACAAGCTCTGGGTTCGGCTTCAGCACCAAGGTCCCTCACGTGAGCGGGAGAAGCGTATACAGGAAAGACGCGAACTGGAGCTGCTCGTGGGTAGTAACATTGTTCGACTTAGCCAGCTGGTTGACCTTGAAGGGTACAAATCCGGTATTCTACAGGCGCTTCTGGAGCAGGTTGTACAATGCCGAGATGTTCTCGCACAAGAATATTTGCTGGAAGGTAAGTTTGTTTTGGATGTTATGGTTCAATCTGATGCTGATTTTATTCATAGTGATTACCAAGGTTTTCCCCGATGAATTCCACCTTCATACCTTGGACCTTCTACTATCCGCGATTGCCAGACTCAACCCACATGTCGATTTGAAGAAGATTGTTATTGGACTTATGGACCGCTTGTCCTCATATGCGGCAAGAGAAGCAGAGTCGGCGACAGAGCCGGAAGCACGGAAACAGAGCGAGGAAGAAGCTGTCACTCGGTTATTGCAGAAGCTCGAGATTGCCAAACAAGTCAAAGAAGAGGAATCTAAAGAAGCCACCGCCGACAGTACATCCAAAGAGAACGGCACCGAAGAAGCAACCAAAGAAAACGCTGAGCCTTCTGAGCCACCAAAGGAAGAGAAGGGGAAGGAAGTCGAGAACAGAGACGATGCGAAGCCTGGCATTCCGGCTGAGGTCAAGCTATATGATATCTTCTACGATCAGGTGGTCAGCTTGATCAAGACACGCGCGTTACCGATCCAGGATACTATGGCCCTGTTGGTGTCACTCGTCAACCTGGCATTGAACATCTATCCAGACCGGTTAGAATATGTCGACCAAGTCTTGGGCTTTGCCACGCAAAAGACCACTGAATTCACTGATCACGCTGATCTCCATTCGGCACCAACCCAACAGCACATCTCCCACCTTCTCAATGCCCCTCTCCAATCTTACATCTCTATCTTCACAGCATTGGCATTGCCACATTACTTGCCACTCTTGACCTCGCAGTCATATCCCACTAGGAGGGCCGTTGCCAGCGAAATCCTCCGCAGCCTTTTGAGAAACAAGATCTTGGTCACCTCAACTGAGAACCTCGATCGTGTGCTTCAGGCGGTGAGGGTGCTGATCAAGGAAGGCATGCAGCAGTCGACTGGATACCCTGGGGCACAGTCCCAACGGCGGGGAGGAGAAACCGACGAGACCGTTGAAGAGCAGGGGTGGCTTGCAAGATTAGTACATTTGATCCAGGGACCTAACAATGACACCCAACTTAAGGTAAGATCAACCCTAGTTGTACTCAGCATCTACTGACTGGTCGAAATAGCTCCTCCAAGCAACTCGCAAGGCCTACACCGATGGCAACGAGCGGATCCGGTACACCACCCCTGCAATTATCACAGCTTCTATCCGCCTAGCCCGGAAGCTCAAGTCCCGAGAGCACTATGACGACAACTGGCAATCACAATCCTCCGCTCTCTACCGGTTCATGCACCAAAGTATCAACAACTTGTACCAGCGGGTAAATCCCGGCTGCGCCGATCTCGCATTGCGGCTGTTTGTGATGTGTGGTGAAGTTGCAGACCAGACCGGATTCGAGGAAGTCAGCTACGAGTTCTTCGCACAGGCATTTACCATCTACGAAGATGCGATTAGTGACTCGCGCGCCCAGTTCCAGGCCGTCTGCATAATCGCAGGTGCCTTGCACGGCAGCCGTGGATTCTCCAAGGAGAACTACGACACCCTTATTACCAAGGCCGCACTGCATGGCAGCAAGCTCCTGAAGAAGCCCGATCAATGCCGCGCGGTCTACCTCGCCAGTCATCTCTGGTGGGTGGTTGAGAACCCTCAACGTGGCGAGGACGACCCCAAGGACGTAAGTTTACACCAATCTTCCAACGTCCCGATTTATATTCACTGACATTCAACGCTTAGCTCTACCGCGATGGCAAACGGGTTCTCGAATGCCTCCAGCGTGCCCTTCGTGTTGCCGACGCCTGCATGGACACCGCCGTCTCCGTCGAACTCTTCGTGGAAATCCTCAACCGCTATGTGTACTACTTCGACCAGCAGAACGAGACCGTTACGACCAAGTACCTGAACGGCCTCATTGAACTCATCCACTCGAACCTGCAGACCAGCGAAGACGAGCCAAACCCCAGCCTCGAGGGTCCTAAGCGCCACTTCCATCGCACACTGGAGTATATCCGCTCGCGGGAATACGAAGGTATTGTGACAGACCCGCCTAAGTGACCGCTTGATAGATCTCTAGGCCTAATCGGCTGAGTCTCTAGCAATGAGCGAGGGAAAATGGGCTGTATGCGCTATGCCATGTAGGATTTCTGCTTTTTCTGTTCTCCCGGCCGCTGGTGCTCTTGTTTTCCTTTTTTTATTTCCTTGGTCTATTTCTTTTTTTATCTGTCTCTTTCCTGGAAGCCAGCCTCTTTTTCTTGTGTTGCTCCTTGTTTTCTTTCGTTCCCAGTATATACAAGTGTATCATTGTCTCCGGATATCACCATACCCTTCAATGTGAATTGTATCTGGCTATAGACAACCCTTTTGTTTCTCTCTTCTGTAGCGGGAGATTGAGCCAGGACGCATCAGCACTGTGTAGAGATGTCGCCACTTAGGCGACTGAGATCCTACTCCAGTGCCCATAAAGCATTACACTACACTATAGATATAATCTAGACATAGGCGTACCAACTCACAGAAGTATCAATTCCTCAGCAACACCATTCCACCCAGAATCTAGTATCTAACTCGTTGGAAACCACCCTATAACGCCTCAACTCTGAGCCCAGCAAGCCCCTTACTCTCATCATCTATAGTCTCAACAATGGACCGAAGATCGGAATGGCTGGTAATCTTAAATATCGACGAATCCTCGATATTAAAGAAATAGAATCCACCATCCCCAACCTGAAATAGAGACAAGGCCTCCCCGGCATCGGGATCCATTGCGAAAAGAGGCTTGACTTCACCCTCAATGCCGAAGACTGTGATCATTCGAAGGACATTGCCTTCCGGACCCCATTCTGTGTCGCCGCCCATTACTTCGTAGTCGTTCGTCCATTGGGCTGGGGGTTGAACCTATATATATTTGGATAGGTTGGTGGATGTTTGAGAGGGGGATCAGGTACACTTGGATGGGAGGGACTTACTTCGGTGTTAGTCAGGACTTTTCCGTTCACGATTCTTAGGTCACTCATTTTGGATGCTTATAAGTTGGGTTGAGGATCGAGATTAAAGTGATATACTGTAGGGCGGGATCAAATTTGCTGGTGGGGTAGAAATGATCATACACTCCCGAGCTCCGTATGTCTGATTTGCCCTAAGCCCTGACTAGATTTGCCAATAAAGGCCTCGAAGGAGAGAGATTATAGCAGACTGCAGCTTTGTGTAAGAAGCAGTAGACAATAGAGGTGTTGTGTTGGTAAAAGTTACTAGCCAGACCCCGAGCGCCGTCAAAAAGCGGCAACCCGGGAAGACCGCCTATGATTTAGTACGTAGAGTGACGTATAAATAGTCCTGAACTACGACAATGCAGGCTATACCGCCATGTTCTACGCAGAACAAGAAATGAAAGACGAAGAAACCTTCGATCATGCAATTGGCCAAGGACGATGAACGGAGCGGGTGATTGACCCAGATCTCCACGGATATCGCTGCATAATGTAGAGAGGCCAGAGACCCAATACCGTACATAAAACAAATCCGGATACCTTCAAAGATCACTCAAGAAGGATACCAAATACACACAAACAAATAACCCATATCAATAGCAGGAACCTTACAAAGGTGAAGATGTGACGTTAACCCATGACGCTTCAATGAAAAGAGGATAACATGAAAAGGAAAATATGAGGGGGCATTTCAAAGTCGTTCGAGCAAGATCTGCCGAAGGAGGCCGGGGGGATATTTATCCCTGGGGCCGGGTGGGCATCAAGTCATGCTAGGATAGAGAAGCCCCGCCGAAGACCCCAGCCGCGGGCGAGGAATACTGGCGCAGTACTGAGGATGCTCCGCCGAATCCACCGAAGGGGGCTGGGTGGCTGTTGCTGGGGATTGGGCTGCCGATGTCACCGGGAACGATGCTACCCCTGTGGCCAGAAGCCGCACTGTTGGGATCAGGCTCGAACCTGACATACCTGCCTTCCTGGTCTTCTTTGATCGAGAAAGAGCCGCCGCCGTTTTGTGGGCTGCCCTCTGTATCGCAAATATCGAGCATCTCGTCCAACGAGATTGATGGCTCACCCAAGGGGCGCAGGTTTTCCACCTGAGCGAGAACAAGATTCATATCATGGAAAGTTCCAGCACCCTTCCGTGGGCTCATCATGTTGCTGAGGTGCTTGCATGCTTGGATAACCAGCAGACGGACTGTAACAGGTCGAGAGGTGTGGGGCCGGTGATGTCCGCCAGCTGTAAAGGCATTATTGTGAGGCCATCCGGTCCCAGCTGCTGGGGCTCCCCATGTACCAGAACCACCCGTGAAGGCGGGACCTCCATAGTGTGGACCCCATGTGTTATTTCCTATGGCAGAGCTAACCGGGAAGGTACTTTGCGGGGATCCCAGAGGATCCGAGAATAACGACGACCCTTGGAAGCTGGCTCTTGTCGGCCCTGGGAATGGTCCAGGCGCGGGGGCACCGGGTAACGACTGAGACAGGTTTGATGGATATGTGGCATCAGTATCATCAAGGAGCGCACTGCTGCCAAGATGAGCACTCAAGCCATCCACCTCTCGCTGCACCGAGGCATTACCATTGTTCTGCCGATCTTGGGCTGAACTGGATGGGCGCTTGATAGGGCTAGGTCGCGTGATGGGGAATGGCTGGGAACCATTATCCAACGGAGAGCGATCGAACGAGGTAGAATGTTGTCGGGAGTGGGTCTTCGGCATGCCGCCTTGTTGCAGAGGGAATCCGCCGGGGACACCATGGCCACCAGTGAAACCGAGGCCGTGTCCAGAATCAGGCGGGAACACTCGGCTTGGAGGCATGGGACGAACATTATTCATTCCAGGGGGTGCAGCAATTCCACCAGGACCAGGAAAGGCTCGCAAAGGATTCATCATGCCACCGTTGGGTGAATACATCGACTCTGGAGGAATGCTTGACCGCGGAGTCATCCCTGGTATGCCAGGAGGGTTGGATGGTAAGCCACCAAGGCTTGGGAAACCTGGAGGATTTGGTCGGCCAAGAGGAGATAGAGGAGCGGATGGCTGAGGATGATGCAATGGAGGAGGCTGAGGATAACCTTGTCTGCTACCAAAGTTCACTCCGGACTGCGAATGGGCCATGGAACGGGGGGAGATGGAGGGATGATGGGACGAATCCGCACTGTTAGGGTTGGAGTGAGGGGAGGATGTAGAAGAGCCGTGTTGAGATGTTTGGCGTGGCCTTCCAGGAGTCGAGACCTTGGGGACAATGGGCGAGGGCATAGAATGATGAGGAGAGGGCAGGAAGCCAGGAGGGGCGTGAGGCGGATAATTGAAAGGGTGAGTGCCGAAAGAGTGTGGTGAAGTCTTTGATTCGCGCTTTCCGCCACGCTCTCGTAGTTCCTGTTCGGCTCGATCCTTCTGTGCCTGCTCCTCGCGCATCTTGCGCTCACGCTCCTCTTTGGTGCGCTTCTCCTGCAACTCACGCTCTTCCTTCTCCTTGCGCTTGGTCTCATCTCGCCTCTTCTTCTCTTCCCTCTGTTCCCGCTGCTTACGCTCGGTTTCGGCTTGCCGTTCTCTTTCCTCTTTAAGACGCCGTTGCTTCTCGGCTTCCTTGCGGGCACGCTCCTCCTCCTGAGCCTTCCGTTCGGCTTCACGCTTCTTGCGCTGTTCCTCTCGCTTCAATCGTTGCTCCTCGGCTTTCTTCTCCTGTGCAGCCTTGGCGGCGGCTTCTTCGGCAGCTTTCTCGGCATCCCGACGCGCTTTCTCCTCTTCCTTAGCTTGCCTCTGTAACCGCTTTTTATCCTTCTTCTTTTGCGCTTCCCGGGCCTTCTTGGCATTCCGCTGCTCGTTCAACGTCTCCTCCTGCAGGAGCTCGTCAATTAGCTGCTTCTGGCGTTGTTCGGCGACCTTTTCACGATATGCTGTCATAACCCGTTGCTCAAACATGCGAGCCGCAAATATTTGGAACATTCGCCGCCCTTCTTGCATGCGTTGTGCTTCGGTCATGGTATCCTGTTGCCCTAATTAGTATATGGACCTAACAAAATGACATCCTAGTCTCATACCATTTCGTCCTCGTCGAACTCTTCCTCTTCTTGACTGTCATAATCCTCATCTTCTTCCTCGTCGTCATAATCTTCTTCGTCCAAGGGACCATGATTATGTCCATGGAAGGATTGATGAGCGGCAGCTATTCCATACTGGGTATCTTCTTCTCGTTGCATTCGCCGTTCAGCCAATTGCTCCATCATATCAATGAAATGCTTGCCATCGTTTTTCAGTAGATCGTCCGCAACCGTGAGAATTCCATCTAGATGAGCACGAACCCCAGAGTTAGCTTTGCAAAACTTTCGTGACATCGGATCATCTTGTCGCATACCTTTAACGGTTAAGCTATTCCCAAACGCGAAGAAGTCAGCCCGCGCTGCGCGAGCTTCATCATCCTCGAGTTCCTCGTCACTGTAAAGCTCTTCCTCGTCATCCTCCTCTTCATCGTCTTCCTCGTCTTCGTCGTCTTCCTCCTCATCGTCATAATCCTCTTCTAAATCCTCCTCGTCATCTTCGTGCAACTCTTGAACTCGGCTCCGTGATGGGTGGAATTGGCCGTGTGTTCGAGTATGTTGCCCGGGTGATCGGAGAGGTGAATTATAGAGTCGAGGTGGAGGTATAATGGGAGCGCCTTCGTCAAAGGAGCCTTGGTTGTTGTTCGCATACTGTTCTAGCTCTTCGTAATATGCGTCGTACAGAACTTCAAGCTCTTCTTCAATTGCGGTGCGTTTCCTCCCACATACCGTACAGCTGCACGAGTGCTTTTGCTGCTCCTTCATTTTTTTCAGAACAGCATCTTTCTCCACTTTCACAAGCTGCCGTCGCTCCTCTTCGCCCAATTCAAACCAGAAAGTCCGAATGTTTTCGCGTTCTTCCAGAGAAGACTGGTTCCAGATGCTGCTATTCTTAATAGGTTTTCCTGTGAACCGACTGATGTATGGCAGAGCTTGGGAAGGCGGCGGAGGGTGGGAGAATGTGACGGACGGGGTAGAGAGCGGGGTTGAGCTACCGCCAGCGAGGTTCTGCGAGTCAGATCGACCTTTTCGATTTTTCTTCCTCTTCGATCTTTCGCCGGCAGGATGTTCGTCATCGGGGTTGTTCGTCATAGGTCCGCGGGGTAAGTGTGATGCTCCATATCCGTAGTTAGCGCTTGGTGCTGTGCTGTGATGATCTGTATGATCGATTTCATGGTCATCATCGCAGGAGTGGTGTTCATCGGTTGCGAGCAAGTCCGCCGCATCTCCGGGAGCGTAAGCGTGGGAATGTTCCGCAGCTAAGCGGGCAGCCTGTTTCTGTCGACGTTTCTGCTTCTTGCGATTGACGGTCGGTGCTGGTGTGGCCATCGTTCCGGAAGGTGTGTTGCCCTGAGGACCCCGCGCGTGTGATCCGCCGTTGGTTGCAAGCGGAGTTGCTGACACATGTGTCGACATGGTGGACGTGACTAGAGCTTTCGGGGCTGCTCTGGCAGCATACTAATAACACCGAAGAAGAGCTTGAGTCAGAAGAGCTATGTTTCGCAAGGTGGGTAAGGTGAGCAGAGAAAGCGGAGAACGGAAGACCCAAAGCCTCAACCAACAAGCTCCGGCGGCTGCTACGCTTGGTGCCAACTCACCGGAATTATTCCCCTTGACAGACGCACGGACGAGGAGTCAATCGCGCTCTTTGTGTTTCGCTCAGAACGCGCTTCCGTCCGTGGCAAACAGGAGGGGTGAGGTAGGATAAGATGGGAGGAGGGGGTTGACAGGCAATAATCCCGGCGGGTCACGACGTGTCTGCTGGGGTTAGGGTTGTAAGCGCTTAGGATATGGGAAACCAACAGTGTGTTAGGGCCAGGACCAGCAAGATATCAAGGCTGAGCGCCGAAGAGGTACGACTGATCAAACGCCAATGGATGGATGGAATGATGGGCTTTCCTGCGCTCTGGCTGGTTAATCGTGCCGCCGCAACGGGATAGCCGCCGCAAGCGAGCTGATGCCTGAATAGTCAGGTGTAGATCTTGAA